TTCATTTTCTCTCCTTTAACTTTCTGACGTAAGGTTGCCAAAAATAATACTTCACTTAACCCCTAAATGTCTTGTCCCTATCTTTAAAGGTTTAATTTAGTATCTAAAGTTTGAATTTGCATTGATAAATTATTTTGTAATAAATTTTATAAACACATCAGGTGATCACGAGAGTATTTTATTGTTTAAAAGTTGGCAAGAACTGTCAAACAAAAGCTTTCAACTAAAGGGTATAGGAGGAGTGGTTGTCATTCTTGTTTTGGTCAAGTCTTCTCTTGATGTTTAATTTGTTAGTCGTTTTTCTGTATATGTTGTCATTTTTATATTAATGAAACTGCTGGTGTAAGGATGTATTTAGCTTATAACACGCCAATCAAAGAAAATACGTACCTAAAATAAAATAACGTAGAATACTGTAATATGAAAATTTGCCGAATGAGATATGTTATATGTTAAACATAATTTAATTAACATTGAAAATGCCAACAATGCAATAATTGAAACAGCTGATTTAAAACTTGGGTCAGCGACATAGTGCATATATTATAACGAATTATATTGAATATGTAAATTATTATCAATTAATATTTTTTATCATCCATTTTCAAAATATGCATTTTCAATTGTCAGTATTATAATTTCTACAACTTATTGGTAACAGGAGACCTACTAACGGATATTTTTGAGGTTATTAATAGTCTATATTGTCAGAATATGTGACTCATGAGATATTTGCTTGCTTTGCGTCTAGACAAGATCCTTATCTTTGGTCTAGCCTTATCTATACGTTACCGGACAAAAAACGCACACAAAGATTTGATTAAAATATAATAGGACGAGAAATATAATTGCATTATTCAAAGTCAATGTATAACAAATAAAAAGAACACTAAAGGTGCCTTTGTTTTTGATTTCTAAAGTATATTGTTCGTTAAGTGTATAGTTTTACATTTTATGAAAAATATTGAATAAAAATATCTAATAGTATACAGAAATATTTTGTCTATTCCTTCAAAACCGAAAGTTTTATGCAACAAATACTACACCACCATAGTATTAACATTTTCCATTAAAGTTATTGAAATGTCTTTCATTTCAATTTGTCTAGATATCGCTAAATGGGCTTATTGTAGTAACATAGACAATTTAACATAATAGCAAACCAATATGCATTAGAATAACAATATCATAGTACATTTTTAATTTCGAACTAATTTATTTATTAACAACAGCGGAGGAAATTAAGAAAAGAAATGTAAAGCTGATATGCTTGACCATATAAGGAACTACTTTACCTCCGCCAAACATGTATTGAAAACATAAATAAATATTAATGCATTTTCTCAAGAGAATCAGCTGAAAGAATTGAGAAAAAATCTTTTCTTACAAAGCTACCCTTTAATAATTAACTGCAACAATGGTTTTTGTTTAACTTCCTTTAATACGATCAGCTGTTTTTCTTTGGATGCTTTAAGTATTACTCTGCAAACTCAATAAGACTAAGTTCTAACTACTGAACTGTATTTTTGCATTTTAATGACTTTAGATCTTGATAAAGAAATATATTTGTACTAATAACACACACAAATTAATCCGCGATAAATTTTGTGAACGTGAACTATTTTCTTCATCAATATTAGTAGAAGAACCACTCGATGTATTTAACCTACGTTTGTCTGCTACAAATAAACTGTCCTGCAATTCAAAACAGGTCCAAAACGTACCCAGAATGTAAAATAGGACCACACGTATTGTAAACAACTTTTGTCAATATGTAAATAAGGTGTAAATACACCAGGCCATTTATAAACAGAGCGTAGATGACTTATGTTAAACAGTAGGCGTATTTCTGCCATCTACATAAGTAGGTTTTCTTTCAAGGTACAGTCGTGTCAAATCATTCCAGAGACATCTGCAAGTTCAATGTGGTTTACGAAACATCGGTGTTAAAAAAATAAATTTTGAGTCTTGCAATGTAAGGAAAATATTGGATCTTGCTATGTATAATTGCAATAATTGTTGTTGAAGTTTTTTTACTACCGTAGATGACTAGTCTTATCGTTAAATAAATTACAGTCATGAGGAAATAAACATTTACTTAGTCACCAAAACAGATAAGTTATTTCTTTAAGTATTTTAAGCTGAATTTGAATGTACAATTGAGTAGATATCTGTTACTGACTAAGATAAGCTGTTTTCTTAAGCCAAGATTATCTATCAAAACTACCAATGATGAAGGACGGCTAGGAATTATAAACCATCAAATTCTATTCACTTTGATGGATTGAACCCGGCAACCTTTGATAATGGGGCGAGCACTATAACCTTTCCACCCAGGAGTATCACTCATTACAAAAGTAGATGTTATTTTCGTTTGTGTAAAACTGACCACCATTTAAAAATCATTTTATAATACTTTATAAAATTAGTGACTCATTCGCCTATTGGGTCTGATGATGATTAGAGTGTCCAATCGAAATCGATCACCACTTACCATCTTTTGTATATTTACCGTCTTGTGATTAACAGTATAAGCGTAAACATACGTTTTAAGTGTTATAAGACGTATCTTTATTTACTTTCCGTATAATACTTTAGTATACACGTGATAACAAAATTAATCTACCATAACAATTTGAATAACACATAAAGATCTGTGTTAGATATGATTTTCTTGAATCCTACTAATTGTACAAGTATGATTTTATGGCATCGGATAGAGCAACAGAACATTAAATTATCTTTTTAGAAATTTTCTTCAGATATCCGATGTTGTCTGCTGTCAGTTTTCTATCACAACACCAGCTTCCAGAAACCGCTGAAGTCTTTTTGGCCTGTGTAGTTGCTTATGTTTGTCGACACTTTCGTTGCAATTTAAAACATTTATTCTCATTCTTCGAATTTCAAAAGACAAAATGATTTATTTCGAGTCTTCAATTTTCAATAACAAAACTGTAATGGAAACTAGAAAATTATAAAGATCAGCTGATTCAACAATGAAAAGTAATTTTTTTTTATCCAATGCCCAATAAATACATGGTCGATCAATAAACAAGTAATAAACATATAGATGCCCTTTCATTTGTCAACCCCCTGAACAATGTATTTCTGTTCAACTCTCAAAGCAAAGCTCGGCCACCTGATCACGTGACAACTCCATGATTGATTGTTGCAACAGTCGCCCACTGAGCCATAGTTGCATCACACCAATGCATCGTCGTAGGTCCTTTGTTGTTGAAGTCATTGTGCTCATCTGTCGTTGATAATCGTACAAATGCATTTGGTGACTATTACACTGTTGGTTGGATACAAATTTGAAAATTAACTGTTTATAAATTCTTTGGATAGATCGTGTTTTTTTTATATTTTTTTATTACAAGTTCATTATCAATCTTTCACGTTTTGTTTTATGGTACTATCCTTCATCGCAGATTTAAATCTTTGATCCTATTAAATTATTGAGGTTATGTTGGATAATTTTCTTGTGTGTTACAACGAGGATGAGAGGAAAAAACTATACAAAATCGATCAGAGAATAAGGTTTTTTAATAAGGATACCTCCCTAGGTGGTCCATACAGTAAATAAATTTGCTGTAAATTAATTTGAAACTACACATAGTTTAATTCACTCTAATGTTGGTTGTTTAGTTAGTATCCCTTCAAAAAATCCTATTATATATCACGCTCAAACTTTATATGAATTTAACTATCATACCTAACCTATCTTGGGAGGAGTTGGGAAAACTAAGGAATTTCAACCACAAAAACTACTTTGAATTTAACACCCGTTGGAGCCCTATAATAAATGCAGCAAAACGGATCTTCTCATATAGAGTACTATTTTACGCTGCGGTGGTAAGGTTAGGTGGATTAAAGTTTGTTTAGGTTAGTTTAGTTTAGTGGAGGGAACAAACAAAAGCTATAATCTAAGAGAAAATTTTACAAATACATCAATGGATTGTAGCATCTTTTTCGTGTGTTTTTGTGTGTCTATCTACGCCAATTGTATTTATAAATCGTCCAAGGGAACGGTCCAAACCCTGGTCTAATTACTGTCTAACGTCGACTTGTTATAAAGCATAATTAATCGATAGCCAATCACAAATGACATATGGGTCTGGTAACGATCTCGCTTGGATTCGAACCAGCGACCTTCAGATTTGAAGGCGAGCACTATTGCCACTCTGCTACCTAGAAAATTTGAAATAATGTAAATTTTGTATGTTACCTTGCTTGCCATCATCATAAACTATGAACCTAACCTAACCGTAAAAGAGTGGTCTCTTCTTTAGAAGACTCCGTGCTACAAATTTAGTATAGTACTGAAATCCTGTAAGATCAAAAAGGAAAAGGATGTCCTTGATCCTTGATCGAGACGTCCTGAGATGCTGTGTCACGTGTCAACAGCTGGCTGTGACACAGTTGTGGATGTGTGTCAAGTTGAGAAACACACAATCTCCCCTCTCACACACTCTATCTCTATCTCCGTCTATCGGTGCAATCTGCAATCCGTAGTGGCATTGCGTATTGCGTAACTCACAAGGAATTGCAGAAATTGTGGAGTTGTTGAACGCCTGGTAACGTTGAGTGGTTTTAGTGTTCGTCGTGAGGTCACCGGTTCGATCCTGATTAGTCAATAAAACGATGATAAGTAGCACGAAAAAAAGGAAAAAGTGAAAACCATAAAGTAATCAATACAGTTGAGCAGTACAGAAGAATCCTTGCGCAAGATAATTTTGAATTTTGGAAAATGTGGAAATGTCTGTCTGAACCAGGTTGGTAGGCCTATAACTTGAGTGTGTTTCAAAAACCTTTAAGTAGACGTCCTATAAAAACTTCCCGTCAAAACCTACCATAAAACAAATCATAGAAACTTTTTCAATTAGAAATAGGTACTGTTTTTAACTTAAACATCCCTATAAAAGAACCAGAACCACATTACATTATTTTTAGTTGGTTTAGTCTTTTAGTCTATAATGATTTACATTTTTCTGTTGCAGTCAAAATTTTCAAGCAAAGAAATTCCTGGTTTAGACTGTCCAGAAACACCTTGGAAATACATTCCAAAGCTGTTTTCTCAAGATCTTCTTCTTCTAAGAGCGTAGAATATTACTGTAAGTATACAGTGCTTGTATAGAATGTCGGGGATACAATTAATTTAGCCTAATATCAATGAATTTCAATCTTTTATCCGATCTTTTTCATTCTAAAATTTAGCAAGCACGTTTTATTGTGTTGTGTGTATTTTTCCGAAAAAATATGTTTCAAGTCTATTTACGTATTATATCTTGTATATTAAATTTTTACGAGAAAATAATCTTCGTATGAATACAAAACAATGGGCCCCTACCGATATTCCTATGTAAATGTTTTAGTCAAAATCCGATAGGCCTAACACAAATGGAAATTCGCTTGGTCTGAAGGTTTGCTACGGGGGTAAGCTATTTTATTATAGAATGTTAAATTAGCATGAATATACCTTATTTCGATCACATAGTTTCAACGATATTTTTTAATACGATTTACTATAAATTACCACCTTAAAAAATTAATTCCAAATAAGCTTTTATAGAGTATAGATGTAAAATACAGTTGTATTTACCAAACATATTATATATACAACAAACAGCTGACCAACATAAATGCGATATCTAATCCTTTAGTCAACAATCTATAATCTTAAACTTGTACCTATCAAACTAAAATCCAAGAAACCTCTTACGTCACAAAGTCTACAAACACAAAAGTCAAATCACAGAGGTTATTGACACGACAACAATGCACTCAAAATGGTCTCCTGGACCAAAATATTCTGATTTGTTTAAACTCCGCTTTGCATTTCCAGTCTTCATAGACGCATTATCTGGTCGACGACATGTCACAAATAAGTTTGAGGAATCAAACAAGCCAAAGAGTATAAAAATATGTTTGTCAAACAAGAAGAAAGTCCATAGTGCACGTGGCTAAACAAGAGATTGTGTATCAGCTGTTTTACTGATCAGCTGTTTTGCTGTCAGCTGTTTTAGTCTCCTCGGGTTTCTTCAGGTGGCTGGTCTGTTGCGGTTCGCTTCCGCAGTTTTTTTTACGTAATTGCAGTTTGTGAAAAGTGAACTTGTCTTAAAAAATTGTTTAAAGTTTTTTATTGTGTTTATAATTGTGGACTACGTAGTAGGTAAATGTACTCTTATATAATCTAGTTTTACATTTAAATTATTCATGAAACCATTAATATTTTTTGTATTAAAGTAAATTAGTATGCTTTCAATAAAAACTTATAGGTACAAAAATTATCCATTATTTTAATAAAACTTCCTTACACATTATGTAACATTCCTAAACTTAAATATTTATTCCCTACTCACTTCATTATAGCCATTAAACTTTTACCTTTAAACTAAAGTGTAGAATAAAATGTGTACATTAAAAAAATCTATCTAAAAACCAATCTATGAGTTGAGAATATACAGAAAATTTTCTCCGACCTATACAGAATGCATTTTAAGGCTTGTTATTATTCTTTTGGTTATAATAACTCACCAAAAATGTCACTAAGAATTACTGAATTTTAATGTTTAAAATGTGTTTATAAGTATTTAGGTAATTCTAGCAAGTGGAATTTACGTTTGAAATACCTAATGTGTACATTAAATATCAAAAACATTTTGCAGTAAGAAGTGTGGGTATATTTGTTATTATTATGTAATTAATTGATTTAATTTAAAACATCTTTAATCATTGCGTAAAGTTCTTCAACTCCAACTTTTTTCACTTAATGGTAATTATTTAAACTTAACATTTTATTTTAACACCGTTTTAGATTAAAAAAATTAAAATTAAACAACTTAAACAACTAAAATAGGGTATCAAATAAAAATGTTACTGAATTTTCACTAACCTATACAGCGAGATGGTCAGTGAAGTTTCTTTTCAATTTTTCTTACAGTTATTTTTTAAATATTAATAAGCTTAAGTAAAACCTTAAAAATTTGTTTGTGATTATTGTGAAAGTTCTACTAAGTAAAATTTATGTTTACACAATTTAATTTTCACAATAAAATATTTACTGAACTAGCTAATCAATAAACAATAGTATTTTAGTGTTTTTTGCAATTAAATTTATAAACATTAAAATAGTATTCCAATTCACCTAAACATCTACATTATATAGCATTCTTAAACTTTGACGTTTTTAGTCTATTATATGATACAGTAATAGTTCTGTCTTATTAAAATCTAAAAACCGTATTTGATCATGTAGAATCCGAATGTTTTGAATAAATATGGAATATGTGTTATTTAAAAAAATTTGAGGTTTTTAAATTGAATTTTCGCATTCCTATAACGTACACAGAAGGGATTTTAATGTATAAGTTATTATTTTGTATATTTCTAACCAACATAAGTATTGACTAGTGAATAATCTATGTATTAATAGGCAAGAATGTTTCTCTAAAACTTTCTTCTCAGCTCGTGTGCATCATAGGGAAAATCTACGCATACAGAAATATATTATCCTGTAGGTGTACAGAATCCCTTTATAAATTAAAATAAGCTAAAAAACAAGGACAAAAAATTAATTATAAATTTAAAGAATTAACACGGACCTTATGGGTTGCCATACTGCTTACAAAATATAAACAGAAAATTAAAAACAAATTGAAGAAATCCCAATCACATGTTTTAATTTACCGTGTGGGGTGAAAATAGAGAAGTATATACATTTTATATTATTTGGTCTTCGAACACTAGAAGACCACTGGTTACGAATGAAACTATAAATTAATTACTATAATGCAGCTTCAAATGATAAGTATGAAACTAAGAGTAATTTCAATTAACTCACTCGGAATTTAATTCAATGAAAACTCTAGCAGTTATAATAGCTTTGGAAATCCGTCGGGAAAATTAAACCTTTCTCCATTATCCAACCTCTTTTAATCCATTATCCACATCCTACCTTTTCAAGCCCTTCAAAATCTCTTTGATTCTCTTCGAAATTGTCCAAAACTAACTAAAATCTCGTTTATAAAATTGTTTGCAGAGATAATACAACTATAAAATATTTAAAGACGGTTTACATGTAAAATTTTATAAAATATACATACAATTCTTATTTTTTCTACACTACTTTCATTGAAATATAATTTTCACCACACTATGATGTTTTTGGATGAATTACATACGTTAATTGGTGGCTGAAAGTTACGTTTTGCTGGCCATGCCAGCTGTCATCGTAATTTGGGGACCGAGCAGGTTTTTACAGGCCGGGGCCGCAAAATCAGCTGTCCGCTTACTTACTTAAAACAGAATGCATTTTAAATACACAATCAAAATCCATAGCAATGCAATAGAATTGTGTTATTGTCACCGTTGCCTAGCAACTATTTATTTTTATTTTTGCTGATTCCTCAAATTATTTCTTCACATAACCTTAAAGTTGTAGTTGTGTTGACTATCAGTGTGCATTATTATAGTGGTGAATAGTAGTAATAGGGTAAAGTGTGGTGAAAAATAGCGTTCGTACCACGGACCGAAATGGTTTTGCAGCTCTCGATCGATTTAAGTTCTCGACTTCGTCTCGAACTTAAAAACTATCTCGAGCCGGCAAAACCTCATTTTCGGCCCTAGGTACGAAATATACTATTACAGAACACATGTCATCTAATTGATACTTTTAAATTTATTTGTAACAGTGACTTTTTAGCATTGTTCATATACAGGATGCGTTAATAGTCGGAAATGAGTTGGCATTTGGAAAATAATAACATGAATCATCTAATTTACCACAAGAGCAAAATATTCTAGTTTTGCTTTTCCCATGGAAAAAATTGTTTCACAACTACATTATTCAAACTAGACATCAAATTACTTGCGAAACAGCATGCTTGTTTAAAGCAGATGTTTGTACATTTTATAATTCCCCACCACAGCAAACCTGTAGACTAAACGAATTTTCATTTGCATGATTTGCTTTTCATTAAGATATTTCCTTAACTTTTAAGATATGTTCCCTATAAATATTTAACAAGGAAATCTGTCCCGTATCCATGTTTCACCATGATACTACGGTAATAGCTTATTCCCTACATGGGAAATTAACACGTTATGTGTTTTAAAACGTCAAGCTGATTATGGGATTGTTAATCTTAGACTTTATTTCAGGTAAAATTTTTATCCCATTTAATGTATATCTACTTTACGATAAGATTTCCCATTGTCGAAACTATTATAGCGAATCATTTTTTATACTAAATTAACCACACTTAAATTAAAATAGTATTTTATTCTAACATTTTGCTATAGTCAAGTCATCTTTTCTCATACAACCGAAGATATATGAAGATTTTATAAGTGAAGCGAGTACGTTTATTCCATGGTGAAACTGTTGTCCTGGAAACATACCCAAGTCTAACATTTGCTAGTTGTATTAGCGTCTTTGCAAACTGTTTCTCAGTTTCGGTAGACTACAGACAGCTGTTTGTCATAATTCCACAGAAATGACACTTTGTGTGGTCCGTTCCCAGCCTTGAGACCAAGGTTCGTCTTTTCACATTCGAAAATGACAAGCTCTGTGGTGGCCGAGCTTCGCTCGGTGAATTGTTTAAAATTAAATCCAAAACAGTGAGAAGAAGTTTGACACTTTTTCCAAAATTTGAGAATGTTATGAGGTTCAAAATATCATGATGTTTCTTATTATTTAAATAAATGAATTTTCAAAAGTGTTAAATTTATGATGAATTTAGCGAATTTCATATTTAAGGAAGCTTTTACCGTATTCCGTGTTGATGTCCATAGATGCCAAAAACATCATACTTCAAAATTCATTTGTTATGCGTTTTGAATTGTACATAAACCTTTGAACGAATAGTGTTTTTCATTACACTGTCTCAAAAACAGCTGTCTTACGGATCCAGATGGTTTGGAGTCCCTAAAGATAGCTTTTTGCGGACTCGAATCATATGGTTATGTCAAAGCTTATCTCAAATAGGTACAAATCAGCTGTTCTGATCCTTTAAAATGCTTCAACAATATATAAACAAACTTTGTTTCTTACATAACCCAATTAATTCAGTGTTACTGTATTTTGGAGTAATGACAGTATTTTCTGCTATAGGATATGACAATATAATGAAAAATATTGCTCGTAACTCGTCCTAAAATGCTTTTTTGTGACTTAATCGAATTTCCGATCGTCCCAAAAAACTTACTTTAGGGACGAGTAATGAAAACTACTATTTGACCTCTGAGGACACCAAAATAGTTTGTAAATCTGTCCCGGGTCCAGTGTCTCTAACTGCCACCTACGGCACTAGTTACTTCCCTATGGGATAATTCTCTAAAAATAAAAAATAAACTAATATAAATTGCATTGTTGTAACTTTGTGTAAATAACTGCCCTTTGTGACCTTCACTTATGCACCAGTAAGGTGTCAATTGACAATTGCAGACAACAGACGCTTGGCGGCAGGTCTAATAGTTAGGTCAAAGATCACCTGACCTATATATTACTGACCATTGAGTCCGGTGCAACATCTATTTTCATCTATTGTAAATTTCCATTTGTGTTCTAAAGAAAGCTTACCTTAGCTAGGTACTGATTTGTAATTAATTTGGTTGACGAATTTCATATTTTTTGGTTATGGGTTTGGCCTTTAGGTAGAGCTTTGGGGACTTCATTAATGTTAATTTTGAATTTTTTAAACTGTTTACGTATATTTAACTGTATAACAATTTTTGTTTTCGTTCTTAAACAATTTTTTTCCCAAAAACCTGAAAACTCTGATATAGAGGAAAAATATCAGTCAAAAATATTTTACCGTACTACGACCATAAAAATTACCCAAAATGTATAAATTTAAATGTAATATCATTACGATAAACCGTTTGGTTATTCAAAATAAGTTTGTAAATGAAAACGCTGATAAAAATTTTACTGCGACCACTCAAAATAACTTATGAATGAGAATTCGATGAAATATCGATGAAACTTGATTTCACAGTGGCCATTTAAAATATTCAAGTCCCAAAGGCAATCAAAAGTAAAACATCGCTAAAAATAAATTAAAGCTCAATCTCTTCTCCAGGTTTAAGTAAAGTTTTAATTAGATCTGTTTAATATTCAAGTAGATCTCCATTTTGTTTATTTTACCCATAAGTTTTGATGGGAAAAGTAATAGACTGTATAATATTTTTGGTTAATGAGTTTTTTATTGGAATTTAAAAGTATATAATCATTGATTGCTTTTAGATTAAACTTGTCAATCAAAAAATATTGAAAATAGTTTTGTATGTGGATTTTCAAATATAACAGCTTTTGGATCAAAGTTATTTCTCTTTCCATTCAATGATATAACCATTCATTAACCTTAAAACTTAATTATGCACTTCAATTTTAACAAAACTTGTATTATATATGCTTTGTTAATATCCAAACCATATTTATATTTTAATTAATTATTTATTGATCCATTTTCTTACTAGTTTGTATAGCAAAATTAATTAATAATTAATGTTTGGATTTTAATATTTTTATTTTTTTTTACTTTTGAAGTTTGAAGTGCCCTATTTTAATACTTACTGATTTAAAAGAAATTGTAACAAAGCATGCAACACAGAGGGCAACTAGTTTAATCCTAAGCAATGACTGTAATCTTTTAAATTACTCAACTTCAATTAATTCACAAATTCCATTAATCATCAGGTTTATAAATTAATTATATTTGCCAGATAATCAGGAAAAGCTATCAACATTTCACTTTAAAAACCACATTATTACTTTCCCTTTAGCAGCAATAACACAAGTACTCATTGAACATTATGTTATTTAGATATAGAATAAACCTGACATTTTTAAGGAGATATTTTAGTGAAAATCCAACCTGGAAGTAGGTTTGTTGCATTTAAGGGAATTTAACTTAGGAGATTTCTTTTACCTTGCAAACAGCTAAACATCAAAACACATTTTAAGTAAATTACTTTTTAGATAGATGTAAGGTATAACAAAATAACATTATTTTACTCTGTTCAAACAAAGTGGGGCTTTGATGTAAATTGTAAAGGGAGCGCATCTGTGTTTGAAAGATTGATGGCAAAATTATAAACCACTCTTTTGTTGTGTTTCTCATCATCAACAATCGAAAAGATTAATCACAATTTTCCTTCAATGTTTATTGAGATTCTGAAACTCCAAGACATTCTATGCCTTTGTTATCCATTGGTCTTTTATGTCCGTGTGTATTATACGTCCTGTAAGATTAATGATTTGAACATCCTCTGTTATTTTGTGTTGCCTTTATATTTGATGATTAAGAATTCGTAGTAAAATTAAAATATATCGTAACTCTATTTTTATCACATCGTAGGTGGTTTTTTGGTCCTAGAAAATAGTTTCAATGTGTGTGAATGAAGTTTGAATGACAAATGGACACTATGAATGTGTATTATTTTCCCTTCAACCTGATCAGCCCTTATAAGATTCTTGAATACAAACTTTTTTATTGTATGTTTTCTACACCAATGTAATTGTTAGGTTTTGAAAGACAATGTAGAGACAAATTACACTTAAAGCTAAAGTGTCCAGAAATTAAATGGCTGTTGATTTAGATAGTTTTTTGTCAGCTTAAACAGATTATGAAAGTTATAAATTTATAGTATTTTCCCCTTAAACTACAACAGCACTTGTAGAATTTGTGAATATAAGGAGAAATGCTTCACTGTTCTCTAATGTTTCTCCCAGTCCTTGTCAGATTTTCAAAGATGTTAATGATTATTGCTGTGCATTCTTCAAAGCTGTTGTTTGTGCGAGCACTGGACCACAAGTGACGACGAGACGGTTTGTACACGGCACGGTTCCCAACAGGCCCCCAACGGTTTTCCAGTCCCTCGATGTTTGTATCCTTCCACGTTTCGTCATGGTTGGATGACTTGTCCATTGCCTGGCGCGGATTTTAAATCTTTTGATTTAAAATCCGCACAATACACTCTCAGTTTCTTTAAATTGAGATAATCAAATATTTCATCGCTGTCATAAACAATTAATGTGGTTTGAATATTATGAATGAGTATTTTTTCCCTTTCAACTCCACCACCCCTCATGGATTCATGCATAGACGTTTCATCCACTTCTTCAAGTCCAGATGATCAACATCGCATTGTTGTTTCAGACTATGGGGCTGTTGTCAGTGCTGCCAATTCTTGTCGTCTGCTATGCGACTCTCGTCTACGCAGCTCCATGGCGCAACTACGAGGTTCAGCAGAGCCAGGTGTGTGGAGACAAGTTGGCAGACATGCTCTCCCTCATGTGCTCCGGAAGAGGGTACAATTTCGCCCTTAAACCGGAAGGTAAGAGTTTTAAAAATCAGTTTGAATAAACCTTAAATATTTTCTGGAAGTTAATCACTTACATCACTGTCCCAAATTTGTGAATTTTCATGAAGTGCAACATCTTTTGTCATCTTAGGTTAGAGGTCTTGCGGTAAAACCATTATTTCTTTGTAAAAAAAGTCCAAGAAAAAGTGGTTACAAATTTCTTTTATTTCTTAAAGGATTGCCAAGATTTTCCTCGTGGATGATTTTTTGCTACAGTTACCGTATAAACCCAATTGTTATTTTATCATTGAGTACCTATCAAAACATTAAAGATTGCAATGCAAAACTCTAGAACTCTGCAACAATTTTAAATCTTATTTTACAAATACAAATATTTTGAAAATTTTTAACTGTCTTTCAGCCTTTCAGGCTTGATAGCATGATAGCTTCAGCAAAAGATTTTTTTATCTGCTCCTCCTTGATGAAATATAGCTTTATTTGCATTTATAACCTATAAACTAGCTCTTGAAACTAAAATCGTACCTGTTACAGGTACAAGAGCCAGGCGGATCCGGCGGGGCATTGTCGAGGAGTGTTGTCGGAAGAGCTGCTCCCCCGCCGTGCTGGAACTGTACTGCATAGCTGACCCCACCGAACCTCCATCAAACATACAGATCAGGTAGGTCAGTCGATAAACTTATTTGATTGGATCAAGATTTGCAAATGGAAAACCGAACCTAAAAATACTACAAGTAGAGTAGATAACACAAGTAGGATAGTCAAAGAACTACAGCTAGCTAAGCAGCTAAGGCATACAGCTACTCAAAAGTTTAAAGAGTTGGAAAAAAGGTTTTAAAGCAACCTTAATAAGTCTAGACCCTGCAGAAAATTTGTCAACGCACAAGCCAGCGTCGAGTAGAGTCGAGGAAAAATCCTCTGCTAACAAAATTTTGACGTAAAACGCTTTAAAATAGTTATTTGTGTAACTAGTGGTGAAAGTGGCACTTTGCTGCATACGAGAGCAATGTTTACGCACGAGCCGCAGGCGAGTGCGGAATGATCTCGAGTGCAGCAAAGGCCTTTTTCACTCGTGTTGCACATTATATTTTTCCTACAGTCACTATAAGGCATTTAAATAATTAGTCTTTCAAACACTATACAACACGTTTTTAGGTTCAGCTGGCAACACAAATGGTGCCCTAGAGAAAGTAGTACCCGCGGTCCATATCACTCCGCTATTTTTCCTCGGCAAGAAATGTGCTCCGCGTTTTGAGAATATAGTTCCGTATGTTTTTGTAATTTGAAGTGTTTTCCGCGCCTAAAAAAAATTCTTTAAAGGTATTTTCTTGTTTATTAAGATCGTAGGAATGTTTTAAAAACGTTTAAAAGAAAAGTCCAGAAAGTTCAGAAATACCGAAACTATAAACACGAAATGACAGGTTTAATCGTAGTTATAATAGTCAATCAGCTGCTCATAGTATTATTATCTTCAAGTGTTGCCAACCTATTTCCAAGCGTACACGGATTACGTGCATAATAGAACCACGCTGTTTTGTGTTGTTTCGTTGGAATCCTGATGTGCGGCAAAGTATAAACCGTACGGCAAAGTATAAATATGCAGCAATTAGCAGCTTTCTGTACTATAAACAGTACAAGGAAGCCAACTTTGTCGGGTGACTGTAGGAAAAATTTTTTTCCTAGCTAAAATCCAAAGTTTACTTTTTGTATTTACAATCTTTACGGCTCTGCAGAGTTCCATGGACTGATCAAAATTACGTACAAATTGATACTAGAGACTCCTCCTTTCATCCTTATAACTACTACTGCTTATGCAGAAGTATTCTTTTAGTCATAAAAGTGGATAGTCAAATAGAAAGAATAGAAGTTGTTTTCATAGTGTGTATTACTAGGTGGCGGTGGCGTTTGCAGAGGCATCCACAAAATTGAGCGGAGTCATCAATGGTTCATATTATATTGTTTTTGTTATACTGCAGTAAAAACAGTCGTTTTTAATGCATGCGTTGCGGGTTTAAAATAGAATTTTTACTCTCAGGGAGTAAAAATCATTTTTAGCCTCTGTGGAGTAAAAATCAGCTGTTGTCATCTCAGTTGTAAATTTCTATTGTAAACGATTGCATATATCGAAATAAGTATCGATTCGTGCTTCGTAATTATTTAAACCTACAGTCTACAGTCTCTTCCCATAGCATTTTAGCATTGCAGATACATTAATTGATTCCCACACTCAACACTGCTCAACTTTACTACTTCCATCACCACCACCTACGTCGTGGACCTGTTTCCCTCTCTTCCCATAGCATTTTAGGATTGCAAATACATTAATGTAAGTGCCAAATACAGTTCCCACACTCTGCACTGCAAGCCTTACTACTTCCTTCACCATTTACAACGTCATAGACCTGTTTCCTTCCCTTCTCATAGCATTTAAGTATTAGATACATTTATCTAACCGCCCAAACGGTTCCCCCACTCTGCACTGCCAGCCTTTACTACTTCATTCACCACTTCCTACATCGTGGGGCCTGTTTCCTTTCCTTCTCAGAGCATTTTAGGATTGAAGAAACATTAATCTAACTGCCACAGAAGGTTCTCACACTATGCTCATACTTTACTACATCCTAAGCAACTTCCTACATCGTGGACCTGTTTCCATCCCTTCCCATAGCATTTTAGGATTGCAGATTCCTTTATCTAATCGTCATAAACAGTTCCCATACTCCGGACTGCTCGCATTTACTACTTCCTTCACCACTTCCTACGCCACGAACCTGATTACCTCCCTTCCCTTAGCATTATTGGATTGCAAATACCTTAATCTATTGGTCATAAACAGATACCACACTCCGAAAAACTCGCCTTTACTACTACCTTCACCACTTTCTACGTCACGGACCTGTTTCCCTCCCTTTCTATAGCATTTTAGGATTGCAGAAACCTTAATCTAATCGTAATAAACAGTTCACACACTTCAGAAAGCTCGCCTTGACTACTTCCTTCACCACTTCCTACGTCGCGGACCTGTTTTCCTCCCTTCCCATAGCATTTTAGGATTGCAGATACCTTAATCTATTCGACATAAACAGTTCCCGCACTCCGGACAGCTCGCCTTGACTACTTCCTTCACCACTTCCTACATCGCGGACCTCTTTTCCCCCCTTCCCATAGCATTTTAGGATTGTAGATACCTTAATCTAATCGTCATAAACAGTTTCCACACTCCAGACAGCTCGCCTTGACAACTTCCTTCACCACTTCCTACGTCGCGGACCTGTTTTCCTCCCTTCCCATAGCATTTTAGGATTGCAGATACCTAAATCTAATCGTCATAAACAGTTCCCACACTCCGGACTGCTAGCATTTACTACTTCATTCGACACTTCCTACGCCATGGACCTGTTTACCTCCCTTCCCTTAGCATTATTGGATTGCAAATACCTTAATATATTGGTCATAAATATATACCACACTCCGAACAACTCGCCTTTACTACTTCCTTCACCACTTCCTACGTCACGGACCTGTTTCCCTCCCTTTCCATAGCATTTTAGGATTACAGATACCTTAATATAATCGTTATAAAAAGTTCCCACACTCCGGACTGCTCCCATTTACTACTTCCTTCACCACTTCCAACGCCACGAACCTGATTACCTCCCTTCCCTTAGCATTATTGGATTGCAAATACCTTAATCTATCGGTCATAAACAGATACCACACTCCGAACAACTCGCCTTTACTACTACCTTCACCACTTCCTACGTCACGGACCTGTTTCCCTCCCTTTCTATAGCATTTTAGGATTGCAGAAACCTTAATCTAATCATAATAAACAGTTCACACACTTCGGACAGCTCGCCTTGACTACTTCCTTCACCACTTCCTACATCGCGGACCGGTTTTCCTCCCTTCCTATAGCATTTTAGGATTGTAGATACCTTAATCTAATCGTCATAAACAGATCCCATACCCCGAACAGCTCGCCTTTACTACTTCCTTCACCACTTCCTACGTCGCGGACCTGTTTTCTTCCCTTCCAATAGCATTTTAGGATTGCAGATACCTTAATTTTATCGTCACAAACAGTTCCCACAGTCCGGACTGCTTGCCTTTGCTACTTCCTTCACCACTTCCTACATCGCGGACCAGTTTCCCTCCCTTCACATAGCATCATAGGATTGCAAATACCTTATTCTAAGGGTCATAAACAGATCCCATACCCCGAACAGCTCGCCATTACTAATTCCTCCACCACTTCCTTTGTCGCGGACCTGTTTCCTTCCCTTCCAATAGCATTTAAGGATTGCAGTTACCTTAATCTAATCGTCAATAACAGTTTCCACACTCCAGACTGCTCACCTTTACTACGTCCTTAACCATTTCCTACGTCACGGACCTCAAGCTAGTGTCGTCATTGAAATATATTTTTCATCCATATCGTTTCTGTTCTAATATCTGTGGAATAATGCTATCAGTTATTTCTTTATCTACTGCATTCAAAAGTCAACAGCTGATCATATGTCTTTGTTTATGTGTCAAATACTGCTTCCATATAAGGACTGCATTGAAACTTTGAAACCCAGTGGGGCGGATTCCTGAGGGACTTTTTTAACGCCATATAGATGTTGGCACTCACCGATATGGTCTTTATCACCATACAAAATTTGAAAACGATTGATTCAGCCGTCTAGGAGGAGTTTGCGTATTACGAAATGCATAAGAGTCGACGTATAAGAGCTTCGCTCAAAAAACATCAATGAAATAGACAGAAATAACAGCATGATATTAGTTAATTAGATAGATCACTTTTATAAGATAAATCACTTCATTATAAGATAGATTTGGTTTTCCTCATGGTCATAGATTCCACATCATTCTAACCTTACAACAATTACAACATAATGAATACTTTTTATGCAGGAAACGAAGTGACAGCGGATCAGAGAGCACAGAACAATCAGAAGTCACGAGCACCATCCCATCAAAGCCCGAAGCAACAAATACCAACACGATGGAAACAAAGACTACCAACAGTGTGACCAACCCGAAGGAAGGTGAAAACTACAAAATGATAAATCTCTTAGCATCCGCAGAACATTTTACAAACAAACTGACGAAGGCTTTGGTGACAAAGACTACGCCGAATGACACAACGGAAGAATTTCTATCGAACATTCCTCCTCTCCGACACCACAAGAACCATCATCACTACAGGAGGAAATTTCACAGTCGTAAGGCATCTACGAAGGCGAAAAAAGACAAGGTAAAAATGTGTTTATTATTGACTCTTTGTGACAAGAATTTTCCTGAAAGTCAGTTTGAGGGTGAAGAAATTATAGGTGGTGAGATTTTTGAGAACAGTAGAACTAAAACTGTCCGGATTGCCAAATACCTGGATGTCCTCAAGGAGAAGAAATTACCGTTTAATTTTTTAATGTTTGCCAATTGACAAAGGTCAGCGAGCTGGTCCAGTGGTAGAACGTGGGACTTCGGTCCCGGGTTTGAATTTGCCAAGTCAACAAAGGATTCTATCTAAGTAATAATACCTCAACCTCTAGGTCCAGCCTAAAGTAAATTTGAAAATGATCCCAGGCTAAAAACAAATTTTTAAAATTGTGCATGATGAATAACTAATCACAGTAGAACCTCGATAACAAGTTTTAGTTCTTTTCATCAAGGTAGACTCTTGTCAATATTTTAATAACATGTGATCAAGGGTGGTAATACATAATCGATTGGTGTTTGAAAATGACATTTGTTATCAAGGGTGACTTGTTATCGAGGTTTTGTTGTATTAATCACCATCCCATGAAAGACTTGTTATAGAAAAATGCTGCTATTTTATCTGTTAGTCACTCCAAAGTTTTTCTCACCATCTTAAGTTACAACATAATACTACTTAATATTATTTCAACCTTTTTTCATTTGCAGAATTACCACAGTACCAAGACATTTGAGATTGGAACGGTGAAGCCGTACTTTGCGGGCCGAGCGTTTGCGTCGTACAGAAGCTACGTACCACAATCGTAATCCTTCATTGGTAATATCGCCGACTGTGATATATAATTCCTACTTACCGGACACCTTAGTTAGGTTAGGTTACACTGTTTCCTGTAACAAAATGTCCACCTATGGTATTATAGATGAGAATAGTATTTTACATTTTTTACGACTTTCTTGTGTTTTGTTGTTGAAACACATCGTAAGTTTGATATTGTGTTATAATATGTTTGTGTAAAATCATTGAGGTTTTGTCAGTTATTAAAATTCCAGTTACAATTATATGTTAATACTAAACGTGATAAGATGTATATATTTTGTACTTACGAGGGTAGGATAAATACCTGTGATAAACTAGGATGTTAGAAAGCCATTAAAATTAGTGAGATCTATTAATAGTTGTAATTCAAACTACTGTAATAAATTTTTTTTCAATGAGGTAAAAATAATTAAAGAGAAGCTTTCATAAAAACTATAAAAGCTGCAACAATCTTCTCAATGCGTTAGCGTAAGTGCAGTAACGAGTACAAAAATATTGGATTGTATAAAGTTCTACGGTAAAAATTAATGTTTTATCTTTCAATTTAAATCCATGTGTGTTTTATCTTTATTTTTACTTTATTATAACACTTTTAAGAACATTTTTGAATCTTTTTTACTGATTTTACAAATATTATCGGTTAAGTTATTCTATTGCTTCTGCCATACGTAACACATTTGCATGTTTTGTTCAGCTATAACATGCAATTTACCTATAGTTGTTATGCTAGATTGTAGTTTTGATATACTCATTTTGTTCACTTAGCTTTCTGTTCTTGCGTCTTTTTTGTAAGCTAAGTATAAATCTGATCTCAAGCTTTTAGTGAAATAAAATAAAACTGAGTCTTCAACTTCATTTCCAACTTGAAATATATCCATATTCATTTGAGATGGGGACGCCACATATGTCTAAAGTAAGTTTTATTTTGTAATGATACATTAAGGCTGGGTTTTCCTTGGGGCGGCCGTCCTATTGTCTAAGATAATATAATGGTACTTTTTCCTCTAAGCGGAGTGGACTGCTACTGGACAAGTGGAAAATCGCTTTACCACATTCCGCTTCCGCGGCTAGGAAAACCCAGGTTTAAAGACTATATGAGAAATATATTATAAGTTCATTTTGTTTACAAAATGCAGGGAATGCTTCTACAATGTATAATAGAAATTAAAACTTTGTTTTTTATAGTTGAACCTTGGTAGCATCATTGACTATATTGTATGCCAAAATAATTTAAACTTAATTCATATATTAGAAAGTCTACATAATTTATAAAAATTGTTCTATTTTAAATTTAATATGTAATTTTTCCCATTTTTGTCTCCGTAATTAAATATTTAAAAAATTTAATTGATTATGATTAGTTTTACTAGAAAGTAAAATACTAATCAAACAGTCGCAGTCCTGTACTTTAAAACTAACAAATTATTCAATTTTTCAATTTTTATTTATTTACTACAGTAATTACAAGCCATTAATATGATCATCAGGTTTTTAAAAACTGTGCCTTATTGTGAAAATAGTTATGTAAGCTTTAATTGTAAAAATGAACAATGTAAACTATTTTTCTGTATATATTTTTGTAGGTAAATTTATTGTACATATTTATGTCTCCTAATTGTTATTTGTAAAGTTCTGATTTAGTTTAACGCATAAGTTTGAACAAATAAAAAACCATGAATACAAAAAGTTGTTTTATTTTCTTGACAAATCCTTTTTACTTAGAATAGCTATTTAGTTGACAGAAACTACAGTGAAACCTCGAAACTCGACACCTAGTAATCTTAGAGTCTGTGTTTAACTTGACAGTCTGTGTAACCCCGTCAACAGCTGACAGCACAAGCAAAAAAATAAATTTTTTCAGAACATAAAGTTTATTAATTGTAAAATATTAAACATTTATTTGAAGATTGTTTACTCAATATGTAAAAACACTCCTGTAAGTAAACATTTTGAATTAGTCTGTTATATTGTATCCATTTATTAGAACCCACTAAAAATTTTATGTTCTGGATAACTTGATAACCTCCGTCCATAAATTGTCGAGTTAGTGATGTTTAACTGTATTGAAAATCTTTTTGGGTAATATGATAGTTTGCATATTAAGAAGATATATTATTTCCAGTTTAGAGTCAAAACTTTTTCATCTATCAGTAAGCCTGGGAATTGTTGCTGGATATTAAGATTTGCTTTAGTTGGTCCAGATGGGATATCGCTACACTAGGGAAAATTCTGTTGATTTAGATGGTGTGTAGGGAGGGGCGAGGAAAAGCTTCCAACAACCCTGAGAGTCTCACCCCTAGACACAGTGGTAATGAATTAATCCAACCGCAATCAAATGTTTAAGATTATTAGAAAATACGACGTGAGGAATAAAATGCAAGAAATATATTTAGTAAGCATGTGAAATAGTTATTTGTGCAACTAGTGAGCAATTGACTCACTCGAGAGAAATACTTACTTACTTACTTACTTACTGGAATGGTTTCTCGAGTGAGGCAATTGCACTTTGCACCCAAGTTGCACATTATATTTTTCCTACAGTTACCATAAAACAAATAAATTGGTAAAGAAGCGTAACATATTTTTACTCAGAAGTGAACATTTAATATGACATTTAATGATACAACAGTACAACAGCTGACCAGCTGATTTACAGCCAGTGCTGCCAACGTATTTCGCGCCCATAAGACCTTGTCGGCATGTTACGCGCTCACTATTTCGTGCCTTCACGTTGCAAATCTGGAGTGAGAAAATGTTAACATTGTCTCACTGATGAGCGAATTGGCCACCTTTGCTTTCTCAAATCAGTGAGAGAACATGTACATTGTTAGGTAACTGTAGGAAAAATATGTGAATATATATGTTGCTAAGTAGCTGAGTGATTATAGTGCTCACTAGTAACCAGAAGGTTGCCGGTTAGATCCTGAGGAAAGCTAGAAGCAATTTGATGGTTCGATACTGGACCCAGCTGTTCCTGCTCATTGGGCTATAAATGCTCCTGACAAATGAAACAGCTGATCTTAGTCAGTTAAGCTACACAGATCATCTCACTCTATTCTACACTAACCTTTCATTCATATTGAGCTTAAAATACGCATCCAAGTTGGCTTCGCCGTTTCAAAGAATTGATGATAATTGATTGAAATTAACGAAGGCGACATCCTGTTTGCTTCTAATTTACATGATCTATTTTTTTAAATAATTTAATATGACTTATTGATGGAAAGTAAACTTATGGAGTTAAGGTGCAAATTTAATTTAACTTTTTATATGACTTTTCATCTTAAAGAAATATAGGTAACTAAAATTCTGTTTGCAATACCGGTAACATTCAGGTATTTTATTTTTAATTCAAAAGCTTTGTTATGGTTGCTTGTAAATAATTTGAGACAAGGTTTTTGAGGTAGTATCAGTGTTTGAATCAGAAATAGATGACTACATGTAAATGTAAATATTAGTTCTGTATCTGGTCAAAAAGAATATGAGATAGTAGGAATGAAATTAGCTGTAACTACAGGGCAAGGCAATGAGAGCGCTCATTTATAAATAGTACAAATTCAATACTATACCCTATACATATAAATAGCACAGTTTATCTGATGCCATTTTAACTTGACAGAGGCAATTTTCCATCAACATCCTTCAATTGACATTGTTGTCCTACTTAACGTTCATTCGTTGATTGAAAATTCCATTGAATACTCGTTCGAGCCTTTCTTCAGGAATCACCCTAATTTCCTGAACAATTCTTAGCTTCAGTTCCATCAAATCTCTTTTGGGTAATGAAAAACCTTATACTTTAAGTAGCTTATAGTGAGAACCCCCAATGAAAGACAAGAGCCAATGTAAAGCTTCCAAGGAAAGCTTCCTGGCAAACCTCTTTGGACTTCGAGTTACTGCGACTTACACTCTTTCAACATTTAATGGTGTACGAAGAGTTTTGCGGATTCTGTTGATTACCTACTTTTACAGTTTAATTTGCTATCCTTAATAATTTTAACCAGCTCCCTATAGTTTTCAGACTTAGCCCACACCTTATGAAGGAGGTGCATGGCATCATAATTGTCTGGGTAGCAATATTGAATTCGTGCTCGCCTTGCTAATCGTGGTATTCACGTTGGGGGTTGCTGGCTTTATTCAAACCGAGATCGATTAAAGACCCAGAGATGTCATTGGGCTGTCAAATGATGCTTAACAATCGGTTGTTATTTGATAATAACAAGATGAGGGTAAGGACCATTCCCTTACAAAAAACTTTAAAATAACGCCTTTAGCGTGGAAAGCGCATTATCATTATCAATTGAGATGGGTTCGCCACCTAAGCTCGTATTTTAATCCATGAGTGAAGGATGAGTGTAGAATCATAGACAAATAAATATAATTAAATATAGATTGTCAGCCATGTTGCGCTTACCATAGGTTCTGGCGCACACTGCTGGGAGCGCCATGTAGTTACGTCGTACGCGCTGCGTAACTACACGGTGCTCCCAGCGGTGCGCGCCAGAAACTATGGTAACCGCAGCACGGCTGACAGTCTATATATTTAATTGTTTTTCTCTATGGTAGAATGGAGTGAGATGATCTTTATAGTTTTGTTACTGACTAAGATCAGCTGTGTCATTAGGACCATTTATCCAAAAAATTTGGGAAAAGAAATTCTGAGAAAAAAGTTTGAAGTTCTTCATAGAGTTATTTTTTCTTTTCATTTTGGTAGTGTATTATGAGCATCCTCTTCAAATGTTTGACTTAAACATGTTTTTCAAGCCAGTTTCTAATTTACCTCATTGAACCAACAAATGTTATGTCACCGAAAGTAAAGTTTATCACTAATGTTTACATTCTTCCTGATGTCTTATCTTCAGATATAGAGTTCGGTGACCAACCAAAACAAATCTATTCTAAAAATAGACGTGTTAAAACTAGCTGTTACCGGTCATTAAATGTGTGTAAAAAGTTCAGTTGTTCTGCTGTAGTTTAGGTAGCTAACTAAGTAATTCTAAAAGTTGGTCTTACTTGAATTACCTAAGAAATTGTTAATGTTCTATTCAAACGTTATAAAGGAGGGCCCAAACATTTAGTTAGCGTTCAATGAAAAGTTTTATAGAACTTTAAGGGACCCAGTATTAGTTCTTTGACCATTCCTCCCCATAAGCTCAAACACTAATAAAATTTTAAAAAATATCCAGTCTCCCTTCTCCCCCTCTACCAAAAAAAAATCTAAACCCCAACGATAATATGATTATTTTACTAAACAGTAAGAGTTAATTATAGACTTAATAGTTGACTTAGTTACAGTGTTGTAGTCATAAATTTGTGTGGAAAACCTCATCGAGGTCATGGAAAAATTTGGATTGCTTACCAATAAATAGGTTTTTTGGGGTTCTTGACCCCCTGTTTAGTTGGGGTTCTTGAGCATAATACTAAATTATTTTTTTAAGTTTGATTTTCTAGCTATAACTTCCCCCCAATTTAAATTTACCACCTGATTGTCCAATTCTCTAACCTCTTCTAAACGTGCTAGAAACTCTGAATTCAACACTATTGTAGATCTTGGAACCAAAACCCTGGATTGTTTTAAAATAGAGACATTGCAAAGACATAATAATCGTCTCCTGCGATCATGACCAAATTTTGAACATCACCATCGATCATGAAGTCATCATCATCTGTCCATGGGCGTCCATCAATAAGGACAAGGGGAGCCCCTAGCCCCTCACCCCTCCTATATGAGCCCCCACATTAACCGAATTTTCAAAATTATGCAAAACAACAGTAAATTTACATTACCTAAAGCAAATTCAGTTACAAAATGTGTGAAATAAACCATTTTGTACATCGATTTTAAAATTGTTTGGGGGAGGACCCCTGAATCCCCCCTTTTCACTGGGGGTTATTCCTTACCCATCATGCCCTCCAGTCCCCTTATGGAACAGTTATATGGATGCCCATACAACCGTGAAGATTGCGGGAATATTAAACATTTCCCTTGATTGCAAAGACAACACATATGTTTTTGTTATTAATAAGATTTCCAAATTTCAGAAGTCATTTTAGGGGCTGGGGCACTTAAGGATCACCTATTAGACGATGTTGCCAGACCACACTCATGGCTGAATATCTACTTCCGTCCAGATTATAATGCACATCATGGGTCATGTAACATAGTTTTAAACCTTTTGCTCTATAGGTCAAAGATCAATATGTACCTTTGTTATTTTGACCTTCGCTCGCAAGAAACATTGTTCAATTAGTTTTCATTGTAAAATTAACCAATGTCGCTTATTTAATGCTTTTTATTTGTTCATAATAAACCTAAAACGTATATAACAAAGATAAAATGGAGGAATTAACAATGAATCACCCGGCACAGATAACACAGAGTATAAATAAACTTGTATAAGGATTAGTCGATGTACAGTCATCTTTAAGCCAGCTCTTCGAGAAGGCACTTTTTTCAGTTGGTGGTTTCCGTAAGTTTTTATTTAAAAAGTTAGTGTAGATTTTTTAACTATTGTTTTTTTTTTCATTTTGATCATGTAAATTATTGTTGTCTTGGTAAAATTTATTCTAAAGAATTATCACAACAATATTCATTACTTAAGATCTAGGTTTAATATTGTTTATAAATTATAAGTGTCTCAGACCATTTCATAGTCAAAGTTTATTTCAGTAATTTAACCTTCGTACACTTTAAAATATTTATGTATATTACAAAGGAAAGTCAATTGGCAAGTAAGTATTGTTTTTAAGGAAATGAGTCCAGGAGCTAAACATATAAAAACATAACACTGATACTTAATCCTGATGCAGATCTTCTTCAGACAGTAGGTTGAAGATCAATGTACATATTTCATAATTATTCTCGTATGAAAAGAGAAGACAACTAAGTAAATTTAAATGTTTTTTTATCTATAGTTCACCATTTTGACTATTTTAACTTTGATATTATTTTTTTATTAACTATTTTTGTTATAAAAACTATATTTTACCAACAACATATTTCTGTGACTTATGTTTTTCTGGCAAAGAAACCTTATTAAAAAAAAAATAGAATCAAAGTAGAATTGAGTTTTAAACAGTCTCCAAAATACTCATTTGGCTCCAAAGTTAAAAACAAATACAAATATTTTTATTATGAAAATTACAACAGCTTGGCCTCACCAAGTTAAAAAAAAAACTTGTAGGTGAGGTCCAATTGATACAATATAAGGCTAACAAACAAATAGTTTACATTTTTTTTCTTTTTTTGAACAAAGTTTTCTTAATATCCTATATTTCTACGGCGGTTTGTGGCAGGCACTTTAACTTAAAACAAAGTAGTTGGCAGCACACTAAAAATCTAAAATGTAAAAACATTTAGTTGTTTACCGAACTCAGTATTTCAGTGATTAATTGTATTTTTGGCCGATACAGACATTGTTGGTCACTTCCAGACTCACACAATATCTTATCATTTCAGTCAACACAGACAGTGACTTTCACTCAAAGACCTTTCATCTTCATGTACCAAACTGAAAACTAAGGTTAGTTGACTTAGTTCTGTCGAGGGCGTTTAGTATCTGTTGAAGTAGTTGTATAATCTAAATATATTCATATGGTACACTGTGTCCCTAAATTGTAAATACTCCAGTGATATATGTTTCTCGATGTATATTACAGAAGATGACTCGACCTGTGGTGTGGTTTTTAACTGCTTGCTGCTTTATGACACTTGTACAGAGTAGCGTACGATTGAGGCTTTGCGGAAAACAAATTTCTGAAGCCATAGAGCTGCTTTGTAAGGCCAAGTATGATGGGCCGACTTGGACAGAGAGTAAGTACCAAAAGAAAGAAATTTTGTTAAGGTTTCAAGGTCTAAAACATTATTCATTAATTATTGTACAGTAGACTTTTTTCATTCGTAGAGATTCATTTATGGGACCATAAGCATTTTAACATGTTGAGTCGATGGCTCAGCTAGTAACCCCCAAGGCAGCATTCCTGTTACCTGCCACTATACTTTTACGTTAAAAATTTCACCATTGTACTTTATCAACAAAGGATATTCAGATTCAGATAGACTTTATTCAAGATTTGCATTATACAAATATAAATGCATATATTTGATATAGCCACGCATGCTCAGGACTCAGGCCTCTGTGGCCCATGTGGACGGGCAAATGCAAGGTAAAAAAGGCCCCCACCTCTATAAAAAATACTACTTTTTGTGATTGTATAAACTGTTCCTCTCAATAATAAATCGGTCTTGGATCTAGGTCTTATTATGCAACCTATGGTAATAGCACAGACAAAATGATACAAGGGAGTATTTTTTATCTATAGTAATAGCTTTTTCTTTCCGAGGGAATTCGCTAAAACTAGGATTAATGGTATTTCTTTATATGCTTGTGACTGTATAGAATACAAATTCATCGTATCATGTTTTTGTCTTATTCTTACAGAAACAAATGATAGGAGGTTCAAACGCAATATTATAGAGGATTGCTGCATACGTCGTCGTTGTACAATGGCAGACTTGGAACTCTTCTGTGATAATGAAAGGTAATTTTACTTTTTTTTTTAAATGTTGGTACTGGATTTATCAAGTTAAACTAAATCAAATTTTTCTTTGCTTTTGAAGTTGTTGAACAATATTCCAATTTACTTTTCAGAAAAGGAACTTTAATCTTAGATAAAAGTTTGTGTTGTTAGACATAAGAGATGGACAAATTATTAAGACAATATCAATACAACCAATATGTTTGTATAACAAACATTTTGGGACTAAAGTGGATATTAGTAAATAAAAGAACAGGTATTTTTAAAATAGTGTTCATTCTATAGATATTTTAAATTTTTGCAGTTAAGCGCTGGCAGAGTCAAGTACAGATGCAGTTAGGAAGTGAGGATATTGGAATGGAGAACTGAAAACGTATTTCGATGTTTCAAACACTTGTAGGTACCAGCTTAAAAAAGGTCAAAAAGCTAGAAGAAATCAAGAAACAACTCCAACAAACATTTTGTGAGAATATTTAATGTAGAAATAAAAAATAATATTTTTAATTTGCGTCTTGTTATTTATATTTAACCTTATAAATAGTCCATATTTCAAGGTCAGTATAAACACACATTCTGGAAGTACAGAAGCTATATAAAATAGAGGTTGTAAAGATTATTGGTTAAATTGGTCAACTAATTCAATCAAAAGGTCGGTATTGAGGAAAGTCAGTAGGTTTGTGATGGTTCGAAAATGGACCCAGCCGTTCCTGATCATTGGGCTTTAAATCATTTTTGTCTTTAATATTTTATTTGCAACTGTTAAAAAAAAAAAAAAAAAAAAAAAAAAAACAATGAGCAAATGCGCTAATGGGTTAACAACAATAACACTGACATGAAATTCATACAAAAAGAGTAGGCTCAGCAGCTGTACTCCTTCAGCTGGCTATTCCTTGTCGAGGCTGTGATAAACATGATATTGATAGAATGCCATTAATATTAGTGATTGAGTGTTTTAGTTGTTACTCAAACTGCTGTAATCAATTTGTTTCAATGAGGGTAAATAAAATAATTAAAGAGAAGGTTTCATCAAAATTATAAAAGCTGCAACAATATTTTCTCATAGCGCAAGTGCAGTAACGAGTACAAAATTGGAAAATACCAAATATTGGATTGTAAAAATACTACGCCACAACCGCTTGCCGAGCAATTTTTTAGACTACCACTTCACAGCGGTAGTTTTGTCTAGCGCATGTGCAGAGGTGCGCCTCGAACATTTCTCATTACTAGTAATAAAACAAAAAGGTTTAAAATACTGATTTCTATGTTCTCCTCTCTATAACTAATAACAAAAAATATGACTTTCTTGTAGATCATTTAAGATTATTTAATATATGACTGACGTTTTTCTGAACGCCATGGTTTTTTTTAGTTATTTACAAAAAACCTAAAAAGAGAGACATTTTAGAGCCCCCTAGCCCCCTAAGCAACACCCCCACCAATCATTTCTTTTAGTATGGGTAATGATAATGATAATTTATTTGCAAATAAATAAATTATAAAATTAAATTATTATCAAATGAAATCATCAAATTTTTAGTATATGTTGTTTAAGGAGCATTAATTTACAACTGAACCAAATTTGGCTCATACGTGCATATTTTTTCCTCTATTTATTATTTTTTGTCTTCTTTGCCTAGATTACTAGCATAGCCCAAATTCTAAGAGGCAGTGCTGGCCCCTGCTACCTCAAAACTCCCACTAGGACGCAGTACACTTTTCGTGTGGAATGGCTCGTTCGTGGTAAAACTTCAGCACGTCGGTGTGGCATGGCCTTCATTGTGTACATTTGCTATTTGTTATTTTGACCTCCGTTCTCAAGAAACATTGCTCAATTAGTTTTCATTGTAAAATCAACCAATACCGTATCGCTAATTTACAGTAGTGTTTTTTTATTTGTTCATAATAAACTGTAGATAAAGTAGAGACATCAACAATGAATCACCGGCAGCTTAGATAACAAAGAGTATAAATAAAACTTGTATAAGGATTGGTCGATGGACAGTCTTCTTTGAACCAGCTCTTCGAGAAGGTACTTTTTGAGTTGGTTGGGGGTTACCGTAAGTTTATATAATTTTTGTTTATATTAGTGTAAATTTTTACTATTGTTTTTTATCTTTTGAACATGTGAAATATTTTTTTGGATTCTAAAAATTGTTTTAAGAATAATTCAATACGTAAGATCTATGATTTGTTATTGTTTGTAATTTATAGTGTCTCAGACCATTTTACAGTCAAAGTTTATGTGAGTAATTTTAGCTACAACAAATTGGTGAATTTTCACTTTTAATAGATTTACAATTTTTAAATCTTCATTATTGGTTACCCTTATTGATGATAAATTTGAACTACAGTGGTAGTAGATATAGTTTTTTCCAGTAATATTTTTATCCCAACTAAGCCAACCTATTTAATTTTAATTTTAAAACTTTTATTTTTACTGTTTTAAACTCTGTGAAAAAAATGATCAAATAATATAAAGTATTATAATAATTTATCTATCTATTTTAAAAACTATCAAGTAAATGTCTTGCTATAATACTGATAGAAAATCGAAAACAAGAGTAACACTATCAAATATTTATGATACTACAAAGGACACCAATTGGATTGTCTTAAAGGAAATGAGTTCAGGAGATTGATACGTACTCAATAAAACAACTTAAAAAACATAGCACTGATATTTCAGTAGGTCTTCTTCTCAGAGTAGGTTGAGGGAAAATGTATATATTTCGTGCTGATGTAGAATTTCTTCTAAGACTAGGTTCAGGGAAAATGTATCTATTCTTAAACGACATGGTATATTAGGTGAGGTCAATACTTCAGTATGATAATATTTTTGTTGGGCATCACTCACCTTATTGAAGTCACGAGAACGTAGTCCTTGTCATGTCACAATCATACACAGTTCATTGCACATAAAATATACAAAAATAAAAATAAAAATAAATCCAAATTTAAAATATTAGACAAAAGTTCTCAACACCGACGTTTCGCCGCACCAAAATCAACGTGCGGCGTTTTCAAGGTTATTCCTCTTCTCACGTAATCGTTGTGAGCGCCTAACCACGACTGACGACCCCGGTGGTGGAGGAGGGGGAGGGGGGACTCTGTTATCAAGAACAGCTGATGGCATTATCTTCTTTTGTTTAGATTTTTCTATGCATCCTTTAATTTCTTTCTCTATTAGTGTATTGTAAACCGGGCTGATATCAATGGATGCGTTGGCTAATGAATCTTGATCTGAAGTAATAAACAAAGCCTCAATAATATTCCTTTTCTTCCAATTAGGCTCCTTGTATAATATACAGCTCTCCTCCCACTTTATACAATGCCCGGTGTCATGAACATGTTCAGATATTTTTGAACCATAGGTTACACGTGTATCAACTTTTTTCATGTGTTCATGAACCCGTATGAGAGCCGGTCTTGAAGTTTGACCTACATAGCTACGTTTACACGAGCATGGGACCTTGTACACCACGTTTTTATTGTCATTACCACAGTTAGGAGGTTTCACTTTAGATACCTGTCTTCTTATCGTGTTTTTTGAGGTAAAGACCGTCCTAATACCTTGCTTAGCATTCACGCGCCGTATTTTCTCCGAAAGGTTTTTAATATACGGAATGCATACTGTGGCCAGAGGTTTGTTATCTTTAGGTGGTAAACTTGTATCAGAGCTGGATATTTTTCTTATTTTTCTTCAGATCAAGATTCATTAGCCAACGCATCCATTGATATCAGCCCGGTTTACAATACACTAATAGAGAAAGAAATTAAAGGATGCATAGAAAAATCTAAACAAAAGAAGATAATGCCATCAGCTGTTCTTGATAACAGAGTCCCCCCTCCCCCTCCTCCACCACCGGGGTCGTCAGTCGTGGTTAGGCGCTCACAACGATTACGTGAGAAGAGGAATAACCTTGAAAACGCCGCACGTTGATTTTGGTGCGGCGAAACGTCGGTGTTGAGAACTTTTGTCTAATATTTTAAATTTGGATTTATTTTTATTTTTATTTTTGTATATTTTATGTGCAATGAACTGTGTATGATTGTGACATGACAAGGACTACGTTCTCGTGACTTCAATAAGGTGAGTGATGCCCAACAAAAATATTATCATACTAAAATGTATCTAGTTCATAATTTATTCTCATGAAAGAGAAGACAACTAATAAGTACCTGATTTGAATGTATTTTTATTTATAATTTAATTTTAAACCCTTTTTTAGATTGAAACAATTTTTACAATGACCAACAACATATTTCTGCGAATTTCTTGGGGCAATGTCAACTAACTTAAAAAAAAAGAAATAAAATATAGTAAAATTGAATTTTGACCAGTCTCTAAAATGATCATTTAGCTTGGACGTTTGGTTGCTTAAAGAGCACAGTATTTTAGTGATACATTGTTGGTTTGAGTCAGCCGCACATGATAATACCTTATCATTTGAGTCAACACTGACTTAAACTCAAAAATACTCAAGGACTTTTCATCTTCATGGATTCAACTAAAAAATAACGTTTAGTTCTGCCCGGTTTCTGTCGAAAATAGTTTCGTTGTCAAATATTTTTTTTTCAACCAATTTGAAAACCAAAATTGAAGATAACAATCCTATTTTTATGAACTTTAACTTATCTTTTAGTATTACCCTGAAAAGTAAGACAAATTTTAAAGACTACTCTAAAATAGAAATACACTTTTATTTTTACTTTACACAAGTGTTGCCGGCATGAAATACAAGACAGATCTAAGATTTTACGATAAATCTGGGTTTTCCTCGGCACGGAGGGTCCGCTCTCCTCTTGTTTTAAGAATTTACGGTACGCTTTTCATACAAGCGGAGTGGGCCACCAATAAAATTTGCTTCTCTGCGCTATGCTCTCTGTGTTCCGTGCTCCTCTTCTTTGCCTAGGAAAACTCAGCTTAAGATAAGAGCTACTCGTACTATTCGAAAGACAATGCTTAAACCAAAACTCTTCTACCTTTAAGCCACGTTTACAGGAGGCGAGTAGGGCAGGTAGGTTACGCGACAGGTTACTTGCCTCTAATGTATTTTAAGTTACCTTAGGCAACCTGTCTGCCATTTGACGTCGTATAAACGCGGCTTTACAATGATCGCACAGGCAAGTGTATAGCAGCTTGGAATACTAAGCAAGTTGTATATTCTAAATTATATTCATATTCATATTGTTTCCCTAAATTGCAAATATTCCAGTGATGATGTTTTCCATGTGTATTACAGAAGATGACTCGACCTGCAGTGTGGTTTTTGACTGCATGCTGCATTATGATTCTTGTCCAGAGTTCCCTACAAGCTTCGACCTTCAGGTTTTGCGGGAAAACATTGGCTAGAACTTTGAAGTTAATATGTAATAGGTTTGAACCTATTGGATCAGAGGGTAAGTGCCAAAAGGTCTAACTAGTTTACATTTCAAGGACTAAAATATTAATGACTATAAAGTATATTTTTTTATTCGGACACCGCAGGACCATCAGCACTACTAAATTTTCGAGCTAATATAAACTGCTCTTTGCAATAATAAATTTGTATTAAAAACTACACCCATACACATCAAAATACCTAATACATAAAATAAAATAAAATACCTAATTCATAGAAAAATTTTATATATTCTGACGTTGTCTATTGTACTTTTGTATTTGACGACAATAAAGATATACTTATTCTTATTCTTAAATACACCCTCCATAGTATGATAAAGAATACTGCAAGACATCAGATTTAAAGTTCAGGCTCAACGTTTATTTATTCATTCATATTTAGCCATTTTCCTATGTGTCATATACTGTATTTAAATAAAGAGGATTTTCCCTATATTAAAAGGTCTTCATCGAGCTCGCCAACCAAGCGAGCGAGTTTCTCAAGTTATTCATCTGTTCTCGGACAGACACACACACATTCAAAATACGCACGTAGAAAAATATTTGTACAAATAGTGTTTATGGCTCCTGAGACACCAAAATGAACAAATAAATTGGTGGGTGTAGGTTTTACCGAGCCACCTACATAGTAAGAACTTCTTCCCTTTTAGGGGGAATTCACTAAAACTAGAATTAATACACTTTATTCATTGTTACTGTATAAGATAAACATATTTATTTATTGTATCATGATGTTTTTGTCTTATTTTTGCAGAAACATATAACATTGAGAGGCAAAAACGCAGCATTAGCGAAGAATGCTGCATGAAGTATTGTACATTAGCCGACATTAAAGCCTACTGTGTGCTTAGGTAATTTTACATTTTTGTAAAGAAATATTTACCTGGATTTATCAATTTGAACTAAATCAAAATATCATTTCTTTGTTTTTGAAGTTGTTGCACATTCCAAATTACTTTTCAGAAAAGAGGAACTTATTTAATCTTTAGATAAAAGTGTGTTTCAAAATGTAATAGGTAGGTTTGTACTTCTGGTACTAAAGTGGAGATGAGGGAGAGGGTAAAAACGAATAGATGTTTTAAAAACAATTGTGATTCTATAGATATTTCAAAAATTAAAATTATTTTTTGCAGCTAAGCACAGACACAAGTCAAGTACAGTTGCAGTTAGGAAGTGAAGATATTGGATTGGAGAACAGACGACATATTTCGATGATTCATGTCGACCACTTGATGTGGATACCAGATTTAAAAATATAAAAATCTCTAGAAATAAAATCAAGGGAAACCTAATCAACATCTTGTGAGAATATTTACTGTAGAAATAAAAAATATGTTGGTTCATACCCTCTTGTTATTCATGTTTAACCTTATTAGTTCTTCATCATTTCAAGGTCAGTTTAAACACTCATAGCCTGGTAATTTTTCTTTTAGTATTAAGTGTAGAGTGATAACAGTGGTGGTAAAAAAATGCAGTTAAACATTTTTATCCAGGAGACTCAAAAATGAAAAATTAAAAAGGTGAAATTAATAGAAGTACTAAAAATTTATAATAGAAGTACTAAACTAAGGAGATAGTTCAAAAGTCGTTGATTCTTATTCGTATTTAGTCTAGGTTATTTCGTCTAAAAGTTCCTTGTACTTGTTATCATAACCAACTTGTACTAACAGTAAACAAAATAGGATTAAATTATATATTACTAGCTATAACCCGCGGGCTTTGCCCCGTTTAACTTCTTAATTTTCAATATGATCTCGTTCGCATGGCTCAATCACGTCCTGGTTGGAGCTCCGTTCGCTACGCTCACTCACCTTTAGGTTGGAGCTCGTTCGCTGCGCTCACTTGCCTTCAGGTTAGCTCGTTCGCTACGCTCACTTGCCTTCAGGTTAGCTCGTTCACTACGCTAACTCGCCTCCAGGTTGAAGTTCGTTCGCTATGCTCACTCACCTTTTGGTTGCAAATTAGCTGTTGTCATAAATGTAAAAGAAATAATAGTGCTGCACCCTGTTGGTAATCCTTGTAACTTTAATGCTATTGAACATCATAGAACAGAACACAGAACCAACTTGTTTAATTGAAACAGCTGTTAAGATTCATTAATTCCATTTCTCATAAGGTTAAACATGGGAAACTCCAGAGCCACTGGGGCGGAGCCGATTGGACGGATCACGAAATTGATGGTGTACAAACCTATTCCATGAAATTCTACACGTATGTTCCAAGTTTCGTGGCAATCGGTTCAGCGGTGTCTGTGTTTATCACTGCCAAATATATATATATACAAACATCCTCTTTTATACTTATAGATTTGTTTTTGATACAGCTTGGAACAGAGTTTAACTGCGATGATTAAAGTGCAGAAATGATAAGTACGAAAGCATTTCTATTGGTTTTAATCAGGGGTGTTTCAGGTTTCAGCAAAATATTTTTTATTTCATGCCTAACAGATTATTATACTTTAAAAAATACCATAATCTATGGTGTAAAACCACTAATAACAAGAAGCATTATAATGCTTCTCTCAAGCTGCATAGCTTATTGATTGCTTATCCTTACTGGATAGCGCTGGGTTCACAACGATATGGTAGGCATTCGGTCAAATATCGAGCTTGTTTTCTACCGGATGACAGACATCGACTTTTAGTATCGGTATCGGCTCTCTGGCTCACCGCACCGGCTGTCTCATACTCATGGTGGAATAGTAAACTATTGCCTTGGTGCCTTCTGCTGCAGCTGCTCCTATAGCTCCTATGTCTGTCGTCAAACGTCATAATGTGGCCTTGACGACGGAAGGCCATAATTTTATTCACAATATTACAGTGAGAGTGAATGCAAATAAATAAGTACAACATAATATCTGAACCTGGCATAAAATTTGCCAATGAAAATGTTTATCCAATTACAGTAAGGCTGATAACCAGCATGATAAATATATAAGAACTTAAATTACGGAGGAATTTTAAAATTAATATTCCAGTAACTTGCGCAATTAACGCCGGATAAATTACCACCCCCTTACTTTTAAAAGCGTTTAGATGACCTTTGCATATTTCCTCCATAATAATGCACTATGCACCATGAAACTGATCAAAAGGAACAATGTTGGAATAAATTAAATCAAATATTTTCCTCTCCTTTTAGGCTAGTGCTAGTAGTTTTTGTAATCTCTTGTCTTCTCTCTTCTGTCTGTCGGTGTTGGTTGGTTTGGTTTTTTTTTTAACAAAGTTTATTTACAATCTGTTTTACATTAAACAATTAATAATTAAATACGATGACATTTTTATTAAAATAAAAATTGGAAAACATTAGTTAGCAGCTAAACTGGTTTGTTTACGTTTTGGTTGGTTGGTTGGCGCCATACATCTTGGGTTGGCGCTATGGAAGCCAATCGATTTACGATATTCGATAGTAGCTGTTTTCATACTACGAAGATCGATACTTAACCGTATGCCTACCATATCGTTGTGAACCCAGCGCTATCCAGCATTACTCGTAACAAATTAAATTCCCGCGTTGCGGAATTCGTTATTGTTTTGCTGTCTGCACCTGGAGACATCATAACATAACCTCAAATAAACAAATTATTAGTCTATAGAAAGTCTAATAGATAGGCCCTAGATAACAAATTTACACGTTGATGACTGACAGAAGGAAAAAACCCTGGAACGCTTAATTGGTAAGTTGTATTTCGAAAATAGACATAAAGATGTAATGTTACTTAGTAATAATATGATTTACAATAGCTATGTTTTGAAATTATAAGTATTGTCAAAGTTAATAAGTGCTTAATAGAATGGGCTTTGATTGACCTAGCCTCGGTTAAGGTCCAGAATTAATATACAATCTCATAATCTATTCCATTTTACAAGGCTAACAATGTACGAAATTATGGATAACTCTCTTACTAAGTTATGTCGAATGAGAAATTTTCTAGAACACAATATAGCCTACAAGAGCTAGGGCCTATCGTTATAGGGTACAGAAATCATATTAAGATCGCATATACAGGTTATGTTGTTTTTTTAGAACCATCCTTGTATCAAAATGTCAGTGACAATATACATTTGATTTTAATTTTTAAATATAGGCCTACCAAATGGGTACACAACCTGTAGCCTAACTTATGACGTATGATCAAATTTCTTGAATCCTCTTTATTCCCTGTATACAAGAGCTGTCTGTAATAAGGCCTTCAACAAGCTCTCTTGGATGACCTAGATGGTAAACATTTTACAAAAGCATTTTAATTATTACATTATCCACTAAATATAATATAGTCTATATGGTTTCCTACCAAAATGCGATAATGGGATTGTCATAGTAACTGAAAACAGCGTGAATAAAAGTCAAGGCTCTTGCCCAGTATGAATAGCATCCTGTGATTAGATTTCCGTTCTAAGGAATCAACATCTATTGAAATGCATTGTTTTAGGATACAGTGTTTTAGACCTAGCTGAGGAAATTGTACGAGTAAGCAGTAGATGAGTTCGGAAGTGGTTGTAAACAGTTGCACAATGTTTATGTTGTACATGATGTAGGCCAACTTTTGTCTTTCATCATTCTCGTGACCAAATTTAGGAAATTTTTCATGAGGATTGCGGTGTGACTTAACAGGTGATTGTGATTGATTAAGTGATTGGAGCAACCTTTAATACTACCAAGGGCAATGGTAAACATACCATCAAGCAAAGTTTTCTCAACCTAAATCACTTACTCGATGGAAAATGACAACCACCTGCTGCTGGCCTCGTTTTGGAAATATGCGTACACGGCATCATAACACTCTGCTTGATTCGCATCAATCAACTAGCAACGGATTTCAATAGGGGTTGAGCCTAGTGATGTAGTGGGCTAGAAACATGGGGGTGCAGTTTTCCCACTCTGATTTTTCAGAGAATACTATATTGTATTAAGATGTGAGCCGAGTTTTTTCAGTCTTAATGTTGCCTGAGGTTTTGATGAAACATTCGACATCTCCTGTGATCGTTGTAGCATCTAGAACACCTCCGATGTTAGTATTTTCTTTGATGATGGTGAATGTTCCCTAACTAAAAAATTTATGAATATACCATTCTTCCGCTTCCAAAAAAAAACTTAAGCAAACCATGTAATTCATACTTGAAGAGAGCGTTGATTTTCCTTCAAATCGTTTCTGATTACAATTATGAGACTAACCATCATATAAGGTTGGGAACCGGTTATCATAGCAATGGATGAAATAACGAACAAGTCTCTGGTTTTGGATTTGAATTAACTTGTTTGTTCATGAAAGAGTTTGATAGAGACCTTAATTTACGGACAGCCCTCTTATTCAATCTCTTATTCAATCGACTGCTTAAAACTATTCCCTGCAAAATAATTATACAAATACTGTGTATGGTTTGTGTGTATCTAATATTTTAAACTTTTGCAGAGTTAAAATTGTAATTCCACCTTAAAAATGGAAGATGATCAGCAACCAGAAGACGAGCAGAAGAGGTTTGCAGCCGACAGAGCTAAACTTGGACGAGCAGGTTGTAAAAAATGTAAACAGAAAATTGAAACAGGAGCTCTCCGAATCGCTAAAATTGCTCCGAACCCCTTTGGTAGTGGGGGTGGAGCTATGAAGATGTGGCATCACGCCAATTGTATGTTTGAGGTAAGGATTTACTAGCTATATTCAATTAATTTATTTCATAGGCATGCCCATTTACAGTGATTCATTTAACAAATAGGCCTAATCAAAAGTCCAACAACAAGCCTTCGTGGAGGAAACACCACAGTGATAAACCTAACTTATGAACAATTTCTATTCAATTCTTTGTCTTGCTGTCAAAATTTCTCTCTTAGTCAATCTTTCATCCCTCTCAACGGAGTTAAATTGAAGAAAATTTTGTAGCCTTGAAAGTGTATATCATGTTATTCGGAATGTAGAGAAATCAATTTTAATGTAAGCTTACTATTAATTGTTGCTATTGATTGTAATCCAACCTAACCTAACTTAAACTAGTATGCAAGAGTATACCAACTGGTATGCCTATGGATATTACATAAAATAAAGAGGCTTTTTTGTTACAGGTCTTTGCAAAACAAAGAGCAACAACAGCTCGTATAGAATCGGGAGACGACGTGGAAGGCTGGGACAATCTCTCGCCGGAAGATCAAGAGGAAATATTACAACTTGTTGCTAACTGTAAGTTTCTGTGTTTCTGATTAGGTTTAGTTTTTGTAAACACCATCGGTTAGGTTAGGTTAGTTGTAAAGTAGGTATACATAGCTACTTCTTAGGTACCTAAGTAGGCTACCTATATAAATTAATTTTATTTTTACTTTCCACCCCTACGTTTAGTATTGTGCAGAAAGTATTGCTTTCAACTTTATTTTGGAGTTTGAGTTTTGGGTGGATCTTTTTTTGAGTCCCCCAGGCCCAGAACCCAAAAGAGTGGTTTTTAAGTGATGTGCTGTGTGTGTATGTGTATGTGTACAAAGCTATAGACTACACCTGTGGTCTGATTTTGATGACATTTGGTAGGAGTTAACCATGTAGTAACCCAGGAGTTTTAAAAATATGTTTAGAAATTTTTATGTTTAATTTAATGGCGATTTTCCCATAAGAACCTATAAAATAATGAAATACATATTTTTTTCTCATACATAATGGCTTTGATAAAGATTTGGCATGTTATAAACCTTTGGATTTAGAACAAAATGGCACAACCCCCAATGCTAGGCCTATTAAAAACTATGGTTCATTGCAATATTTGTAAATTTTCCCTATACCTTAAAAACTCATGGTTGTCCCTGCCAATCACCCAATATATTTGTAGATGTTTAATTTTAGGGTAAACAAAAAAAATAGATGAATGTAGGATTCAGTTAGCTGACACCGTTTACTTATTACAAAATATAATAATTATTTGTAACAATATCTACTGTAGTTAATTTATCAATCTTACGTCTAGAATGTTTTGTTATAAACTACTGAACAAATTTTTATTTAAATAAGGACAATAAAAATGGTTTTGTTTTGTAAAACTATTTTTTCAATGGAATCAATGGTGTACTGTAATCTGTAAAAGATTTGCTTGATAAGATCCACTAACATTAGTTAAAAAATCCGCTTCAAATGAAACCAGTCATCATGGAATTAATTTGTTGTGTTGAAGCAACAAAATCATTTTTTGTTTTAACTCATGAAGATTTATTCTTCAATATTTTTTGGATTATTTGTTTACACCATTGCAATAGGTACCAGTAAGTATAAATTATTAACTCTAAAAACTAATAATTTTATTTAATTTTTTTCCTATTTATTATTTGCATTTGTTTAAATGTATTTAACATAACTAAAATTTAACCTAGGATATTAAAAAAAATTATAATAAGTAATTTATTTACAGTAGCTGGATCGGTAAAGGTTAAAAAGACGCCAACAAAACCCAAGAAAGCAACGCCAGCCAAGGCAACGTCAACTGTAACCAGTGTTGCCACAACTTCAGCACCAACTGTTACCAGTTCTGCCACCTTGACAGACAAGAATCATAAAGACAACTCGTTCAGAGAATTTCGAAGGTTGTGTGCAGACATTGCAAACGCCAGCAGTTATTTGACTAAAACATCTATTGTAAAAGAATTTTTTGATAAAGGAACTGAAAAAGGTAAGGTTATCCGCTTTAAATGATTTGTTCAGTAAAGATTAAGACGTAGGAATACTGTTTGTTGTTGGAAGTCATAAGGTGGAAGCACAATCATGTACCAGAGATTGCGAGCAAAATCTTTAACTGAAATTAATTAATTTGCTTTTAATTAAGACGTAGGCCTATATAACTTAATCCTTGAAGATAAGGTATCTGGTGAAATCCGTGTGGCGCTGAACAAATCGTGTATATTCAAACTTCGTTCTTCCGTCTGTTCGCACTTGGTACAACGTTGTAGATTATACAAAGTGTGTGGAGACGGAAGAATCAAGTGTATACTTGTATAATTCTGTTGATTTCTGCCGTTGGCCGTTGGCGTTGTTCAAAGGTTTATTGCGGACATTTTCCATCACGATTGTAAAAAACAATACACAACGTTTCGGGATCTGGAATCCTCCTGCGTTATTATGACTCATTTCCGAGACATGGTACAGACCATCCGAACCTTAGGGAATGTATGTGTTTTATTAATGTATATATCACAATGTATTTTATCTTCAGATGCATTTCGAGGTGATATTCTGCTGTGGTGTCGTCTGCTCTTGCCAGGCGCAGTCAAGAGAGTGTACAATTTACAATCCAAGCAAATCATCAAACTATTCAGTCGCGTGAGTAAACTAATAATTTACACATATTGGAGAAAATGTATAAAATATTATTTAGAATGTACAGTAGAACCTCGATAATGTGTCAGTTGTCAACCTTGATCACAAGTCTGATTTAATAATCCCTATGAGAGTCTTGTTGTCGAGGTTCTATTGTATATTATCTGACAATATTGAGGAATCTTACACAGTGATTTGAGAGGTTAAGTGTAAGAAAGAGTCATGTGAACCTAACGTTTCCTATCTAAATAAATCATTTTTCATTTCATTTCACATTGCGGAAATCATTGGAAATATTATAACATTAAAATAATATCATAGACTAAGCAACACAAGTAGACTCGTCATCTCATTGTAAATTTTGAAGCTTGTTTTTCGTGTCTAGTTCATGTACGTCCACACCGATCGCTGGGGTAGACAACATTTTGTTTCTATTATTTTAGGGTTATTTTCATGATTTGTGCTTTACTACTTATTTGGTTATATAACTAGGAAACCAGTTATTTTTTATGATTAAATCGTTTTATTTGGTTAAATGAGGTTTTAAATTACTGAAATAACAAGAAACAAATTGTAAACAAAACATAACCTCTACAGTCGGACGTACAGAACTAACAATAAAATTGGCTTCAGCTGTTCCATAAAGGGAGTATGATTTATCTATGATAATATCAATCAAAAATAAATTATTTCTAAAACATTTTTAGCACAACACAATTATAATTGGCAACTATTGTTTCATGGTTAATTTCATATAGAGTGATTAAAATACTCAGAAAACTATTAACTACTTAAACTGTTTTTCTGGTTTCAGATTTTTGGCACAGATCAAGACGAAATGTTAGAAGATTTGGAACAAGGGGATGTTGCAGAAACCATCAGGGTCTTTTTTGAACAGAGTAAATTGGTAAGTAGAATTAATTAGTTGCTTTTAATGTTCGATATAGTAAAGTATTTAATCTCCAATTGTAAGATACATCATTTAATGTAAGTAAAGAGAAAGGACATTTTATGCATAGGCCTATGGTCTTCCTCACACTACAAAAACAAAGCCTATAATGATGGGCTGATGTTTACATTTTTTTTGGGCTACCAATGGTCATGTATTGAGAAAAAACTGTATATGGCTAATAAGGAATCATCATAAGGAGTTCAAAAAGTTTAAAGTCAAAGCTGTAGTAATTTTGTTAGAAGATTACTTAATACTTAACAATAAATTTACATAATTATTTCTTTAAATTGGATCTCATCTGTCTTTTGGGAATTTTTCCAGGCCATTCCAGCTAAGAAAAGCCTTCTTACTTTACCGGATGTTGATGTTTTTTTAGAAAAGCTATCCAAGCTTACTAAAGAAGAAGAGCAAATCAATCACTTCAAACAAATTGTCGACAAGTAAGTATTCTTAATTAGTTTAAAGACATAATATTATCATACAAAAATACTAGCGAGCATAATGCATTATGTTGACACAATTTCATGTACTAGTCTGTACATTTTATGAAATAAAGAAGTTGATTGATAACAAAACACAGTAAAGCGAAAATTGATGAGCACTCGCTTCCACTTTTGCCAATTACCGTTTAGTCAGAAAACACAATTCTATGAATTCACAACTAAATAAAAATGGTATGGTTAATATTAGTAATTTATTCAGTTTTTTAACAGTGTAATATTGCAATGGACTTTGAAAATGTTAAAGGTTTAGCATATTTCAATACAGCGCTGAACTAGTCCAAGATATGATCTATTAAATTAAATAATTCAAAACGAAGGGACACAAGCGTAGATTGCATCTTTTGATAGATTTCAAAACTAGTTTCTAAGGCAAAACTTATCCAATGCAATACCGATCGCCCTTTCAAAGATTCAACAATTGGATGGATTCACAAACTTAATCTATTTAAAAAATGTTAGTACTTTAAATATATCTTAAGATAATGTTTTTAGGTGCACTCCTAATGATTTGAAGATGATCATACGCCTGGTTAAACATGATTTAAGGATTAACGCTGGGCCTAAACACATGTAAGTATTTGTAATATATTCAGCTATAAAAATTTAAAAAATCAATTCAAATGTAATCCAAAAAGAGTTTTTTTTCTAAACAAACAGAAATAGGCAAGTTAGTTTTGCTGTGTTTTTAACGTAACGTTATGTATCTTTTACATTGTTATGTTCCATTTGGTTAATTTCACATAAAAAAAATGTTTATCGAGAAATAGTTTTAATTCTACTGAGGTCTGCTATCCTGTAGGTGTGTACTTTTTTATTATGATGAAAATTAATTGTGGTTCATACCTTGTACTGAAATTAATTTTCCGCCACTTTTCAATTATTCTCATCCCCGGCTTTGCCTTGCACAAGAAATTTTGTGTTTTCTTGCACATGAAACTTAAACGTCTTGAGCACTTACAGGAAAATGCCACTTTCGTTACTTGTAATAAAATATACTAATTAACACTAATTCAGCTTTATTATGGCTGTTTACAGACTAGAAGGCATACATCCAGATGCGTATCAAGCATTCCAAACCACCAGAGATATCGGTAGCGTAGTTACAAGTGTTATGCCAACACGCAGTCATTCAGGCGCTCCTCAGGCGACGCTCAAAATTGGCGTCAAAACGCTCACTCCTGTATTACCTATGTTGGTAGGTATTCTTTCAGTTTTGTTTGGTTGGTGTACCTTTTGCTACTCCAACGGTTTCCCTTTTTAGCACCCAAGTTTATCACCTTAGGTGTACGGTGAATCCTTTATGCTATCGTACATCGGTTACCTTATTAACAGGTCGTGCGATGGCCGGACGCAGATGGTGGCAGGAGCAACCAATGTGTTGCGTGGATGAGTGCGCGAAAATGTTTAAATTTAGATTCACCCAATAGGAGAAGCATATTGTAACATGTACTGCGTTTCAGTCGTACATAGTTTTACAAGAACCCAACATAAAGCAGCACTAAACAGCTGCTCTCAGTATTGCCAAATGGAGGAAAAAAGCTGGGACGAAAAATCTGTATACACCATCAAAAAATATCGCAAAAGGCGTCAAGCACAATTTTGAGGTTAGGTTCCTTCCACAATGCTTCACTGCATTTATCATCATAATTATCCATTCCATTTCACTAAATCCAAGCCAAAAACCCACACTACACTAAATTTTGAACTGTCCCTTCCACCGATAAAATAGTCATTTCTGAAAACAAATTATACTGGTTTGAAGTATAAAACTGGCCCAACAAGCGGCAATCGGAAACAACGTTCCATGTGCGAGGCTGAGCTCTCACTGAAGCAAGATTGTTGTTAAGCAAGGAGGACAACGTTTTCCGCCCCACACCAGTGGTGCCGGTTCAGTAGGACGAGAATTCCCGCCCCTAGTACTGAACATGTTAACAGAGGTGTAGTGGGGTGAGAATGTTGTTTATGAGTAAATACTCAGCCATATGCTTTTGGTAATCATTAAAAATTTCCCGGTTCTATACTACATACTTTTTCCAGGTCATAAAAATGTGTATGTAGTTCCCGATTTTCAAGGTATTCTTTTTTCTGAACACAATGGGTAGTATTTTACACCACTTAACTTTGTTTTTATGAAAATACAGTCACCGTTTCTCCCCAGCAAGTGGTTCTGAATAGGTGTATATATATTTATTTTATATATAAAAGATTAACGGGACTGTTATATTTAAGTAAAAATTCAAATCGTTAGCTCAAAATACCATCTCCAAAAACCATTAAGTTATAGAAATAAGTAATTGTTCTTTAGCTTCTTCGTAAGGGGCACAAGAACAGTTGACACCACCTGCATAACAATAAACATAATATTTCCAGTATTGTTCATAGAACAACTCTCCCTGTATTACACATATTAATTTTCAACGAGTCCTGAATCAATTGACATTTATTTTGCAGGCGGAGGCGTGCAAGTCTGTTGAGCAAGCTATGAAGAAGTGTCCCAACGGCATGTATGCGGAGATTAAGTACGACGGAGAAAGAGTACAAGTGCACAAGCAAGGGAACGAGTTCAAGTTCTTCTCTAGAAGTCTGAAACCGGTTCTGCCTCATAAGGTTTGTAGCCAAGAGACAACAATTAAAGACGACTCTCTCTTGTTTGTCACCTCTGAAACGTACCCTGGTGCAAACTATAAAAAAATCTGAAGTTTACCCAAAAGTAATAACACCTTTCAAAACTACTTGATAAGCAGTTTATCCACAAGACAAAAATAAAATCCTGCTTACCGGGTCGAGAAAATCCTGTCTTTTTATGTACGAGTATTACCCTGTTCTATTTTGAGTGAATCTTTTTGGTGTATTCTTAAAAAGCTCTTTCAAACTTGCTATTAAACTGTGTGAGAATCATATACTCAATTGAGGTTAGTTTTTATCAGAAAAGCAGTTGAAAAACAGGCAACAGAGTCAAATTCCTGTATTAGTCCTGGGTGTGGGTCTAGAAATCCTGTTTTCGGGATACAAATCCTCCGTATAGAAACACGGGGCATCCAATGTTCTGTAGAACAATTGTTCCTTAACTGAAAACTAATTGTTAAGTAAGCTGTAAACATTTCAAGGTATTCTGATCACTTCTCTTATCTATTTTGAACTTAGGACTCAAGCTCACAAAAGTAGCTCATAACCTAAACTAACCTAAACTACCTATAGTTTCTCAACCTTTACTGCACAAATCTGTTAGGGGAAATTTTAATTAAGGCCACTCATTGGATTCTGGACTTAAATTCCTAAGTCCACGTTCCAAATACCAATACGCTACGTTACATACGTTGACAGTATACGTGCCAAGTATACGTTTTGGGTTGGAAAACTATTTCATTTATACTAAGTAACTGTTTATTTTTTCAGGTTAGTCATTTTAAAGACTACATTCCCCAGGCGTTCCCGTACGGTCAAGACATGATCTTGGATAGTGAAATTCTAATGATTGACGTCAATACGAGCAAACCCCTGCCATTCGGAACACTCGGTATTCACAAGGTATTGTTTTCATAAAATATCTCAAACTAGGCCTAGATATTATTTACAACTTTATTTTATAGTTTTAAAGCAAAACTATGGATCTTCTGTACAATGTCTGTGATGTTAGACTCATTCCCTGTTAGACTCATTTTTTGTTTGTTCAAATCCAAGATGAGGTGTGTATAAGTGAGCACATGTAGCATTAGTAGCATTGCACTGGTTTTGCATGTTTGGTAAATGGTAATGTAATGTCTAAGTCTTTTATTGTACTTATAACTCTAAGTACAATAATAATAGCAATAGCTGTATCATACTCCGTTCACAAAATTTAGGTGGTTTGAGGGGAAGTGATTCCATTAGCCTCCACTTCACCCTAACTTTGAATCTACAGCCGACAGCTGATCAGCTGATATACATAAATATTAAGTTAAAAGATCAGCTGATATGCCTAAACATTAAGTTAAAAGATCAGCTGATATGCCTATACATTAAGTTAAAAAAAGTGGTGGGGGAACTCAGCAAACCTTCCCTTTATACCACTTAAATTTTTTGAATGGACTAGAGTACTTTGAAGTTTACTGCTTTTTATTATTAACTAGCTGTAACCCGCGGGCTTTGCCCCGTTTAACTTCTTAATTTTCAAGATTATCTCGTTCGCATGGCTCAATCACGTCCTGGTTGAAGTTTGTTCGCTACGCTCACTCACCTTTAGGTTGGAGCTCGTTCGCTACGCTCACTCACCTTTAGGTTGGAGCTCGTTCGCTACGCTCACTCACCTTTAGGTTGGAGCTCGTTCGCTGCGCTCACTTGCCTTCAGGTTAGCTCGTTCGCTACGCTAACTCGCCTCCAGGTTGAAGTTCGTTCGCTACGCTCACTCACCTTTTGGTTGCAAATTAGCTGTTGTCATAAATGTAAAAGAAATAATAGTGCTGCACCCTGTTGGTAATCCTTGTAACTTTAATGCTATTGAACATCATAGAACAGAACCAACTTGTTTAATTGAAACAGCTGTTAAGATTCAATAATTCCATTTCTCATAAGGTTAACATGGGAAACTCCAGAGCCACTGGGGCGGAGCCCGAAAGGATTTTTGAAATATGAATATGCCTATATGTTAATCGGGAATGTGAGCTATCATCATGCCAAATTTCAGCCCAATCCGACCAGTATTTTTCGAGTTTACTTTTCCCATACACACATACACACATACAGCAACCACCTCTTTTTTATAATAGTAAGATAGATTATTAAATGTTACAGAAAGCGGAGTTTAAAGACGCAAACGTTTGTTTGTTTGTGTTCGACTGCATCTACTACAACGGAGAATCACTTATGAACAAGTAAGTATCTGGTTGTTTCTAACTAGAAATACAACCAATATCTAATATAATTAGAATTATTAGATGTAATATGATGATTTGAGACACAAAACCTCTGTTTTTAACCAGGCTTTATAATTTCAGTAGTTTTATTTCATCTCACACCCTACATTATGTTTCAGACCTCTGAAAGAAAGAAGGAAGATTTTGGAAAAGAATATGAATGAAATAAAAAATCACATTGTATTCTCTGAGCAGAAAGAGATTCATGTAAGTAAAACCATGTTAGCAACTATTATCCTTATGTGCAATTATTTTTTCCCAATAAAATTGATTAAATTCTTTGACTAATTAAATATATTGAATCACAACCTTCAAACCAATGCATTGATTTCACATCCAAAACCATTGATAACGCAATGCCTTATACTTTGTCAGTAATTTTGTAATAATATTTTTCCAGAATCCTAAAGATTTGGAAGCCAAGATGACGGAAGTGTTCAGATTAGGCTTGGAGGGGCTTGTGCTGAAAGATTTGATGGTGAGTCATATAGTTTTTATTGGTAAGGGACTTAGATATAGAGTTTATGTTTTAAATAATAAAAATATTGTAAATAGTTAAGTGAATGAGTTGTTATTAACTATTCCTTGGGGGAAGATTATTACTTCTGGTCGGGTAAAAAATGTTGGCCTTTGGGCTAAGTCAAACATTTTAGCCTTTAGGTCAGGCCAAAATCAGGTTGCTTTGGGAAAGATGGTTAAAAAAAAAAATATTGTATCCGTAACAAAAAATCTGAAAACATCTTCTGGGGTTGTGGCGATTTATGAACATCTTCCGCTGTCCCAACGACATCGTTATCATCTTCTGCGGTCATTGTGAAGCCAAATACATCTTCTTGGCAAAATTATGAACGTCTTCCGCAATCGTAACAACAATATAAATTTTCAATCACATATATTCGCAGATGCTTTCTGCAATCACGAAAATAATTTCTTAGCTCGGTTTGGCCCAAAAATTGAGCCACCCACATTCTAAGCTAACTGATCTGAGCCAAGCTTGGCTCAAAAAAAATTTCTGGTTTCGTATTGATGTCTCAGGCCAACTGATAGCTCGATCCAACCCGAAAAAAATACTGAGGACCTGCAGACTCCTAATATTTCATATAGAACTATTTCATACCAATAGACAATAGACAAAATCTTTATTGAAATATTCCTAGAGAACATTCATGCGTCAGGTACATAAATGTACAGTATGTACGTAAACCAATATTTTTTCAGAGTATTTATGAGCCTGGTAAACGGCATTGGCTAAAGGTGAAAAAAGATTACCTGATGGACGGAGCGATGGCTGACTCAGCTGACTTGATAGTGTTGGGAGCTTGGTATGGCACTGGGCAGAAAGGTAAGTGTTTTTTACGTACAATATTGTTAACTTGAGAAGAATCGTTGTTTGTTTTTCCCCTGCCGCAGCAAACCTGGATTTGAACTGATTTGGCCTCTGCTTACACCAAAACGAAAAAGTCAATCAGCCCTGTCTAAGTCTTACCATTAGACTTACACTAATAGATTATTCCCTATATGGGAAATTCCCTAAAATGAAATATTATGAGTGATAGACCCCAAAAAAGTACAGGATTTTTGGAAGTTTTTCTTGTGTTATACCCGCATAGATTGTTGAAAATGGAAGTTCAATAATTTTTCCTACAGTCGCCCGACAAAGTTTGCTTCCTTGTACTGTTTATAGTACAGAAAGCTGCTAATTGCTGCATATTTATACTTTGCCGTACGGTTTATACTTTGCCGTACGGTTTATACTTTGCCGCACATCAGGATTCCAACGAAACAACACAAAACAGCGTGGTTCCACTATGCACGTAATCCGTGTACGCTTGGAAATAGGTTGGCAACACTTAAAGATAATAATACTATGAGCAGCTGATTGACTATTATAACTACGATTTAACCTGTCATTTCGTGTTTATAGTTTCGGTATTTCTGAACTTTCTGGACTTTTCTTTTAAACGTTTTTAAAAAACATTCCTACGATCTTAATAAACAAGAAAATACCTTTGAAGCATTTTTTTAGGCGCGGAAACCACATCAAATTACAAAAACATACGGAACTATATTCTCAAAACGCGGAGCACATTTCTTGCCGAGGAAAAATAGCGGAGTGATACGGACCGCGGGTACTACTTTCTCTAGGGCACCATTTGTGTTGCCAGCTGAACCTAAAAACGTGTTGTATAGTGTTTGAAAGACTAATTATTTATATGCTTTATAGTGACTGTAGGAAAAATATAATGTGTAACACGAGTGAAAAAGGCCTTTGCTGCACTCGAGATCATTCTCGCCTGCGGCTCGTGCGTAAACATTGCTCTCGTGTGCAGCAAAGTGCCACTTTCACCACTAGTTACACAAATAACTATTTTGGTATTTGATTATCTGCTTCCAAATGCTAAACGAAATATATTTTACAGGTGGAATGATGTCCGTTTTCCTTATGGGATGTTACAATCCGCAAACTAGGAAGTTCTGCACGGTCACCAAAGTTCACACAGGCCACGATGACAAAACATTGGAAAGGCTACAGGTAAGTTCTATTATTATTCCTGATTATGGAGTCTGGCACAAAAAAAACTCAAAATACTTTTACTAACACAAACGTTCGAACCACTATTATCACTGACAGCATTTTCAACCAAGGCTTTAGGTCCAATGTTCTCTCAAGTACAAAATATGGTAAATATGGTTCCCATTAGTTAAGCCTATCCTAACAAAAATCTTTAAAGTTCAAATTTTGTTCCATTTTCTACGTTTAAAGTGTTTTTTCTCAACTTGCAGACGGAGTTGGATATGGTGAAAATCAGCAAAGATGCCTCGAAAGTTCCTTCTTGGCTGAACTGTACAAAGACGATGGTTCCAGACTTTGTAGCAAGAGATCCAAAGGTACGTTTTTAATGTACAATTTGTTTGTCTTAATTATTACTGTATTTGGCCAAATTATTGTGTAGGCTGATCTATAGACAAAATCCAAATAAATTTTAGGTTACACAAGTGATGAAATTTATCTAAAAATACATGTATGTACAGGAAAATTCTTACAGGTGTTTGACTGGTTCAAAAAAGTATTTCCTTTTAATTAAATACGTGAAGTGAATACGGTGCGTGTGCTTTCAAAAAGGTGAGGACACAGAAGACAAAAATGTTAACTTAGTCTCTTTGATAGGAGCTGTGTACTCATTATTTATTTGTACATAATTACTTTCAGAAACATGAGAATTCGGTCATAAGGCTTTTGCTGTAATAAGGAAAGTATATTCAACGATGTTAAGTTGCACCATCATGAACATTAAATATGCGAGTGTAGCAAAAGTCAATTTTTGCTTTCCTCTTCTCAATTCTTTATTACAGTGTTTTAAGCGTTTTGTTTTTACAATTTTGATAATAGTTCCATACTATTATGAAAAATATATTTATTTTAAAAGGAAAACAACATATAGGCTATATGTTACCTTTTTGGAGTCTTAGATGTGCTTCTAGGAAAATTTCACAAAATTCTATAAATGGTGATTCTAGGGACATTTATAGTCATTTAAAATTATATTTTTTTGTTCCATTTTACTCCATTTCTAGCTAATCACTAATCCGAAAAGGACTGGTAATGTGAACAGAGTCCAGTGGACTCTGGGATCATTTACAAATTCTTTTCACAATATCTTAGTGATATTTCAACAGGCGCAACCAGTTTGGGAGATCACAGGGGCAGAGTTTACAAAACACGATGTTCACACAGCGTCCGGAATATCCGTGAGGTTTCCTCGAGTTACCAGAATACGGAGCGATAAAGACTGGGAGACTGCGACCTCTCTGCCTGAGCTTCAGGTACGTCAATTTGATGTAGGAACCTAAGTACAAGCACCGAATAAATACCTAAACCCAGAACACTCACTCATAAAAAGCATGTTTTTGCCACAACTCTGTTTTAAAGGACTTCCCACAGATAGCCAGTCTGGAAAACAGCTGTTTGCCACCTGCTTAATCAAGTGGGGTTTCATATGTACTACTGTGGGTTTCCACTGTACCTTAAAATCCCTATGGTAAACCCAGACAATTTCAAGTAGACCAAAAAGTCCCCATTTCCGATGTTTCGACTCACCAATATCAATGTTTGGTGTTTCCAAGGTTACCCTATTTTGCCTCTGTACACACTGGGAGTAACTAACCCAAGACTGAGTCATTGACCAGAAAATCTGAGTTACTGAAAATGCAATCATGTATGGTTAAAATTCCCATCTGACATATTTTAAAAAATTTACCAAATAAGATTTTTTACAACCTTCTGCATCGCAGTGATCTGTTAGTTTAGTTTCAAAGGTATCCAACTAGTCCAACTTGCAAAACTCAGGAACTAAATTGCCGCCCTTCCTTCTCTAGCTTTACCTACATACCCAGAAAATATGTCGTTTATTATCTTTTATAAAGCAGCAACTGTCCATCCTAATCAACCACAACCAATATTACACGTTTATAAACACTGTAAAATGGCAGGAACTCTACAAGACGTCCAAGGACACGTCAGACTTCACCTTAGGAGGAGCGTCTGGTTCCACGTCGAACAGTTCGAGTCCGACATCTTCTCCAAGAAAGCGAGCGGCTACTGACGATTCTCCTCGAAAGAAACCTGAAGAGTCTCCTCGTAAGAAACGAGCCTCAGAACCTGAAAGACCTTCGGCCGTGGACGTAGTTCCTGGGAAGAAAATGCTGAAGCGTGTTACTGTGGTAAGCTAAACCATTGGCTTTGGATACTGCTAGTAGAATTTGAATCCCATCAGTCTTTGACAGCCAGCAACATAACCTCAAATTTGTTGGAAAAAATAAGTGATGGGTTTTTCTAATAAGTTAAATAGATTTCTTTTCTTCCAATATAATAGTGTTGTAAATTTAGTATCTATATGTGAAAATAGGAATATTAACATTAACTCTCCGTTTTAATTTTTTGTACTGTTTATTGATAAACTGGCATTTCTCAAACTCGATACCTTTTCAAACAAAACACCAAGTTTTTGGGACTAACATATTCACCACAGCACTCTACACAGTAAGCAGCTGGTTTCTGTACTATTTGTAGACCAGAAAGTGTTTGTTTACAAAAAGGATCAGTAAAATCATCTGGAGTCCGTTACTAAACTTTATCAAAAAGGCATTATTTGAGTTTCTTCAATGTTACCTTCTCAATTACACAATCAATTAATATTGGACATTTTTGGACCAACACATTGCATTTTAAATAAATATCGGAAAGTTTTAACAACATTATCTTTTCAAAAAGTTGAACACTCTTTTGCAGTACATTAAACAGTGTTGTGATTGTATGTATGGGTTGTGTTTTACTTACCCTGTATATTTGTTGGTGGTAGTGTGGCAAAAAGTATTGTATACAATTAATCCGGAAAGGTTTTAACGGTACTCACGCAAAACTATCATGATGGTACCATGAAAACCTAACTCTTGGTCTTGTGACGTACTGTAATATTCTATTCATTTTAAAAACAAGTATGACTAACATTTATGTATATAAAAAGGTTTGAGGTGTTGGGGTTTTTTCTCATGGGGAAAATGTTTTATGCAGCACTTAACAGATGTGATGGGTAACGAATTCACTCGAGATATTCTGCAGGTTGATGACGAGAATAACGATTCAAGTTTAGATCCTCCGCCTAAGAAGAAACAGAGAGTTCTAAAAAATGTAAGTTTGTTTGATTAGTTTATCGTGCAAAATACAGAAACTAACCCTCCCAACTCGGTAAACTACAGAGAAGTGAGGTACAGAGGAAACTAACGTATAGGACAAGACGACCGGGTGCTTTCAGTCCTAGTATGTTGTGCCGGAAATATATTTGTGTCAAGCAAGTAAGAACCTGAGCGCTGAGAGGAAATTCCTATTGCACAGGGTCTTCCTCTACCATGAACATTGTTATTTGAGAGCGAGAGGGGCGTTGTTGCACTTTACCCTAGATACCAGCAACTAGTTCTAGACACCAGTTAAGTGTACCATTGAATGTTTTCTCTGTACCTTACTTCTCTGTGGTAAACTCAGACGATTGCAAGGTTAAACATGAATTCAACATCTGTTTTATCAATATTTTTGAATACTGTAAAAATCAATTGGTCAGCTGATAATTCTCGTTTGTTTAGTTGTTTAGCTCATATGACTGTTTTCACCAAATCGTCTAAACACAGAAAGACCTGTAAAAGATAACATATTTCCAAAGGTTTTATTTAAGCTCATTGTTGTTGATTTAACAGGTTACTACATGTATCGTTAGTTTTGTAACAAAAATCATTATGATTTAAAATTTATAACATTTTATACTATGTCCTTATATATTATGGTCTAAACTAAATATTTTTTTCTCTAAAACAATGTTGAATAATCATAAGTGGCGAGCACAGCAATTGACTTATAACAATTCTACAAACTTGTTTCAGCCGCTACCAGATGTTTTTGTTGGTGTTAGACTTCACCTCCCTGAGGACGGTATTGAGAAAAGAGATGTCTTGGAGCGATATTTTATAGCGTATCCTTTGAAAAGTTTGTTGATTGTCTCAAGTTTACTAGGCTACTTATCTTTGTTTAACATTACTGTACCAGTATTTAGTTTTATGTAGTTAATGTATATTGCTACAAGCATTTTTGTATATATGTTGGTTTGACTATTGTATAAACGTAAACCAAATCATTTCTATTTATTGCTATTTATTTATTACTATTTATTGCTATTTATTATTACTTATACATATACTTATTACTGTACATATAATTATTGCTATTTATTATTACACACTAAATTTGTTGCAAACTCTAGGAAATTCTTGTGCGAGGATATTTTACAAAAGCTTAAACCAGTTTTGAACCTCATTTAACAGTATTTACTTATTGACCAATGGCAAACGCAGTGATTTAAGTATATCCTTAACAAGTTTTGTAGCTACGGAGGTGAAATAGTTCCTGCAGACGAAGCAACCCACACGATTGTCGATGAAGGCGGGGTAAGTTGTAAATTAAGACGGAACTTTACCAATTCAACTATTTTAATATTAACTCAAATAATTGTTTTATCGTTATTGTTAACATTAAACAAAACGATGAGTTGTATGAATTTCGTCAACATGGGAATCAAGCGTCTATTCAGTAAACTAATATCTTGGGCCAAAATCGAATTAAAATTTTTAGCGTTGGCTGTTAAACCTCTTTTAAATCAAAACTTAATTTCTAAAAGAAGTGAATTCCCAAAATTAACATTATGGTTTGAAATTTTCTTTCTCTTAAAATATTATCTGTTGCTTTTGTCCAATACACATAAGGGGAATCATAAAAATCCGTCAAGTGGTTGATTTAGAATCCTCAGAAGGGAAAACGCTTCACGTTTTAACCCATTAACGTGGGATCGGTTACCTTTGGATTACACGTGTATGGTAATCGAACCCGCACATGTAGAAAGTCCTCAGACCTACACCTGTTAGTGCAACTTGTTCAACTCGACGATGTCACTGATGACGAGCAAGGACGAGTAAACTAAAGACAAAATGCAACACTAGCGCTCACAGGTGAGACTATACGAACTACAGTACTCAAACGCTATCAGGTTAGCAGCACGGCTACCTTGCCGCGAAATGCTGTGTTGAGCTAGACTTTTAACAATGTCTTAAAAGGTATATAATACTTTTTTGTAATATTCCACTTTCAACCCCTTATGTTCTGTTTCAGAACCCTCCCCTATCAGGAGTAGGGGTGAGTGAAGCCTGGCTCTGGGACAGCATCAAACTACAGACACTACAAGTTTCTAGTCACTACTCCCGATCATTGTAAACATTGTGTAATCTCCATGAAATTGTGTCTTATTGTTGTTACATTGTACGTTTGGCTGAGATATTTGTAAACACTTGTTTCTGAGGTGAACTTTTGATAGGGCCTAGAATGGTCATGGATTTAACATTCTTCCTTTTAAATGTCCTTATGGAACAGCCGAGGAAACTATAAGGGATGTTGACCAGTCATAGATCGTGTTAGGGTGACGAGTTGTGAGGTTAGTGCGAGAGAGACAGAAATCTACCCCCACCTCTCTTCCTCTACGCTGAATATTAGTTAATTTAAATATACTGGCAACTCAGTTGAATACGAAATAACTAACCATATCAGCAATTTGACCCTACTTTCTCCCATTAGCTTGTCAACTCTCATTATGGGAAAGCGGTGGGAGTAACTATGGTATTTTATAGGTAATAAAAGTAATAACTTTTTAACCGTAATTTTTACAGCATCGGAGGTAACACCATTTTCTTTAGAGTTAAAAGGACGGAAACAAAATAAATTTTGATCAGAATCAATCTGTTTTTTTAAGCCCTACAGAATAGTTTGGAAAGAAATTACAAAGTTTTATGTTTTGGGGGTCAAATATGGGAAAAATTAATTTTAAGCCTATAAAATCTAATAAACAACCCCGTTTCCATATTCCAACTATGCTGGTTCGTGAACTTGTTGAAATAAACTTAGGTTTACATGTTTGTACCAAATTTCATCAATATCAATCATTTTTACTCTAGGAGAGGCGCTTTTGGCCTCTTGGGACATCAAAAAAAATATAGTAAAGTGATGCCAGGTTCAGTCTTACCATGAGTCCTACGGTGATAGCTTATCCCCTATATTTGCTAAAAGTACTTTAAAAACTTCCATTATATAGTGGGAATTTTGATAAATTTCAAGCAAACCTTTCTTAGTATTCAGAACCAATGTCCATATTTAGAATAATGCATGTATTTTTTACTTTTTGGATGACAGTTTTGCTACTTTTTAAATATTGTTAACAGTTTTATATACAGATGAAGAGTATTCAATTATATATTTTTACTAATATGTGAATTTCTTTTACCTTACATTGGCCTTGGAAATATCAAAGACAAAATAGCAAAATAACATCTTTATTGAACAATATATGTAACAAATTTATAAAAAGTTCTTGTCCGACTAACAAACTAACAAATGATTTGAGCAAATCGGGAAATACCCCTTTATTTTTCATAACTGGTATAATATTTAAAACTACGATCTATAAAAATATAAAATAACAAGAAACTTAAGGGCAAGTTCAGTATAACAGATCCTCATATATACTCTATAACTAAGTGATAAAATATATATCGTAAATAATTTTTCTTTTCTTTTAAAGGGAATGGAATGTGTTCAGTTGGTTTGTATGAGAGTATCCGAGTTAAGGCACTTAAATATAGTTAATCAAAAATGTGTATCACAAAATAAAAGTGATTTTTTTATCATAGTATAGGAGTGATTTTCCAAAACTTCTTTATTTCTATGAGCTCTAAACTCTAGTTTTTCCTGATTTAAGCTAACTGACCTCTAATTTATTCATAAAAAAATATCAACTAACAATATAAAATTAATAAATTTTTGAACAGGTCTACACTTATTTTTAAAGTTTAAGGCCGATCAGAATAGCAAAACTCACAGACTACTAAGTAAATTATGGGATTTTTATCCAAGTTATACATTCATATTAAAACCGCATAGTTAAATATTACTTTAAAAGTAAAATACAGTAGAACCTTTATAACAAGACTCTCGTGGGGATAGTAAAATAAGACTTGTTATCAAGGTTGACTTCTTATCGAGGTTTGTAATAACATGTGATTGGGGGTAAAATAATTTTAAGGGGATTTGAAAATGACACTTGTTATCAAGGGCGACTTGTTATCGAGGGTCTTCTTACCAAGGTTCCACTGTAGAACCTCGATAACAAGACACTCAAGGGGATTATTAAACAAGACTTGAAGATTGACTTCTTATCGAGGTTGGCAATATGTGATGATGGCATAGAATCTAAGGGATAAATTAAATTACACTTGTTATCAAGATTCAAATTTGTTCTACTTATTCCTGTGTACCAACCAAATTAAGTATTTTACGTTTTTCACTGAATAGTGCAGGGTGTTTAACACGTGAACACAACAGTGAAATTCTTATAAGTATTTCAGCTGTAGCACATTTTTTGTTTAAAAGGAACAGTAAAATGAGCCACTCGCAGTATGTATGGTAAAAAAATTTATGCTTTAGGATATCTTTGAAAAGGAGTTATAATTTAGCTAGTTTACCTAAGAAAATTAGAGTGCATAGGTCACTTGCTTATCAGTTTAAATATTTTCTGCGTTAGTCTTTGTAACTATGATGGGACATAAAAAATGCTTTACCTTACAATAAGTATTATTAGTTTGACTCGGTTGAAAATCATTAATTTACATAAGGTGACCCAATTCAACTATGTCCATTTTCACTCCAAAACTGGGGAAATCATTAACATGGGGGTGGAATGTTTAGTTCTATCAATATTTAAAGCTCCTAAACAAGTTTTTTTCCATAAATTTATCACGGGTATATTGGAAGCCAGGCAATTGTCGTTCTCTGTTTGCCAGTCGTTCTAGTGTTGTTCCACAGCCCACTTGTACATATTATGGAACAGGGTGAGCCATGGTGCGGCCGGGAGGTTGTGCCACTGGGGAGGTACGTAGGGTTGCTGCCATGAGAGGGTGCATCTTTCCGGGTGAGGCATGAGGGCAAGATGTCGTCCGTCTTGGGAACACACACCGGCTACACCACCTATGTTCATGTATACAAATTAATTATGCACCAGAGATTTGCTAATAAGAAAGTCTAACCAATCCAAAACCTGCCGGCTTAAAAAAGTTTGTATTTAAATAAAAATCAAAGTTTTGTACTATATACTAACCAGGGTGTCCAGCTAACCAAGAAAACCAGGAAACGGAAATGAATATGATGACTCGGAAGTCTTTGAATGTTGTATGCAACCAAGATATTTGGAATAATTGACAACAGCATATGACCGACAGTCCATTTATTATTCAGTTGGTTCTATTTAAATTCATCCATTCAGAATCATAAAAATGTGATTGAAAGTGTCCATTTACAGTCATAAAAATACACCATTTATTGTTTATGCAATTCCACTGCAACTCTGGCTATTTGGAAAAAAAATGACAAGTAATGATAACAAAATCAATTCTCAGTCTTTACTGCACTGTTGTAATTTTTTTGTAGGACTATCTTTTTCCCCACAATTTCAAGGACATCATCAGCATCCATAGCGGTGAAATTATGGGCGTCTTCTGTGATCAAAACAAAATCAAGATTATCGCAATTGCGGAATAATTGTCACTTGTAATTGTAACAAAATTTCGGAGTATTGGAACAAATCCCTTCTGAAAAAATCCAATAGCTTGAAGATCGGGCATATATTTTTCTCAAACATTTTGGGACCCGTCCATCCCCAAAGTGAAGTATCCAACTTGTATATTTACCCAACTTACCAACACTTCCGTTAGGATTGAAGGGGTAACGCTCGGTAGGCTCGCTGTTGTCGTCAACATACTTCAAGGCCAAGCAGTTTCTTTGCTCAAGTTGCTCGAGAACTTTAGGTTCTCTCAAGGTAAATCGGCCTGGAAAAAATGTTTACTCTTAAACTGAATGTATTGATAAAAAACATAAAAACAAAAAAACCAAAATAACCTCAATAACACACCATTTTCCCAAATCACGATGTAATTCAAAATTCTTTAACAATTCGTTTTGAGAAGACAAGCTTAACAACATGACTCTAAACTGTATTAAACAGTACCCTCGGGAATTCAAATTCACCTGAACGGGTGTTATGGAGGAAACATTGTCACTGAGGTATTACAACAAGTCTAGACTTGAATCCCCCACACCACCCTCCTTAACCACTCCCCTTTCTCAAACCAGTTATCTTGGTCCAATTAGTAGTTTAGTCACTAACACATTTAACTTTGTTACATATCTTTAAAAAACCTTCACACCCATCCAGCCACCTATCTATCCTCAATACCTATCTTTATCTTCGCTATAAATTATAATTTAAAAATAGACGAGTTGGCAAAAGCGTTACTCTGAAATGCACTAATTATGAAGATAATCAGTGAATTCATTGATCTTTTTAACATGACTTTAAATAAGCAGAGCACCTCGATAACAAGTGTTACTCTAATCCCCAGTAACGTTTTGAAAGGGAACAGTCCAAACCCTGACCTTATTATCTAACTTCGACCTTTGTTAGATAGCTTCATTGATTGCACAATGACAAATGGCATTTGAGTCTGGTAACGATTACGCTTGGAATCGGACCAGTGACCTTTGGATTTGAAGGCGAGCGCTATAAATACTCTGCTACCCAGACAATTGTTCAATACCTTCTCCGTGAGCCACCCACACTCCGAGCACACTTCCCGCCATCCCTCGCAGGTGGATGGCCGCAGACGTCTCCACCCTCACAGTAGACCAGCGACACTCAAACCTGCCCGACACGTTGTGGTCCAACACCACGTCTGGCTTGGCGGAACTCTCTGCAACAGAAAACACTTTACAGCTGTTTTCATAAGTGGCATTTTGCTCACTAGATTTGGTTGGAAAACAGCTGATTTCTCAACACGTTACCATTGACTATTCTATACTGAAGTGGACATTCTTTAACACGGGGATGGAATGTCTAGTTGTATTAATAGTCATAGATGTTACTCTCTTTGCAATTTTGTTTTGTTTTGTTGTCATCTGGAGTGAATAAAATAGTGAGCAAAGTTAATATTCAACTTTGCTGACTTGTTAATTTGCACAAAGTAGAATGTTTAATTTGTGTGAAAGATGATCTAGTAAAAAATATATATATATATATTGATACATTTAAAGATTCAAAAATAAACATTTATGTTCATAAATTGCCCTCAGTAAACGATCCTGACTAAAAAACCAGTACATCTTGGTAAGAAAGATCATCTCATTCATTAAACACTTCATTTGTCTTCAGCTCAATATCATTTGTGATAATGGTTTGCAAGTGAAGGCCTAATTGCCACAACGTACCTGGTAGTCCGACCCAGCCAAGCAGACTCATGAGCTGACAGCCGTTGCACACTCCAAGACTGAATGTGTCCGTTCGTCGGGTGAACGACTCTAGCTGAGCTTTCAGCGAAGGATGAAACAGTAAACTAGCGGCCCAGCCCTTGGCCGAGCCTAATACGTCTGAAACACAAGACGCTATCACAAACTTTGCGTCAATAGATTTGTTGAATCTTAATTGGTATAGATCGTGTCTATTAAGATGGCGTATAGTAGAAGAGGGAAAGGCTTTAAACACTGAGAGTAACACTTTCTTTTATGTCCCACCTTCACATACTAAGATGTTAGGTTCTAGCCCGGATTCCGGAATCGTTTTACACATCACTTCATGCAGGCCTAGAGGGTCACAGCATTATCCATTGGTGACCGGCAGGATTTGAGCCCTGGACCTCGGTGACAGAAGTCCCGCACTCTACCATAGGACCAGCTTGCTCCCCAGTACAAAATAATAATAGCATCAGTGGTGGTGGAAGGGTTCTTGTGAGCATTTGCATCTTCACCACTCTAAATTTCCACAATCTATAATTATTTTATAGAATTTTAAATTTTTAAATAACATTTGTTGTTGTTTTGTACAATTGTTCCCATTTTGTTTCAACAAATGTTAGACAGCTGAGATTTTTACATAATATTTTCAAAACTAGATCTTCGGGTGAAGAAAGACCCCGTTGTTGAAATAGTAAAACTAGAGGCCGACGTTTCGGATGTGTAGCAGCTATCCATCTTCCGGGCAAACCACTATTCACACAATCTACCGTGACCGTGGAAGCCTATCATCTAAAATATTTTCAAAACCTACTTTATGAACTGTGTGGTTTCAAAATGTTCAGTGCATATATGAGTTGGATAAATAAAATTAAATGTTTAAGCCTCTTCTTGGACACACTGTGTATCGTACCAGCATAACTGAAGCCTCCAGGAAAGACGACACCCTGGAAGTGATCAACGGTGACTTTCTTGTCCAGCAAATCTTGCATCGTGACGTCCCAAGTCTCAAACCCAGCCATAAACAGAGACGCGGCCATCTCACGGTCACCGTTGGAACCTTCCTCTCTTATAACAGCCACTCTGGGACCTGTGGACAGAGAAAATATTATTGGTTATCATATATAAGAATTAGAGTTATTCTAATACATTAGATTTGGTTTGAATAAAATATAAAAAAAATCTAACGTAAAATCTAATCCTAACCCCTTTTGAGACTAAGTTTGCAGACTCCTTGTGGACCATCCCTTGTGTCATGGAAAATATTATATTTGCTTCTATAGTCAATTCTAGATGTAGTAGATGTAGTCTAGGTTTATGTGTAACTTTAGTTTTGTTGCATTTCACTTTTTGTAGACCATGTATATTCAGTTATCAGATATTTAGCGTACGATTTAAGTTACAAAATTTGTATGCAGATTCAAAAGTAAAACAAGATGAGATTGAGTAGGGAATGAAGATACCATAAGAAAGATAATTAAAGACAGACTAAGCTGAAGAACAGATAAGAAAGTAATATGGTTTGAATTAAACATAAATATGAAGAGAGTGTTATCAGCAAAATAAGGATGAAGATGATAAAGCAAAGGAGACCAAGAGTAAGTCATGGAAAAGGTAGATAGATAAGTAAAAGAAGAAGAGATGAGTGGAAACTCAGATTAATTGTATAAGAAAAATAACTGTACTGGAATATGGGAAGATAACACAGGCCTACTAAACACTCAGACCTAGGTTTACCAAAACATAAGAAGACGTTTGTGTATGTACAAGATATTTAGTGTACATGGTAACAGAACAACTTTTCAAAATTGTCTTGTTCTATGTAACAATTAACTGTTCACGTAGATTTACCTTGTGCCAGAGGTTTGGCAGGGGTTGGATCAAATGTGAGGTGGTACTGTGGTCCTGTCCGAGACGCTAGAGACTCAAACTCCGCCTTAACACAGTCGGGGTTGGCTTGTCGCTTCTCCAGGTGGTAACTCGTTTCCTCCCACAGTCGCATCAGCGACCAAACAGTCTCGTCCAGCAGAACCTCGGCTCCGTCACGGATAACAATCTGCAATGGATAAAAAGTGTTGTTGAATATTGGCTTTAGTCTCCAAGCGCTAAATTGTGTTAGCTTGTTTTAATTTATACATATAAACTTAATGTTTTTTTATAACTATAATAAGAGATAATATCCTTAGAATTAGTTTACTGCAGTTTAATATGTTCTGTGTTATCTTATCTAGCTTTTACTTTCTGGTAATGGAAACATTTATCTCCACAGTCAAATAAATCGAATCCAAACCATTTAATATATAAGTGTAAGTATATGTGTAGTATTCCATTATTACATGTACATTTCCCGAAACGTTACACCAATGTCAGATATTTTAAACTTAGCTTATTTCATTTACGTTTTTCTCGTGTAAGAAGCAGATGTGCTACTTTCTATACTACTAGATACTGAATGGCTCTCCCCTAAAAATCGTAAAGTTGGCAATATGATTCTGAGACAAATAAGTAATTTCTTTTAAGGTTTAAAACTAACCCAGCTGTCCTGGATAATTAAGCTTCTAATTTATATTCTTCGATAACCATCCTAATTATCTTACATAACAAAGCGACATCCATTATCTACCTCTACTCTACATAAACTCTCCATTCATACCAGCTTCAAATACTTGCACAAATTATGTCACTCTAAAAAAAATTATTCATTGAATCTGTAAAATGGAAAAAAACACCCAAAACTCTGTATTATGACCTTAACTGAACCATTGCAGGCACTAAGGCCTTTTATGAGAGAAAATGCTAACTCACCAGACATCGCTACTAAAGTTATAAATACCTTTGAGCTCATGCCACGACTGCCGCTCTCTCCGAGGTAGAGGCAAGGTACGTTGTTGTCTCTGAAAACTTCCTGTACATGCTTGACCTTTGCTTTCTCCACCTCCAACACCCAGCCCAGCTCCTCGGCGAACAGAGCGTGCAGAGGCGTCTCGGCGCCACGGCAACGTTGCTGCACGTCCACGGTGGCCCCGACTACGCCAGCAAAACACATCTCCAGGAGGCAGGTGACTAGACCTCCGTCACTGACGTCATGGCCTGATAGTACGGCTCGCTCTACCAGACAAACACATAACACATATTGCATTTAACTAGTTTTAGTTCATTTTCCCTACAGGGAATAAGCTATTACTGTAATGGATGGTAAGACTTACATCCGAGATATAAATAACCGTAGCTTACCTCCGATCAGTTTCTGTGTGCAGGCAAACGCTCGCTTGAGTAGCTGCGGGTCGTCGACGTCGGGTGGAGTGTCTCCGAGCTGAGAGTAGCATTGCGCCAGAGCAGACCCACCCAGCCTGGCGCGTCCTGACAGGTCCACCAGCACCAGACAGCCAGCGCCGGGCGCCTTCAGGTCTGGCGTCACTACCTGGCTGATGTCTGGGCACGGCGCGTAGCTAGACACCACCAACGCACCTACAACAAAGTGCTGGAGTGGTACGTTTATACGAGGGAGTTGTAATAGTAACGTATATATATCTGCATAATGATTTTAAATGTCATGGAAAAGAAGCAGGTATTCCTGCCGATTCTGTAGATGGACTCAGACTGGTCGATGTTTGTACAGTTATCAGGTGGTAAGCACTACTATGGAGCTACTTTCCTGCGCTCAACAGAAATCCTCTGAAAGTTACATTTCGCGCTTCCTGCACTAAAAACATACATTTTTTTATGTGAACATCTTTATAATACATAAATATTGTTAAGTTGGTCATATATATTTTTTTTATACATATTGACAAACAAATGTGTAGCTACTTTTTGTTCTTCATTCATAACCTGTGGATACATCTGATGTTTTCTAAATATTCACACACTTAAAAAAGAAGGGCCTAACGTACAGTACTTTTATATCTTTAGATAACTACACGTATCAGTATTGGAGAATTAAAAGGCAGTTGAGGTATTTTACATTCAAAATCTAATGACTTATACACACAATCAACACTACAGAAGCAAAAATGTACGACAAATCTGAAGACCTGGTGCTTTGACGGTGTCTGTGCCCACTCTCGCCGCCATACTGAGGGAATCTTTTCCTCCGTCGACTGCGATGCCCAGCTGACACATGAGTTGACACATCGCCTGACACGCGTCGTACAGCGCAGCGCCTTCCCCTGGCAACTTGGCCGCCCACATCCAGTTACCGCTGCATTTCACGTCCTACAAGTAACATCTCAATAAAATCCTAGACCTTTTTCCGTTTTATGACTATGCTTCAGCGTGGTATAATTTGTTTTAACATTACTTCAGGCTAGACCTAGGGGTTGTGGCATTATCACTTAGGCAAAATCCATTGGTGATTTGTTGGTACTTAAACCTCAGGGACCAAAGTTCCGTGCTCTACCACTAGACCATTGCTCCTTTTCACAAGCTCCTTTTTTTGGTTTTGAGGTTGCTCCTTTTCATTATATGACTACCACGCGGATTGTCTTGTAACGATTTGTTTATTTGACGATCTTATAAAACTTGAACTAGACTCTAAAACTGTCTAGGCATCATTAAGCAATAGACAGTCAAATTATAACAACAAGAGGTACACAACCTATGCTAAAAATTGGGTGACACTTAACAAATACAAAGATTCTGTATCAAGGTTGCTACATAGTAGTCTAACCTAACCTAACCTAACCGAGCACATCGGGCAATAGTATTTCCATTAATAATTTAACTGAGTAAAATTAGTTGTTGGTTAGATTGTTTTAGGTTTCACAGATTTAGAATGTTTACGCACTTGAATATCAGTGATGCGAGCAAAGACAAGATTAGTTAGAGATTCTGCCACTGCCATTCTAGCTCCAGCAGCACAGTCCACTAGTCCCTTGATAGGCTGCTCTCCGATCGCAGTAGCCACTCCTTCCTAGAAGCACGTCACCATTAACAGTAAAAAACTATAAATAAAACCCATAGGAACAGTAGAGTCCTAGCAATACAAGTTGGAACTCTGGTTTGGATTAGCTAGGTCATGTCATAATTGATTGATTTTATTTTTTTTTAATTTTATTTAGTAAAAGGAGTATTTTATTTCTGTTTTAAAGGTTAAGTGGTAGAAAAGTCTTGCTAGTCCAAAATTTTCCCTCCAAAATAAAGACGTTTGTCATTTTATTTCATTGGTATCGACTCTCCAAGGTATAAACGTAACGATTTTTATTGACCCACCTATTTTTATTTCTCTAGATTCTAGCCCAAAAATGTTTTCCACATTACTTCAGGCTAGGTCTAGAGGGCATTTTCACTTAGATTAAATCAATTTGGTGGTTGACAGGATTTGAAACCGGTACCTCTGGGACCAAACTCCCTCTCTCTAACACTAGACCAGCTCACTCCCAATTAATACCCCACTACCACTATATAAGTTATGCAACAATACACAATCTAAGGTTTAGATTATACCTCAGTTCTAACCTAACATAAATTAACCACAGTGCTAAATGGTAAAGGCCCAATAAGTGATTTGGACAAATTTTCCCATATAAGCAACATAAAAGTCAAAATTAGAATAAAAGATTTTACTGGACACAAATCTGTAAGGACAACTTATGCAGCAAAATATCTTATTTAAGACGTAACTTACAAAGAAGCCAAACGTTACCTCAGATTGCAGTAAATATTTTTAGATTGAAACATTATCTAAATTACAGGGTGAACAGTAAAATTCAATCCCATACCTAGGTCATCGGGTGATGGCCACGACATTGAATAAGTAAAACTAGCTCTTGTCTTACTTATTCAATGACACTGTTTTGAAAGACCTAGATTTGACAAACTGCCATGACCGTGGATCTAGAGTTCAATTCCGTTGTTTATCATTACAAAAATAAAGCTTGGTAAATTTAAACTTACGATAAAAAAACTCTTAACAAGCCACTTGTCTTTCCTTAATTATCACTTAGATCAAATCAATTTGGTGATTATCGGGATTTGAACCCAGTACGTCAGGCTAAAGGAGGTGGATTATGTCCAACCAGAGGGCTCACCGTACTAAAGTGTGATAGAGCCGTCACAGCCACGTCACTGAGCGGAGTGTGTAAGGGTCCGACACACTGTTGTTGCGCCACCAACCCCGTGACGCAACGGTCTACTTTGTTGGTGAGGAACCTCTTGCTGCCGACGCTCGTCAGTCGCAACACTCTCTGCAGGGCTGCCAACACGGTCAGTGCTGGAGGGAGGTTTAACGCTTGCACCACCACTGGCTGTCTCTCCATTACGTACTCCTGTGAAAAATTCAACTCTTTAAGACAGTGGCTTACATTGCATATTTTAAAGCTGAATCTAGCTTTGTTACTGGCTGAGATCAGCTGTTTCTTGGTCAGAAACGTTTATTAAAAGCCTAATAAATAACAGGTAAGTCAAGCCATCAAATAGACTAGCTATTGACTTTTCCCAAGAATACATACTTTAAATGCTAAAGTAAACAAAGCAGCTGTCGTCAAATCTTCAACTGAAAATAGTTGATTGATCTAACTTTAAGCTAAGGATTACCATACCCAAACATTACACATTTTTTAATAGAAATTTGTCTACTTTACCTTCTGAGGCATTTTCCCAAGTACCAGCTCAAGATCCAAATTGAAGGGGTGATTCTCTGTTTCGCTGTTGTGGTTGGAATCCAGGTACTTGGACGGGTCTGGATTTTCTTCTTCGGATAGAACAACCTGTGTACAAAAATATGAAAATGTGTACTACAATGATGATGTTTTAGTACCTTAGAATCGTAATTAGTCAAAATACAGTTGACTCCTGATAATATGGCTTATGGGACCGAGAGAGTGTAGGGTTACCAACATTACACGAAACTTATATAATTTACGTTATGTCAACTGATAAAGCCTCATTACATACTCTTTGTTTATTGGGAAATTAGATTACACAAATTAGGCATTATTTGGCAAAAAAGTCTTTATTGAATGCTAGCACCTGTTTTAATCAGATTTGATTTTGTTTTTGATAGAAAGAGCAGGCTTACGGGGATGCGGAATACTATCCCCCCAGGTGAAACGTGACGTCACAAAATCTGCCAACTAACCAATATGGAAGCCATGTCCGCGACTGGAATACTACCCCCCCTAGACAAATCATGCTATGTAATTTTAATTTTAATGCGAGTAACTCCATTGGATAATAGAAAATGCATGTGGTGAATATAAAACAGATTTTCTAAATGTTACAGCAAGTTTGGTTGGTTAGGTTAGGTTAGATTAACCTAGTACTGATTAACCCTTAGATTGACCCACTAGTATATTAGACGGTGGCAGACCTGGTCTGCAATAGATTGACACGGATTGTGACTCTGCATTTGTTTTGTGTTTTATCGCCGTTATTTGGCAGTGACTATATTTATTAGTGTGTCTCAACGCTTTATTAATATTTGGAGGACCAGTGTCGTCTACGAACGATGTCAGACGTCAGTAAGTAACTGATTGTCACACTCGGTAACTAACATCAGCTCAACCAGTTGAAGAAAGTCATCTCCATCTTCGCTACATCTTGACGTTCTGCGCAGACGTCGTGCGCCGCTGCCAACTGTCGGGCGACCACCGCAGTAAATGTCCGCTTGTCACTAACCGCTGTTTGACGACCGACTGGCGCTGCCTACCTAGCCGCTGCGAAGGATTTATGTTGCGCCTTCAACTTCTGTGCTGCAACTTCATCACCTGACTGTACTGCAGACTTGCATTTACGCTTATGAAGGGGTTGGACACTTCGTCACCTGCCGAATATACACAGTGACCCTTATACATCATTTTAAGCAGTATTTGCCCTGTAAAATGGTGGTGACACGTGGTATGTCGAGCACTACTGCAAATATAATTGAAGAAACATTCGCCACTTCTGGTAACATTGACTTGGAAACAGAGATGCTGGTCTCTAATCTCTGCCTGGACTTAAAAAAGTTAGAAGCTAATCACCAAGATATTATTTTGACTGATATCCAATTAGGTATATGTAAATTGCTACAGCGTTTGGACGATGCGCTAACTTCAGATAATAGCTCTAGAGCAGTGATCAAAGACCTCCAATGCGATGTATTAACTCTTGAATCCCGGCTTGATCGTGAAAAACAACAACGACAATGTGATCTAAATGCTTCCTTTAATGAACTGGATGTCATCCGCGAAGAAAAAGAGAATGCTTTAAAGGAAAAATGTATCATGTCCTCTAGTCTAATTAGTGTTAAGTCTAAGCTAAATAACATTACTGATGAATATTTGCACTTGAAGTCTGTTATTGAACAAAATGATAAAATTATTGCTAAGCTTAACTTAGACTTGGAAACTAGCAGGCTTCAAAATTTAGAATTGACTGATCTTGCCACAAAACTAAAATCCTCAGTTAAAAAAGCGGAGGAAAATTCTTGGCTAAAAAGTAGATGGGTTGATGATGCTATTCTTGATGACTATTTTCAGTCCTTTAGTGAGAATGATGCATCTTCCAGAGTGTTGTTTATGGGTCCCTCTGTGACACAAGTAGTAAAACATGGTACTACTAATGATGTAAAAAATCTTCTAGCTGATTTAAAGTTCCACCAAGTAAACTATGTTTTTTTATGTATTAGTAATAACTTAGCTACTCTTCAGGATGACACTGGTACGCACTGGAGTCTAATGTATGTCGACATTTCCTACCAGTCAGTATACCATATAGATTCTCTCCAAGCTACAAATTCACTTGCTGCAAAACACGTAGCTTCTAAACTGGGATTTAAAGATAGCTGTTTCCATGAGTTGAGTTGTACTCAGCAAAAAAATCTTCGAATGTGGTCTAAGAGTTCTGGTGAATACCAAATTCATTTACGAGGGTTTTTGCACAAACCTGACTTTAGGGAAAGAGTTTTCATTTGTTGACTGGTATAAGGGTTTTAACGAGGTATCTTGTAATCTTTTAGCTAATGACAATCTCTCGTCATCTGAGTCCCAAGCAATTGTATCTAAAGCACTCCCTCTTGTCAAAACTGTAGAACCAACCATTGTAAATATTATCAATAGTGTTAACGGTGTTAATGAGACTATATCTGACAGGGTCAATCGTATTGAGACATCAATTAATGTCTCTGAAAAATGGGAAAAAGTAAAAAGGAAAAACAGGAAACTGAGTAAATCAAATGTTAAAATGTCTTGTCACAAGCAACCCGTTGTCAACTGTACTAATCGGTTTAAAGTTCTTGGGAGGGAAAATAAAAATGTAAATGATGCAACAATATGTAATTCATCAGGGAGGTGGCTACTTAAGTCACCTAAACATCTTGTAAAACGAACTAGACCGGCTGTAAAGCCTACTAATAACTCTGCGGGTGAGCATTGTGCCCAGGGACCTACAGTGGTCAACAATGGTGAGGGGTTATTCAAGGGGAATTTGTTGATTGGGGACTCACTCTTGAGGTTCTCAGGGGGGAAGTGTAAACAAAATGGAGTTGTAGTTGATGTAAATCCGGGGGCAAAAGTCACTGACATCAAACAAAAGCTGATTAATCACAGTTCTGACCAACCTGATCTAATTTATTTATTTGTGGGTACTAATGATCTTGTGCTAGGGTATAATGGAGGGCCAGGATATAATGGGGGGTGGGGGAAGAAAATGGTACTGCACTCGATGGCCGACCTTTTGTGTACGGCCAAAAGCAATTTTCCCAAAGCTAGAATCTTGTTGAATAGTGTCTTAATTCGAAATTACATAGGCCACAGAGCCCTTTCCCTCTTTAATGATCAATTATTTCTCATGTGTAACAATTTTGGGGTAGAATTTGTTAATGCATCACATGTTATTTCTAAGCGTCATCTGGCTAAGGATGGAAGGCACCTTAATCAACGTGGGAACCGTCTTCTCGGTGACTTCATGTTTCAGAACATATTTAGCCCGTATTGTAAGGTAACTTCTTGGCCTTCTTTGGAAGAGAAGCCCAGTGTATTGTCAGTTGAGCCGTCATGTTCTTCGATTGCCCAACCAATTTCGGAAAACTATGTGTTTCAGACCTCTCGAACTTCAGGATAGCACATGTTAACATCCGTTCTCTGAATACTGGATTTGAAGAGCTCTGTGCAGTTGTAGAGGATTTTGATTTTGATTTGTTGGGAGTCACAGAGACGTGGTTGTCTCATGTAACGTCTTCTGATGTATATACTATTCCTGGTTATGATATGGTTAGAAGTGACAGATCTTCTCACCTTGGTATGAGTGGAGGTGGTGTTGCCTTGTATATAAAAAAATCTGTAAATTTCCGCTCAATACAGCTCTGCAATGTTGATGATCGTCTTGAGTACTTATGTGGTGTTGTTTCTTTGAAAGAATCAAAGCTTTGTGTTTGTTTTGTATATAGGTCACCTTCTGTCCCATATACTGTTCTGAGTTCATTGTTGCATGGCCTGTTCATTGACCAGATGATGGAGGTAAATGCTGTGATTCTGCAGGGTGACTTAAACGTGAATCTCATGGAAAATCTAAAACCTGATTCCAAGTACTTGTCTTCTCTTCTTCAGTCCATGAATCTGAGTCAGCTTATAAAGGAGCCTACTCGTGTCACTCATCTGACATCCTCCCTCATAGACTTGATCATTGTTGACAGAGACCTGAAGCTGGAGGTGGGAATGGTTGATACGTCAACTATTCTTGACTATAGAGGGAAGAAAATAACTGATCACCGTTTGGTATTTTGTGACCTCCCTCATAAAATGGCCAAAAAGAAAAAGATTAAATTTGTGTCTTACAGAGATTTGAAAAATATCAACATAAAACAGTTTGTTGAACTCGCATCAGTAGTTGACTGGGACTACATTTCATCTCTCAATAGTGTAGATGACGTTGTACTGGCCTTAAATGAGAGGATACTTCTAATTTATGATTTATGCGCTCCGGTCGTGAGGAAGCGAGCTACGAAGAAAAAGGCTCCATGGAGAGACATGAGTATTGCCGTTCTAACAAAAATAAAGAACAAATCAAGTAAGATTTTTATGAATCACAGGAACGGTGAATCAAGAGCGGAATATTGCAAAGCAAGAAATAGGCTCAATTTAGCTATAAGAAGGGCAAAAAAACGTTTTCTTGAAAGTCAAGTACAGGGTAAAGATCCTAAAAAGTTCTGGGCATCTCTGAAAGCCACTGGGGTGTTGGAGTCTGCCGATGATAAAGATTGTTCTTTTACACCTCAGGAACTTAATCGATATTTCTCTACAATGGGAACTAATAATAACAATAATTGTTGTATTAGTGCGGAAAAATTGAACTTTTATAACCAGAACAGTAGTAATGATGTGAAGAAGGGGTTCTCTTTTAAACCTGTGACTGAGGATATTATCAAGGCAGTCATGAACAACATCACCACCCGTGCCGTGGGAACGGATGGAATTTCTGTCGACATGATCAAGTCTTTGAGTCCGTACTGTGCCTCAGCTATTTGTCATTTAGTAAATCTGTCCTTGGTTACAGGATGTTTTCCTAATGTTTGGAAAAAAAGTATACTAATTCCTCTGGCAAAACAATCAAATCCTACTTCTGTTTCTCATTTCAGGCCCATTTCTATCCTCCCAGTGATGTCTAAGATATTAGAAAAGGTTGTTGTTGAGCAGTTGACATTTTTCTTGGAATCTGAGAATATTCTTCCTGAGACTCAGTCAGGCTTTCGTAAAGGTTTCAGTACGAGCTCTGCACTCTTGAATATCATGGATGAGCTGTTATCTGCTAAGGATAGGGGTTGGCAGAGTTTTGTCACAGGTTTGGATTATTCACAAGCCTTTGATTCGGTGGATTTTGATCTTCTGCTCTCTAAACTGCGGTTTTACCGATTTGATGTAACCTCTGTGGCCTGGGTTTCCTCTTACCTAAACAATAGGTCCCAACAGACTAAGGTTGATCTGAAAGCGTCAGAATTTTTGCCAAAGATTAGAGGTGTTCCGCAAGGTAGTTGTCTAGGGCCGATCCTTTTCTTGATTTACACTTCCGACCTTGGGAGTCAACTGAGGTATTGTGCTATTCATTCATATGCAGATGATACACATCTTATCGCTTCTTTTCCATCTTCGAATCTCCTTGACGCGATCAGGGATGTGAACTGTGATCTGAGTGTGGTTAAGCAATGGTCTGATGATCATGGGCTGCAACTAAATCCTGATAAGTGCTCAGTTTTGCATGTCAGTAATTCTTCTCTGCAAGGCAGACTGAATTCTAATAGGGGTAGTATGATGATTTCATTGGATAATATGCCTTTATCACTTTGTTCTTCGTTAAGAGTCCTTGGTGTCCATCTGGATGATACTCTTAAATTTTCTGAGCAGGTGAGCCGTATCTGTCGTGTTGCTGTTGGCAAGTTGAGACGGTTGCACAGGTTGAGGTTCATATTGCCTACTTCAGCAAAACTTCAAATAGTGCAAGCAGTGGTTTATCCATCTATTAGCTACTGCCTCTCTACCTTTTCTGGTTGCTTAACGAAAGAAAAAATCAAAATACTGACAAGGCTCCAGAATAATGCACTGAGGTTTGTTTATAATTTGAAGAAATTTGACCATATTAGTGAATTTAGATTGAAATCTCATACACTATCCATACAGCAAATCTCTGATCTCCAAACATCAATTTTGGTTCACAAGACGCTGCTGACAAACCAACCTCAGTATCTGAATACCAAGTTGGTACGAAGATCTGAGGTCTGTGGGCGCAGTACTCGTCAGGAAGGCTTGTTGCAGTTACCGCGGGTCAGAACTGAGTCGGGGAAAAAGGCCTTTTCCTACTTTGGACCCCTGGTTTACAATGCTCTACCATCAGGGGTAAAAGAAAAAGGATTAATGGTATTTAAGAAGAATGTTAAAGATATGCACCTTTAGTTTTATTTTTTAAGAATGTTTCTTTTTAATTTACTTGTATATGACAAAAGTTTGCATGTAAAACAGAACTTTGTATCTGATGTACGCTGGATAAATAAAGACGTTATTTATTTATTTATTTATTTTATTAGAACTGTTTGACAACTAAATTTGAGTGTCCGTGACTGGAAAACTGCCTCCCGGTCTCTGACGTCAATATGACGTAGCACCCTGCTTATGGGGGGGTAGTTTTCCGGGGGGCAGTCTTCCGGCGACCCAGGCTTACCTCTACAGATGGGGAGTTCTTTTAATCGGAATCACATTTATATACACATACACATGTACAAAATTTAAATACTACATGGTCACTTACCACTTAGTTGGTCACAAAGGCAATTGATTACCAGTACCATAATTTGTAATTCCTTCGGACAAGCTAGCATTATTTTAGGCTATTTTAGCTAAAATATTGTGTGACTTTGTGAACTTCCCTTAAATAGTGTGAGCCTAGCTTACCTAAAAATGAAACTAAAACAAAGAACAACAGCTTTTCATATTTGTCGTGAGAGCACAGAGAAATAAGGTACAGAGGAAACATTCAATGGTACACTTAAGTGGTGTCTAGCTCTAGTGCTGGTGTCTAGGACAAAGTCCAACACCGCCCTCTCGCTGTCCAACAGAGTAGAGGGGGTTTTTTAGTGAGTAGTCTGTGATAGATTCAGGAGTCTCACACTACAGGCTGGCTACCTGTGTGCGTAAAAGAATTTTCCCTCCTCTCCCTTAAAAAAAAAATCATGTACTACACTGCTCACGGTGGAGGAAGACACTGTACCCTGTGCTATAGGAATTATCGCACAGTGCTCACCGCTCGGGCTCTTCCTTGCTCGGCACATATATATTTCTGGCATAACATACTAGAACCTAAAGCGCAAGCTCGTCCCGGAAGCGAGTTTCCTTTCTACCTTAGTTCTCTAAATTAAAATCTATGCCAACTCACCCTGCCGTTGCCGGTGACAGTTCCGACAAAGTTGACCGGACATCTCTCTCTAGCAGCGATCTGCCTCAGCAGGTCAGCGTGGTCGGGTCGGCACAGCAACGCATCATTCTCCTGGTACTCGGCACCCCACAATTCCAGCGTGCTGATGCTCGGATCTCCGAGAGTGAAGTGCTTGCTGAATATAACGGCTCCTGCAGGCTCCACTAGCTCCTTCAGCACGTTACCTAAGAAATTGACTAGTGGTACACTTCAACTTTATACGCAAAAATAGTTTGATTTACTTTTCATAGAAATATTACCCCCCACAGCAAACCTGAATACAAAGTGAATTTCTATTCCCATTGGATTTTCATTTTTCACTACCTTAAAATTGTTACATTTATTTCCCCCTTAAATAACATCAGGTATTGTGATTACTTAGGTTTGCTGCTATAGGGTAGGTAATAAATTTTAGGTAATAATTGACTTCTTTCCAGTCAAATATTATATTTGATACATATATTGACAAGTTACAAATCAAAGAAGTATAAAATAAGAAGAACAAAACAAACTGAAATACAGGTGGCACTGAAGAAGAAGAAACATCATGATTTAGTCATTTTCATTTAGTTAGTGACAATAATAAGACAGTACTGGCCAGCCTATACAGTTTTAATCAGTTTTATCAATTTTTACTCAATTTTAACTATTTTGTCGACATGAAAAGTTTTAATTATTGTGATTGTGACGGTTTTTTAAAGAATCTATTGACATACCACAATGTATTATACATTGATGATGTGGTTGCATACAAAATGACCTGATGAAGTTCTAAGGAACAGAACTAGTCGTCATACCAACAACTGTGGTTGGATAAGGTAATAATTTTATTTTATCAATAATAAATTGTGTTCTTTGGTAAAATATAAGTAGCTTAATATGAAATAATTTTGCCAAATTTTTTTCAAAATATATATCCATAGACAAGTAAACTACAACAGTTTACTAATTTTTTATAGAATAATTTAGTTTTTTTCTCTTAAATAACCATTAACCAGTAAAACATTTAGGAAAGTTCTATATTTTGAGGGTCAAAAATGACAAAACCCCATTTGTACTCCATTAAACCTTGCTCCAGTGAGTACGAACACAAGTGACTTGGCGTGTAAATATTATTGGACATTAGTATTAGAGGGTACAGTTTCTTAACTGGGCTATGCTAATATCGATTGAAACTATTGAATTGAAAATATTAATAATCAATATCAATATTTTTAAATATATCTATTATAAAATTAAACTATCATAACCTAACCTAACCAACCAAACTTGCTGATAATGAAAAAATCGCATGAAGGTTTACTAATCGAATCGATAGTTTCAATCGATATTAGCATAGCCCAGTTAAGAAACTGTACCCGTATTAGATAACTTCTTGAACAGCATTGTACGTGTTATTAAATTTACGGAAAGTAAATAAGAGAAACGTCTTATAACACTTAAAAGATATATATTAAAAGATTCGCCTATTGGGTCTGATGATGATTGGAGTGTCCAATCGAAATCGATCACCACTTACCATCTTTTTTGTATATTTACCGTCTTGTGAGTAACAGTATAAGCGTAAATATATCTTTTAAGTGTTATAAGACGTTTCTCTTATTTACTTTCCGTAAATTAGTATTAGTGATGTAAGAAGATGTAGAAGAACCTTTTACATTTGCTGAAGAATTTACATTTGCTGTGGAAATGTAAATAGAGCAAAAAACTACATCGTCGAGATCACTCACATAAAATAATACCTAAAACACTCACCGTTACCGCCAGCTCCTTGGTCGTGAATGCTACATATCGGGTTACCCCCAGGATTCTCGACGCAGGCTCGAATCACTCGGTTCAATTTCTGCTCCATCTCCGCGTCTCCTCGCTGGACCGCACCGAAATCTAACTCTGACTGATTATCTCCTTGAACCTGTGAGCAAGAACACAGTTTGGGACGTTGAAATACACAAATACAGTAAAATGGTCAGTAATGTTATACAGTACATTTAAAGTTTAAATTACCTGAGGTGAAAATCATATCAATTTATGCAACTTGTCAACTTTTACCTGAAACGTTCATTTTCTAATTTAGATAGGAATTTGCCATCAATCTCTGCCACAGATGGTGAAAATCTCATGAGTTACCTGACGGGATCGAACCCACAATCTCAAGGTGCTATCTTAACACTCTAATGTAGTTATTGCAGCACAATCGTTTACAAAATTAGTCAATTTTCAGTTAAAATTCCCATCAGTTTGGTTTCGGTTCAGGTTTTGTGTCATCGATTGTTGGTTTTCAGAAATTTTCGGTTTTAAATCAAATTAACACCCACTTATACAGAGTGTTATTTTTCAATCGCAATCCAAATTAAAAGTACTGTGAGACACATTAAATGACAAGACAAGCTTGTATGCTTATATATTGGTATCCCTGTTTTCTTTACTTCATCGCCGATCAGCTGATTACTAGGACTAGCTATTGTTGCGTCACTGTTTACATGGCAATTTCATTATTTCATTCCAGATAGGAAAATAATATTTTTCACAGATAGCAATGATTCTGAATTATAATTAAATAGGAGGATTAAAAAACGTGTCAGCATCAAGTTACCTGTACGGAACTAGCAGATCCTCCTCCGACTCCGATCCTGTACACGGGTCCTCCTACCTTCACTACCTCCATACCTGTAACAGTCAGGTTTTAGGTTCAAGACACTTTATACAAGCGAATTAAATCTGAACTATCTAGTAACTTTATGATCAATGTCTAAAAGTACAGTAGAACTCCAATTATCCCAAATTCCAACCATCCCAATCGCACATTTTCAAATTAATTACCAAAGAAAGAAATTTTAAAACCTATAACTATAGTAATAAGAATCGTTATTACAACCGGGCAGAAGCTGTGATCCCGACAAAATCTTGAATATTTCCCGAGGTTACAGAAAATCACCACCATCGTCCGAGATCACAGCAATGGTGGCAAAATTATTGAAAAAACTCTCTTCCTTAGTTGGAAATGCTGTCAGTGGCAGTGAAATATTCTAATGTTTTGTGTATATAGTGTAAAGTTGTGTGTTTCTTGTGAAAATCAGCACTCTTGTCCATCCAGGTAATCCAGCTATCCATCTATAATGTTTATAGGCAGGGGGAAAAGTCATATACACCGGTCAGGTTAGGTTGGATAGACTAACTAGGTAAATTTAGAAATAGAGTCAATTAAAAATGGAAGGAGTTTCCCTTACTCCTGACAAGTAATGTAGTTCAAACACCATAGGACAAGTCTATTAGTTTTATTTTTCAATTAAAACAAGTTACCTAACTTAAAATATATCTCACCTTTCTCTGGAGGTTCCTTGTCTACTAGCCCCGCCTCCACAGCCCCGACGCCCCCGCTAAACATGATAGGTTTAATCCACTCTCTCCGCTGTCCTGTCGCGTCACTAAGGCCGAACGCTCGGGTGAACCCACAAACCACCGGCTCTCCGAACTTGTTGCCGTAGTCGGATGCTCCATTGCTCGCTTCCACCAATATCTCCAACGGAGACGCGAGGTTGGGCGGATATTCTGCTCCTGCGTCCTCCCACGGTTGTTGATAATCTAGAAGTAAAACTTAAGTTACATTTTTCTTGAGGCAAAGAGGGTTAAGGTATTATCAAAAATTACAGTTTACGCCTACTAGTTTTAAACCACTGAACAAAATTAATTTTTGAAAGTTGTTTGTGCAACTAGTAATCAAAGAAGCAATCAAATTAAAACAAATTCAAATTATTTAGTATAGTAATATGGATTCTACAGCAAATTATTGATGATCTTATGCAACAGCTTTAATTTAAAAATACCCCCGCCGCAGCAAACCTGACGCCTAAGCGAATTTCCATTTGGCTGAATTGATTTTCAATTGATCTATTTAAATAACATTAGGTTTAACGAGTACCTAGGTTTGCTGCTACAAGGAAACTAATAAAGTGTGTGTTTTAAGTAAAATAATTATTGCTTAGTATAAAATGAATATATTTGCCAAGTTTGATCAAAAGATATCCATAAACAAGCAAACTACAACATTTTACAATATTCTCCATAAGAATAACATGGGAATTTTAAATTTAACATTTTTTTAGTTTTCTCCGTAACCAATAACCGTACAAAAACACTTTGATATACTGAATTGTTTGTTTTTTTAAGCTCTTTAAGAAGGTTTAGAGAAAAATTGGGAAATTTTGTGTTTTGAGGGTCAAAATTGAGAAAAACCAATTTTTACGCCATAAAACCCCCCATAAAACCCTGTTCCCATGGTCCGATCATGCTGGATCGCGAACTCATTCAAGTTTATCCCGCCTTACACCTTCAAACCAAATTTCATCAAAATCGGATAAAAATTACTCAAGTTATCGTGTTCACGGACACATATATATATATATATATATATACATATATAAAAATTTGAACGAGTGGTGTTTTTGGCCTCTGGGGACATCAAAATGAAAAAGTAAATCGGTCCCGGGCCTAAGTCTTACCATGAGACCTACGGTAATAGCTACTTCCCTATAGGGAAATTCGCTAAAATGACTTATGGTGAGCTATAGCAACTGTTTTGACCCATCAACCTGGTCAACAAAAAATAAGCTATGAAATAGAGTTTTGGACACTAGCGCATTCTGTGCCGGGCTCACACAACTACGTTCTTTTTTAATAAAAAATTGGCGACAGCTGGTCCATATAGATGGGATGTCTACTTCTGTATCGAATAGTCAATGGTATTAGCCTACAGGTTTTCAACACTTACACAGTTAAAAACGAAGAAGATTCAAGTTTGTTTGAGCTAGCTATTTTTTATAGTTAGACTGATGTTTTACAGCTAAATTGCAACAAGTTTAAAATTTCAATATTGCTATCCGCACAAATATTTGCGGAATATTTTTTTAAACAAACACGTTTTTCATAGGGATCAAATCCTGTCCTGAAAATCGATAAGGAAATATAAATCTCATTCCGAACAAAAAGTTTAATCCATTTAATACCTAGTACACTTGAGTATAACAAAACAGCCAGCCACCAACCTGGTATCAACAGGTTGCCGACGCAGTACCCTGCAGTCCCTGCTATACAGTGTCCCCCTCTACCCACGCCCTGCACGTCTCTGATACGACCACCCGTGCCTGTGGTCGCCCCACTGTAACAAATCATCAACTTTAGTAATATTTACGTGAAACACATGTCATCTACTTTTGTAATACTTGCATAAACAGATCATTAGTTACAGTAACTCGTTCGCTGTGGACGTTGAATTAATCCAACGTGCCTTCCTAGCGTTGAAAAATCCAACAGACACATTTGCAATTGGTATGTATGTATCCAGCTAATATGTGACATTGTTGAGACTTCTCCCACTCTTAGGGAAGTTCTTTTCTGATGTTTTGATATTTGTGGTTAAAAGATTTGACACTCCGATACGAACGGGCGATAGAGTTTAATGCAGCAGTTAGTTAAACATTTCAGAACAGGAAAAAACAGAGGAAAAAAAGAAAAAGATAATTTAGAAATGTAACAAAGTGAGATAAGACAATTCATAGAGAAATAGACTTGGTTAAACTACTTTCAATATCACTTTCCAAACAGTTAATACGGGGTTAATCACACAGTACATTTTTTACTTACCTAAATGGAGCCACTCCGGTGGGAAAGTTATGAGTCTCGGCAGTGAAGGCAATGTGGGTAAGACCACGGGAAGTGATAAACTTACTCGCCGTGTCTACAGCGGACGGACGCAGTCTTTCTAGCTCATAGCCTTGGATGGCACTGAAAACAAAGCTATGTCATGAACTAGGTAATGTTACGGCTAGGCACTGCAGCATGAAATGTTGTAAACGCACCAAACCAAGAGATTTGTAGGGGTAGAACAGCAATAAGTCAGAATCTTTAGCACCTACGAAAAACTTTTAAGAATTAGTCTAAAAATCAGGATCTCACACATGTTTTATCCTGTGAAAAATAGTCCAAATATCTTTTTAATGGTTTGAAATTAACCCAGCTGTCCTTGATCATTGTGATTTTAATAAATTATTGATTCTGGTTAAGGAAACAGCTGATCTTTGTAAGTTATGCAAAACAATCTTAATCTATTCCACACTTTCTTATTCTTTAATCATATTCAGCTTAATAGTATTGTGTTGCTGTTGCTATATTAACTTGTGCTTTCATGAGTGGAAATTGGATGAATAAGAAATTGCTTTTCACTCAAAAACTTACCTACTGTTATCACTGAATTTGATCACGTTGTTTTGGTTTGTTGAATCTTGAGTTTTAAAAATCATATCCAACAGCGAATCAGGCATTTCTTTCTGGTTGATTATCATTTTACCCTGAAAATTATGATAAAAATTAGCCTACCAATCGAGCACCTAGGTCATCCGAAATAATATTTCTTCAAAGAAATATAAGAAATTGAATTCTTTCTTTCATCAATAAGATTTGGCATAGGCTATCATTTTAAATAATATAGAAACTCATTTTCAAATACGTTAAGGTTTGCAAATCACGTGATTAGGGGTCAAGCAAAATCAAGAGTATTTGAAAAAGACACTTGTAATCAAGGGTGACTTGCTATTCAGAGTCTTGTAATAGATGCGTTAGTTAACGTTGATGAATTTGTTAACGTTGATTGAAATAATTTGATGATCTTTGCAAGCTATAACTCACTTTGAAGAACCAATGCCGACTGTGCTCCGAGTTAGACTGAGCCAAGTCAAAACACTCCACACTCGTGGGGTTCCTTTTGAGTTTTTGGGAAAACAACTCGGTGTAAAACTCAAGGTCCCAATCGTCAAAAGCGAGACCTGAAAATAACAAATTCCATTAAATCCTTTTCTAGAGTCATTCACTATGGTAAGATGGTGAATTATAAAAAGTAAGTTGTATAGATCAAAGACACTGTCTTAGCGGTAAAAAAAATGTTTGCAATGCTAGGTTTAGGGAATTGTTGATCATGGCACAAGAAACAAAAAAAACCTGTCTATAAATAGCAATAATATCACACTGTCATAGGCCGAATTTCCAATAACAGGTTTGAGGTAAGAAAATTGTTTTTAGGGAATAAGCTATTACCGTAGGTGTAATGGTAAGACCTAGACATAGGATCGATGTAAATAATCATAGGCCTATGCAATAGCAATGTAGTTTTAAGTAAATTTCCACGTTATTCAATCCCAAAACTAGGCGGTCGACTTTGGCCTACTAACTGTCAAAATGCTTCAAATATTGCAATAAAACAAACCTAGTTTAGCGTTGACTTCTTCAAGTGCTTTTCTTCCTTTTCCCATCACATCTACGGAAAACCAAGGTTCCGGGACGATTCCATGGTCGAAACTCTGGATAGGCTCGAGATATCTACACTCGGTCATACGGTCGTGAAGAGCTCCAACCAGCTGATATAAAGATTAATATTTTAGGAAGTGGACAAATTTATTAGCATACATTAGAGTGAATTAAACATAGTATAAAATAATATACAGACACAAACTTTTTAATATTTACATTGTGTTGGAATAAAACGTGAGCAATGAGCTCTTAGGCCTACCCAGAAATAATTAGCTTATTTTTAAAAGATCGTTTTATATTAAATGAGATTAAAAATAGTTCAATTTTATAATGATTGACTTCAGCTTCTATTATATTTAAAATAGATTTCCACCGACCTTGTAGTTGTAGAAAGGTGTTCACGGCTGGGGTACCCCACCTGCTGGCGTCATGTCGTCCTGTCCGGGATTGCACTGCACACTTTTTAAAGTCTTTAGAAATAGTTTATGTACACGAAAAAATAAACTTAAAACTCACTTCTTGATATAAAGCAAAACAAAAACGATCTTTTATGGCCTAATGAGGGTTGAATTTGATTTGTAATGAGATATATGATAAAACTGTTATAGCGGTGAGCGTATTGCTGCATGAAAAAGTGACTTAATGTCGAGAGGAATAGTAGCGGACTGTGCCGCGGCCGGGCATCGTACGATGGAAAAGTACAAAGGTCGGGAAATTCCATTCTTATCGGCCGGACATGGGTAGAAAGATAAACGGTGAAACCAAAGCTCAGGGCAATGGAAAAATATGCGTTGAAATAAAAATAATATGCTACACTAAATGAAATTGATATCTAACATACATATTATAAGGTTTCAAAACGTTGTGCTAAAGATCTGACCTGATTTTCCAATGTTCGGCTGATGTCAAGGCCTTCTAATTTCCAGTAGATGAGGTAGCGAGTAGAAACTTCTAGCCTAGTAACCCCCGTTAAGCCTATGGACCTACAGATCGAGACGGCGTTGCTGGAAAACGCTGTGCAAAAGTTCAACCTGAAACAACTTTTTTAAATGCATAGTCAACAATACATAGTCATTGTCAACAAACAAAACACTGTTTTAGAGGGCTTACAACAATTTAGAAATTCAGTATTTCTTCCAACAGGATTTAAAAAACAGAAATTCAATTTGCAATGTTTTTCGCCGGTGTATAAATAGTACGTCAAGAATATTCAACGTTGATTTGATTTGTGAGTGACAAATTATTAGTGCCCTTTGTTTTAGGAAATAATAAGCTTGTTATGTTTGTTTAGCAATTAGTAGATTTCTGCGAGCAACAATGTTTTCCCTAACTAAAAGCTTATAAATATTTTCCTGTTTTGTCTATGACGGTTTTCTCATTAGACTCTTAGACTAGCTATTTATGTATCTCATATACGTAAGGCCTAAACCACTCTCCTACTAATATGACATGATCTGTTATGGAAACCTTGTTCCAAATAGAAAAACAAAAATAAATTGAAATTCTGTTGTATAACCTTACACAGATCTTATTATACTCTACACTTTGTTCATCAGCTTAGATAACACACGCTTTCTTAAATTAATGAGGTGAATTGGATACATTGCCACGTACCTCGGACCAATCTCCACCAGTAGGCTACTGAGACGCTGCCCATGTAGGTGAGGCTCACTCTGTAGACCGGAAGGTTTGAGAGGAGCGGACAACACCCATCGCAGTTGTCCCTCCTGCGTCTCATTCAGCGGCTCAGTCACCTCCACGTTGTAGCACAACTCCGTACGCAAGGACTCTACGAGTGACGAAAGAGCCTTCAGGTCTCGCAGCTTCCGAGACAGAGACCCGTCCGACAACCCGGGCTCTCGGTAGAAGTGTAACACGACCATGCTGAAAAATGTGGAAAAATTTGACGCATTGAAAGTAACAACTAGGTTATATTAGTTATACGAGATTGTAAACATTTCCGTCAAGATTCCTCCTTTTCACAACTTGTCTGCGTCTTAACAATACATAATAGGCTACTTAGAAATGGCGGCCATACGAATGTAAGTATTTTAAGCCAAGTATGAATGGAGGATGAGTGTAGGTTGAGTGAAAGGTTAAAGGTCAGTGATTATCTAAATAAGTCAAATATTTTTGTGTCCGTCAGATTTTATTGTTAACTTCATGTAGTAAACCTATTTTTCTATTTTTTTAGTGACTTGTTAGTGACTAAGGTCGACATGTTCCTTAGACACAGCTGTTTATTAATAGCCCATACAGCGAATGGCAACTAAAGGATCTACAGTTTATAGTGGAATCCGAACCACATTTTTGCCAATTAACGAATTGGTCTAATTATCAGGATAGTACCCTACTGTGGATTGTCGTAGGAAAAAAGGTTATTAATTAATTGGTCACAGTGTTCAATTAATTGTTACTCAAAATCGTGTGTTGGCGTCTAGCAAATGAGTAGTCTTGACGAAATGAGACAACAATGTTTTAAAAAATTATTAAATGTTCATTTTAGCTAAACAAAAAATTCCAACTTATTCCTAATTTGAACTGAAGCACTTTCAAAACAACAAAAAGAAGATAACTTAGACCTAATTTATGATTTTGTAGTTTGCATGCAACAAGTGTACAAATAACATAAAACAATTACAATTAACTTTACTCATGAAATACTTGTGTGTATGCTTTGTTATTTAAGGTTAGAAAAATACTAGGTTTACTACATGAAATTAACAGTAAAATCTGACGGACACAAAAATATTTGACTTATCTAGATAATCACTGACCTTTAACCTTTCAACTGATTCACTTCTTATACAGCCGAAAACTGAAAAGATTGTATCCTATCTAGAAACTGGAAATATCTAATTTATAACCCTGGAAAATAACCTGTTGATCAAAATCAATTTAACTTTAAGTTCAATCAAAAATGTACTACTTAACTTACTGTTACCTATAACTTATGCTGATATTTAGTTTTCAACAATTTCAAAAACTACTGTTCAGAAAATAACTATTTGAGCGAGTAAAATATGAATTAACATATCTGTAACTGAATTAGGTACAGTACGGTAGTTTTATTTATTAAATAATACAAAATTAGGATGTTTGTTCGATTCAACATTTTGCTGTTTGAAGAAATGTTGCTTGGTATACTTTGGATCTTTCGAGATGAAAATTTAACCAATACTGCTGCTGCGGTGTAACTTAAAGCATAACAAATACTGAATGCTGGAATATATCGGGGTTAGAAACCCTTGATATAATTGCCATAGGCCTATCATCTGGTTTTCTTAAGCAGTCAAAACGTTGTAGAGTTTCAAAAACTCTTAAATTAAATGACTGGATTTTCCAAATAAATAAAATTTTATGTTTTAGCCTAATTCCATTTAGTTCAACTGTCACATCCATCAAGGGATGTATGGGTTTGGTTATGTAACTTAAAAACTAAATCAGCCATACCAATTTAGGGCTAGGCTAACTTACTAACTTATAAATTTGATTTTTGCAGTAAGTTAATAGGCTACCAGAATTTAATTTTTTTAATGAGAAACCAATAAAAATGTGCTAACTTTTAATCTTACAACGTGGGAAATGATACGAGTGTTAATTCATTATTAAAGAGTTTTTAGGTTCTTTTGTCTTTTCTACAAAGGTTGTAAACCTTAACTTTAGAACTATTACTAACCTGATTCCCACGATTTGGTGATAATATTATTCAGATTACGCAAGTAGACGTATAATGTAATTGAAAGTATACAAATTATATGAACTGTTCCAGCAATCAAAGAATATAAAATCAAGAACAAGTTCGATTAGAAGTTTGAAAGATAACCCTATCCCGGCATGCTAGCATTGCTAGCAGTAGTGGTGGGAATCACCGAATGAAAATAACCGAATCAATCGGTTATTGATGCTGAATAGACTAATTCGGTTATTTTATCCTGGTTCGGTTAAATTAGTCTTACCGTGCGATTCGGTGATTTAGTTATTTAGTTGATTTAGTTTGTCACATTTCAGGTAACTAAAATTTATTCGGCGATTCGTTCGACTAAAAATCACCGATTGACGCTAAAAGACTAAATGCCATTCAGTTTCCCATAGGATAAAAATTAGTTGTGGTTTGTGATAGTGACTAATGAAATGACTAAAATTGATTCGGTGATTCATTCAACTAAAAATAACCGATTGACGCAAAAAATAACTGATTGATTATTCGGTCATGGAAACCATTCGGTTATCCCATCACTAGCTAGCAGAAAGCAACAAGTAGTAGACATGACATAACAGGATAGCGCTGGGTTCACAACGATATGGTAGGCATTCGGATAAGAATCGACCTTGTTTTCAACCGGATGACAGACGTCGACTTTTTAGTATCGGATCCGGCTATCTCATGGTGGAAGATCGAAGTACAAGTAAATTATTGCCAATGCGCTGGTGCCTTCTGCTGCTGCTTCTAACTCCTCTCCTATGCCTGTCGTCACAAACGTCATAATGTGCCCTTTACGGGAAGACCATAATTTAATTCACAATATTACAGTGAATGCAAATAAATAAATAAGTACATCATAATATCTGAACCTGGTAACTTATAACATTTGCCAATGAAAATGTTTAATCCTAAACATTAAGTTACAGTAAGTAGCCTACGGCTGAACCAGCATGATGAATATAAGAACTTGAATAGAAGAATATCACGGAGGAATTTAAAAAATATTCCAATAAACTTACGCAATTTTGGCGTAGATTAGCCTAACTTGTCTAATTCAATAACAAATTGAGCTGTCTTGGGAATACACATTTCTCAAAAAGCCCGTTTCTAGGGCTCAGATATTGCAAGGAAAGAAATACTTGAATTCTCAAACTGAGCAGAGGGCATATTTCATGAGTTGAGTACTGGGTTGTTGTATTTAGTCAAAGGTAGGCCCTGCTGGCTATTAAAACAAGCAAGCTTAAGTTTAATCCTCATATAAGTTATAAAACAGCCATCAGTATAGGCCTAGGCAATTTCCGGCCCAAATTTTGACAAACTGCTCAGGATTGAAAATGTGACCTCAAGATTAAGTAGTGAGACAATTTAATTTACCACTTAGCCTACTGTAAATTGAAGATTCTATTAAATTAAATAAGTTACAAAGTTAATCATCAAGCTACCTTTTAACCCGAATAATAATAATAATAATAAATAAAACGGAACAAAGTTGAAATAAATTAAATAACTAAATACTAAATTAAAAATAATAAAAGAAATATTATCCTATTCGAAGGCTAGTGCTAGTTCTTAGTTTTTGTTGTCTCTCTGTCTGTCTTCTCTTTCTCTTTGTGTGTCGAGTCGAGTCGGCTGGGCTGCTCGGCTCTAGCGCTCTAGGAGGCAATCGATTTACGATGTTCGATAGTAGTTCATTTCATACTACGACGATCGATACTTATCCGAATGCCTACCATATCGTTGTGAACCCAGCGCTATCCGACATAACAACAACTCATGACATAACCTACAAACTTTCAATACAATAACATCAGCTGTTCTTTTCTTTTTTTCTATGGACCAACTTACATAATATTAATCATGTGGCCATGATAACTATGTAATTTTCTGAAGATTGTGAGAAATTTTATTATGCTTTCCACCATTCAATTAACATTCCTAATGACCTTCATCAATGAATACAAACCCTTCGTCAAGTAAAGGAATTAATCAAGCCAAGGGATAGTACTATGATACAATAACAGTTTGAAATTTATTTTGAAGATAATATAGCCCAGCAATGGACTTGAACATTGTATTAGTAACTAACTAGGTACCGATATCTTGACATTGTATATAAAAATATAAATCACTTTACTCCAAAAGAGTAGGCAACCAACATAGTTTAAAATTAGCTAAATTAAAATAATGTAATTCATTGATAATTATTCTTGTTTACTCACTTTGCTGTACCTACAACAAAAGCGTAAGATGCAAGAGGTGTCTGACGCAAAACTAATGTCTGTAAAATGTTATTTTTGTTTACCAAAAATAAGCATTCTCCTTTTATCACTACAGATAACTACTCTGTTTCTAAATTAAGGTCTTATTTTATCATCCATGTTACCACAACTTAAGTTTTTGGTTTGATGCAAAAATATTGTGAGGCTACTCATTTAAATAGAATCTACAAAAATATTATGTTGTAATACATAGTCCAAAGTTTTGAGATCCACAACTCAAGAGATTCACATCCCGTTAGCTTTTCATAAACTCTAAATGTTATAAATGTCATAAATCTAAATGTTGATTTTATCTTCAGCCAAGCTTTGCTACAAGTTGCCCTTTACAGTTTGAATTATTATTATGAAGTTGGTTTAATGAATAAAATATCAAAACAAGTTGCTGCCATAATGCAATCAATTTGTTTTATTGTTCTAATACTCCCTCCAGTGTTTAATATGAATGGAATGTATACTAAATTACTTCCACAGAGAAGTAAGAAACAGATGATACATTCAACGCCTAAGAAGTGGGGTCTAGCACCGTAGTCACTGATGTCTGGAGCAAATTATATTTTTTTCCACTTCCGCTCTCCTTATTTCCCTCTCGCCATCATGTACTATAGCGCTCACGCTGCAGGAATACCCTGTGTGCTACAACCTGCTATACAAATATGATTTTGTGGCCATCACTGTTTGGGCTCTTTCTTGCTCTGTATTATTAGCTAGTATATTTCCGCCCCAACATACCAGAGCTAAGCGCATAGATATCTCATAAGCACATCCTCTGTTCTTAATTCTCTGTGTTATTTCACAGCAGTAAAATACAACCAAAGATACAATGTATTGATACAAATTTGTTTAGGCCATTATTTTTCTTCATAGATAACTTTACTTGAGTTCACAACAAAATTTTAAGAAAAGGAGGATAAAGGAAAACCATTAAAGTACATACTTTTAACATAAATAAAAAATCTTTATTTTTACATGCTTATCTGATAAAAAAAATAGGGCATTCACCAGGAATTATTAAGGAAATTGACAGGAAAGCAGGCTTATCTTTAAATAAGTCCATACACATATAATACATCACAAAAGTAGTACGTTTTGAAAGAGTGGTGGATTTTTTTGACACTCCTTTTGCTTCTGATTCATTTTCTGCTTGAAGTTGGGTGTAGAGGATCTCAGCAGGTTCCTTTTTTTGCTAATCATCTTCTTCTGGTTCTCAACTAGGTTACCTTGAGGGCGCTTCTAATGAGCCGGTCCAGTCTAGAGTCTGTGGATATCCATCTTCAAGTAATGATAATCACTCTCTCCAGGAGTGTGAACCAAAGTCTTCATAACTTCAGTTCTTGTTGGGAAATTTCCTTCAGATGCCATCCTTAGCTTGGCAACAGAAACCAATTCAATATCCTTCTCTTCTTTTTGATTGATATCCAAGTTGTTGATATAAATCAATCTCTCCAATGATGAGAACAACTTGGATATCAATCAAAAAGAAGTCTTCATAACTTCAGTTCTTGTTGGGACATTTCGTACAGATGGAGGAAATTTGAAGGAAATTTCCCAACAAGAACTGAAGTTATGAAGACTTTGTTTCACACTCCTGGAGAGAGTGATTATCATTACTTGAAGATGGATAGCCACCGATTCTGGACTAGACCGGCTCATTGGAAGCGCCCTCAAGGTAACCTAGTTGAGAACAAGAAGAGGGTGAAAATTTAAAAACGTACGTTTTCAGGAAACACACTTTGCAAATTTTTTCCCCTTTTTTCAAAACTTTTATTATTTTTTTGATTTCATTAATATTTGAAGTTTCATAAAATGTCCATGGTAACGCAATATCTTTGGTAGTTTTTTTTTTAAAAGAGCATCTTTAGTGGAAAAACACAAAATCCTGTCACGACCATAACAGACGTTTAAATGAATATTAAAAATAGTTAATATTATTTTTATAACTATGTTTTGCTATAAACTAATTTACTTTTATGACCATTATACATTAAAAAGGTCACTGAGCTTTTAGTATATTTGGTCTTTCTAGAAAAAAATAAAAAACTCAAAAAAATTGAAAAAAAGCCAATAAAATCTTTTTAAGTTTGTATAACTCCGAAAAAACTTACCTGAGACCCGAAAAATCGTTATGTTTGCATAGAGGCGTGCTTCTTTTGTGTATAAAACATTGAAATATGACGATATTTTAATTTTTGAAATTTTTATGACAGAAATCATAAACGTGATGGTCAGGGACAAGCGGTACGGTCGTGAAATTTATAAAACAATCTAAATCTTTCTAAACAATCCTTTAATTATACTATTAGTTATAATAAAAATATGTGTTTCAATTGAACTAAACTGTTCAAATTACAATTATATTAAAGTTATTGTCACGACCAAACACACTATAATCCATAAGGCTGGATAGGTCGTGAAAAAACCCGCGATGGTCGTGAAACTTTGGTCGTGAAATTACGTGTTATTTGGCTCTGTTCTGGCGGTAGCTCTGCACCTCATGTTCGAGGATACAAAGTGGACTTCTAGGTTAATCTAGCAATTGAAATATCTTATAAACAAAAATTAACACCATGTCTACTTCATCGAATGACTATGTACGGTCATGGACACACCAAAATTACAAAAAACACAACCTTTCCTGTATTAATCTTGTAATTCCTCCTTTCAACTCGAAACGACCTTCACTACAATCCTGACGTACACCCCGAACTAGTCTCTAAAACCAACTGACTCCATCAACGCGAGGCTTGCCACTGTCGTGCTCCAAAGTTGAAAAATTTTCCCAAATGGTCGTGACGCCAAATCGAGGGACAGACTTATTATGTCATGGTAGTCAGTTTGCAATGACAATAAAATTATAATATGCTCCTTTTTTGTAAGTTTAATAACCATTGATGACATAAAAATATGGCTTTATATATTGCTGCATGAATAATTAGTCTTAAAACAGTTTGAAAGTTGGAAAATGTACCCTAGGGACACGTCATGGTCGTGAATTTCGAGACTTTAAAAATACGAAAAAAATACCTAGAACCTATTTAAAACCAAATAAATGTGTGTAACATGTTGCCCCCATCCCAAAAAATATTAAAACACATAATAATAAACTACAAATCCAGTAGCTACGAAGTAAAATGCCAGGGACATGAAAACGTACGTTTTTAAATTTTCACTCAAGAAGATGATTCACAATAAAAAGGAACCTGCTGAGGTCTTCTTTACCCAACTTCAAGCAGAAAATGAATCAGAAGCAAAAGAAGTGTAAACAAAATCCACCACTCTTTCAAAACGTACTACTGTACTTTTGTGATGTATTTTATGTGTCTCTATGGACTTATTAAAAGGTAAGCCTGCTTTCCTGTCAATTTCCTTAATAATTCATTTTTACATGAACATTAATGAATCATTGATTTAGGTGCAATGAAATTGAGGTACTGTAAACAAGTTAGAAATTCAATGAGTATTTTGCATAAATATTTTTCCAAAATGCCTTTCTCTCTGAGAATGTTATTCCATCTACTGATTTTATTTCCTTGCCAAGATTGAGGAAACTTGGGGCTTCAAGGCCGTCTTCTTTCCATGTCAGTCCAAGCTCCCCGCAATTTGGGTTTCTGAAAAAAAAATAACTTCTTGATCAGCATTGTACGTGTTATAAAATTTACGGAAAGTTAATAAAAGAAACGTCTTATAACACTTAAAACATATATTTACGCTTATACTGTTACTCACAAGACGGTAAATATACAAAAAAGGTGGTAAGTGGTGATCGATTTCGATTGGACACTCCAATCATCATCAGACCCAATAGGCGAATGAACACAATTACATTCGCCTATTGGGTCTGATGATGATTGGAGTGTCCAATCGAAATCGATCACCACTTACCACCTTTTTTGTATATTTACCGTCTTGTGAGTAACAGTATAAGCGTAAATATATGTTTTAAGTGTTATAAGACGTTTCTTTTATTTACTTTCCGTGAAAAAAAAACACAATAATTCAAAATATTTGTCAAAAATAACAGTTTTTGTCCCACTAAACTCGTGTTCGTTCTTGTAAACTTCTAAAAGAATACAACATGAAACCTTGAACTTATGTGTGAATCATGTCCTGAGTTTTCTTGAACACATTTTAGATTACAATTCATTGAAACCGTGAGAACTTTAATTCTATGAGCCAATTAATTGTTGGAGGGTCGGCGGCTCAACCATAGTAAACTCAAGTCCTTGTGTCCCTACATAAAATTATTCAAGAACTTTACCAGCTCGTCCATCGCTTTGCTTGTCATGTTCCACAGGGCTTTGAGGCGTAGCTGTGATGGAGAACGGACAAATCTGAGATTGGAAGATGTAAGTTGCATTTTACATCTTTAAAAAGTGTGTAAAAAATGTTAACTTTTTTATGTTGTTCACAGATAATTACCCAGTTTTTGCAAAGGTAGTCCAAGCTTTCACAAACTTCTTCAAGAAGGCTTGATCTTCTGGGGGTGGAGGAAGGATTGGAACTTGGGGCATGTTGGTCTTGAACAGGTGTACCAGCTCGTCTCCGTGAGACGCCCCTGCAACAGTTGGCAATCGTGAAGTTGAAAATCTTTCCGAGCAAGCAATCTTGCGGGAGGGGCAATAGTGGCATTGACGGTTTGTGCTCACAATACACACAAAATTGTTCCTACCACCATAATTAACTTATAATAACACACAAATTATTTTTTGGCTTAGAAGTATATATAATGTCATTAACGTTATGTTTTCTTTTTTAAAGGTTATGTTATTTATCTACCGGCTGTTAACTTACGTACAAGATCCGCGGCTGTGGTTGGTATAGAAACAAAAACTATGGGAAATCAGCTGATTAAGCGAGCGGGAATGGTACTTTTTGCGTACTGTTTACAATTATGGAAATGTGATAATTTCCATGCAGTGGTAGGAAAAATAAATTTTGCTTAATTCATGAATAATCATATAAAATAGATCATGCAGATTAGATTTTTACAGTCCTAATACACCAGGGTGTGTTACTGACTAGCACGTTCGCTACTGCAATAGTACGAAATTTTCCATTCACATGGACCAGCGACGCACATTTGCGACGGCCGGTTTCCACCCATAGACTGCCGTCGCATATATAGACGGCTAGTCACATTAAAATAGACTGCCGACGCATATTTGCGTCGGGGTTCTAATGTTATTAAAATGCTTATATCTTTATAGTGGTCTATTTGAAGGCACTGAATTCCCTGCAGTGGTCTACAGAGATGTCTGACGCACAACTGCGTCGCTTGGTCTGTGTATATGATGATTGGTGATATCATATAATAGTTGGAAAAACTGGTCTTTACTTTTCTGCATCACTGTATGTATGTATGCAGTATGTATGCTGCATTATCCTATGTAGCTTTTATATTTGTTCAGTTATAAACTGTTCTTGAATAATCTGTAATTTTTTTACTTACTTTCACCTTAAAACACAAAAAAATGAACTGTCGCATATATGCGACGTTTAGTCTATTTCAAGAAAACTATGATAATTTTCACTATTGTCTTCGCTGTAGACCGGGCGTCGCAAATATGCGACATTACTAAAGGTTATAAAAGATACAAAAAAAAACAAGAATAATTTATTTACAAACACGATTGTAGCGTATTACAATGTAAATGATCACTGTTTTACAGGTTTTCGCCCGTGGTCTGTGTGTACTGTTATCCAAGTGACAGACGGTCTATGTGTAAGATTCAAATGTATACCTCGGTCTGTGGCAATGACCGCGGCGTCGCATATATGCGACGCTCAGTAGCGAACGTGCTAGTGACTAAAAATAATTGTGAATGACTACAACATGTTTTTGAAAGAGAACATTTCAAAATTCACCACAACCCAAAAAATATGTTTTATAGCGTTTTCTTTTAAAATTGTTTGCCCCTTGAAAAAGCTTCTTGATGCCCTTCGCTTTGGTAAAATCTGCACTCAATTTTTCAATATTTTCCTAATGTTTGAAATATTTCTGAAAATTCCACTCACCACAGCCGACATATTTAGTACCCTGTTGAGGGTACGCTAGAGGGATCAAGAAGTTGGAGAATGCTCGTAGACATGTGTACGTGAAGAGATAGGAGTAAACTGGCTTCGCTTCGTGCTTGAGTAAATACTGTCTCAAGTTCTCCAATCCTATAGTGAATCCTACATCACTGATGTACTGCAACAAACACATTTAGTTCACGTAAAGATCAGAGTTGTAATTTCAGAATTTTTGTAATAGAATCTTGATCTATAATACTTATAATGATTCCTTTTACCCTCCATGAATTGTTTTGTGAATTTTTTTTTTTTTTTTTTTTTTTTTTTTTTTTTTTAAAAAAGGTTGGCGGCCTCTTTAGATACACCTATTCTTAAGCACCTATAAAATGAATTATTTGATAACTACGTTTTAGTGGACACACATTAAATGAGGATAACCAAATCTGATGTCTTAAGAGAGTCGGTTTGAAAAGCTTGCTTCCAGTATTGCTTGCTTAATGATTATTTAGGTTCTACTGTAGCGGAATATTGGAGGAAGTTTTGTCTCACACTACCCACCCTACACGCCTTCCGATTTTGTCACAATCAACACAATTGTTCTTTGTTCAGCCTACACAGGAAGGTGTTTAACCCAAAACCACTTACATCAATATATCCAGCCACGACGTCCCATGAGAATGAGTCAGAGTTGGTATAGAACTGAAGAATCTCTTGGCCGAGGTTGACTGCCTCGGCTTGATTATTGATGGCAAGATCGGTCGGAATCATCAGAGACAAGTCTTCATTTACCAAATTGCATTTCACCTCTTTCACTGGAAATTATTTTTCAAATCAAGAAATCGAATAGATAATATGAAAAGAAATATACACTTTTTTTACCCTATTGACACAAACAAATTTTTTTAGCTATTACCTGATCTCGTTCTCATCGTTTAAGCCGATTGCTGGAAGAACTTGTAACCCCAGCATCGCTAGAGCTATTTATCTATGGATAATCTCCTCGTATAGTGACCTCGTTTTTTTAAATTATATTGTCTTTTAAGGGATTTTTTTGACTACCATAAAAGTTCCCTATGTGATTTTTTATTGTGATTTGCCAGCTTTGGATCAGATTTCAGATCCTGAAGCAAGCAAACATTTTTTCTTGTGATGGAAAAGGTCCGCAATAATCTCTAGGGTAACACAAACTCACCATCGCCAAAAATGAACTTTGTACAAACTGTTTTTGTCACCAAATTAGTCCTAGATTTAGTTGCATCATTGAAAATGATATTGCAAAATTTATTTGTTTATAAGAAATATGATGAAAACTCAGCTATCCAAGCTTATAACCAAACGGGCAACTCACACGCAAGCGCCAGCAGTCCTTCTTTGTCGGTTGAACCAAGGATGACAGGAACTCTGTTGAATTCTCCTCGTTCCATGAGTTTACGAGGATAGTCGGGCAAGAACGGAGCGGCAGACGTCCCTGGCTTCTCAACGCACGGAAGAAACAGCAAAGCAAACTTCTGGATTTTCTCCTGAAACAAGAATATCAGGATCAACTTAATTACGAGGGTGGTTTTTTAAGTTACACCGCAAGAAGGCTCCTCGCCGCTTACTGGCATCATTTGCGAACTGAATGGAACCAAAATGTAGAAAATATGATTTTGAACACTAGCCCATTCTCTGACTGACTCACAGAACTATGTTCTTTTGTAATAAACAAATTTCGACAGCTGGTCTATACAGATAGGATGTCTATCTCTCACCTTGTCCGTAGGTAGTGACTCGTTGTCTTGAGCTTTGACTAGGTCCAGAGCCGGGATGGACTTGAGAAACTCCAGGATTTTGTCAGGATCCTGGGAGGAACACCCGAGGTTCTTGGCCAATAGGAAAGTTTTCTCCACAGGTTTTTCCTGGAAGGACCACTGGCATAGCGATGCACCACTCTGAAGAATAGCCTTGTGGAACAGTCCTGTGGATAGTGTAATGTCAATTAAAATGCATAAATCTTAAAATGAACATGTATGTTTAAGAGGAAATGTTTAGTTCATAAATACATTCTTGATCAACTATAAATTATGGTATAATTACCTCATCAAGTAATCAAAATTTTGCTGATGTTAGGATAAAAACATACATGTCTCACCGTTAGTCAGGCACCGTCAGGGTAAAAAAAAAACATAACAATAAATAAATAACACAAACAAACATTTAGATAGGCCTATTACACGACACGTTTCCACACTCGTCTGGTAAACACCTATTTTTCAGAACTAGTTACGTAATATACTATTACAATTAGACTGTTAACTAACTACACAGTAAATACATTAAAGATGGTAAGTGGTGACTGATTTTTGAAGGACACTCCTATCGTTATCATATCCAATAGACGAATGACAAGAACTTTGATGGTATCCATCCAACCTTATATTGTTTACGTTCCATAAATTGACCATCACAAAAAATGTACTTACAAAGGATTTTAATCGCAATACCTTCAGACACCCTTTATGAGTTACTCTAACCTTTAGAGAGTGGTGAGAGTATGTGGTAGTGGACCGAAGCGCCGCCTGCACTCTCTCCGAAGATCGTAACGTTGCCAGGATCTCCTCCGAAGCTCTCGATGTGCGCCTGGACCCAGCGTAGAGCTAAGGTTTGATCTCTCAATCCATTGTTGCCGGGCACAGCCTCGTTCTCCAAAGACAAGAAACCTATCAATCAAATTAACCAAAAATATTTTGTAAACACTATTTAATTGTTAAAAATGGTTACATAGTTTGAGGTTCTTGATCGGATGTGGATGCGGCTGATCTCTTATTATAAGACTATATTATAGGTTATCTACCTTTGTTGTCGTCAATCCACTATCTATTATTAGATTACTAGTTTTGTTAGCATCATAGGAAATCTTCGAGGATTGTCAAGGTATTTGGTTGTTGTTATTTGTTTTGTTTGTTTAGAATAGATTTTAGTTTGAAGACAAATCGCCTGTCAAACATTGATGTAATGTGATGATAATAAATTAATATTAATTTTGCGATGTAAGCTAGATTTTTTATGTAGCTTGTTACTAACCAAGCATTTCTGTAAACCGCGGGACCATTTAAAAATCAAATGATCAAAGACCGCTAAGCCCATAATATGATAATAATTAACTGCCCATAATTCAGAACCTTTTTTTATATCACAAAATATAAAAAATTTAATGACTTAATTACCAAACACTCCACAACGGTAGTTGATAGTGACTACGACGACGTCCTCTTCTAGAAGATAATCCGGTCCGTAGATCTCGGAAGATCCAGAACCTCGAGCGAATCCACCTCCGTGGATCCACACCATGACTGCCTTTTTGGCAGACGCCCCAGCCTGCTGGACATGGAGCTTGCGTTACATGTGAATTAGAAAGACGCAACTTATCTTGTCTTTGAATGGAAAAGTTGATAACGACTTTTAGTTTGCTCTTAATGTTGACATTATGAGGACAAGTCTACTCAGGTACACAGAAAATTAAGGCACAAAGGAGACATTCAATGGTACACTTAAGTGGTGTCTAGGGCAAAGTCTAGCACCACCCCCAAGCCCGTATATACTACAACGCACACGGTGGAGGAAGACCCTGTGCCCTGTGCGATAGGAACTTCCAAACAGTGCTTGCAGCTAGGGCTCTTCCTCGCTTGTCACAAGTATATTTCCGGCACAACATACTAGAGCTGAAAGTTCACGATTGTCCCATAAACAAGTTGCCTCCGTACCTTATTTCTCTGAGTCAAGTATAACCACTGACTTTTGGATACGGTATTGGAAGTAGACATTCCATTCATATGGACCAGCAGGTTGTCAATTTTTTTACTAAAAAATAACACAGTTCTGTGAGCCAGTCACAGATTGTGACTGGCTATGGTTATTTTTATTACTGAGATAGTTAAAAGCAGTGTAAAATATACTATACCTTACAATAAGTTGTCCTATAAGTTTGACTTGGTTAAAAATTCTGCATATTCAACAGAAATCAGTAATTTATATCAGCTCGATCCATCTGGCTCACTTAAACTACTTCCATTTTGATTAAAAACTAGCAACTTTAACATGGGGATGGAATGTCTATAGTCCAAGCTATAAACTATTGAACCGAGTAATTTTCACAAGTATTTTTATTGTTCCAAAACTACGAACCTGAGTTGTGTAAACGTTGAGGTACAGACAGTCCTCATCCCCAGTAGGTGTGTTGAACAACATATGTTTCTGAATACAGTCGTTGCCTTCCTTCAAGGCATCTCGGACTCCTTCCCACGGACCAAACGGTACAGGCGGCTGTAAAATATCGGTATTAAAAAAATATACTCTAGGATATAAAGTGTTAAATAGTTTTAAAATGTTTAAAAGATAATTTAGCATTATACCACTAAATTTGTTAGAAGGTACAAAGGTTTGTTTATGTAGGGTTTTAACAAACGATTGTCACGAAGCACGCTAGTAAAATAAAAATATTCATGTATATGAAGTAGGACCAATTACAATTACGATGTTTATTATACAAGACAGACAAGTAACAATTTTTAAACAGAATTGTCTGAACAAACTAATGAAGTTGACATTTTTTTGGAGTTTGCATATACAATTTTTCTTTTTACAGTATTTTTCCCAATATTTAGCTTTTAAAAATATATTATCATTTGTGTCTCTTGTATTACGGTAGTGAAAAAGTTTAAAATGTTTAAGTAAAATACTGTCACTATGTAAGTAAATGATATTCAAGCTTACATTTTCAGAATGTAAAATTCTTTCCATCAAAGATTTCTTACACATGTAAGAGAGGACATATAGTGTTTGCCTAGTATTATAAGGTTGACCGTTCGATCCTTAGAAAGGTCAATAACTTTTTTAAGTTTTTAATGGTTAAAAACTGAACCCAACTGTCCTTTTTCATTGGGCTTTTTATAGGATGATTTGATAAACGAACAAAATCTAAAATTTCAAAATCTTGCAAATTAACATTACGGTACGAAAAAGTATACTTTTTTACAAAAAAAATATTAAAAGCTGAAATGTTCAAATAAGGAAAGGTCTCTATTCTGTACCATTTCTCTGGTAAATATAGCCGCTTTATCTAATCATAAAGCCTGACAAACAAAGTGTTTAAGTACCCATACACTTCTGTTTCTAGATCTATCTACATATTGGGTGTAAAATAGTTTTGTTAACGTAATTATTCTCACAAGTCTTAACATAGTAGTTAGTACTATAGTTCGGCCGCTTAGAAAACGACCTGTGCGCTAATGCTAAACCAATGCTGGAGGAGGTCGCTTTCTAAGCGGCCGAACTATAATAACAATCTTCTGTTTAAAATTAGTGGTATGATTGACAATTTAATTATCTTCCATAACGTTTAAACCCTTTTAAGATTTTTTTTACTTTAAATTTTATAATAGTTGCAAAAAATATATTATTATTATTATAAATATTATTATAAATTATATTATTATTATTATTATCAATATTTATACATACAATGTTTACACACTATGTTATGAAAATCTAAAATAAACAAGAGTAAACTTTTCAACAAAGCGTTACACTGTACCTTGAATCTTAACTCTCCAATCGGAGGTTTTGCGTACGGAATTCCTTGAAACGATTGGTAAGTCTTCTTTTCCAAAGCTGTTGTTTTCACTAATCCCCTCAACTTTCCTGACTTAGTTGCCAGTTCCACATATTCAGACCCCATTTGTAAAAGCTGAAATCGTCACAAGTTAATATTAAAGCCAGTATCTGTACAAATTCTTAACATAACAGATATTTGTGTATGTGATAAAATACTCCCGGCGCAGCAAACCTGCAGACCAAGCGAATTTCCATTTACCTGGCTGGAATTCCACTAAATTATTCCCTTAAAATTGTCAGATTTATTTCCTATTTCAATATCATTAATTTTAATGAGTACTTAGGTTTTTTGCTACAGGGAAGATAATAAGGTGTGTTTTTTATTGAAATATTGATAGCTTAGTCTGAAGCAAATTTTTTTCAAATTTCATTAAAATATGTCCATAGACAGCAAGCTACAACAGTTTATTTATTCTCCATAAAAATAACATGGTAATTTTAAATTTACCTTTTTTGGAATTTTTTCCCCGTTAGCTACCTATATAACAACGCTTTACTATACTAAATTATTTGTTTTTTTAGCTTTAAAAAATGGTTTGGAAAGAAATTGCAAAATTTTATGTTTTTAGGTTGCCCCACCATTTTTACTCCATAAAACCCGCTCCTGTTCCCATAGTTCGATCATGCTGGTTCGCGAACTCCTTTGAATAAATGTAGGTTTACACGTTCATACAAAATTTAATCAAAATCCGATCATTACCTTGAAAATTGCGTATTAAATCGAGCTCGGTTTGCTTCATATAGACGATTTATGCGACATAAAAAAAAAATGATTATTGTAAATTGGAGGTAAATAAAAATTAAATATTCTTTTACTATAATTCTGATTTTGAACCAATCTTCAACAAAGGAACTGAAATTAGTTAGTAAATTAGTCTATGTGTAGTATTGAACTATATCATTTGATAACGATTTTATTTAGAATAAAAGAAATGTTAGTATAAAAGTTTGTGGAAATTGTACTCACAGGGTTCTTCAACCATATTGTTGAAAAGTTTTAAGATTAGATAAAACAGTTATAGTTTATACCTTATTTAAAAAAAATTTTGAAGGCTTCTTAAGATTACATATAAAAATATATTTGATATCTTATCTGTTTTAATCAATTGAATAGACAACTCCATAGAGTGCTTCTTTAGCATTCAATTTTCTCTTGATTTTTTCATTCTACATTAAAAACACCACACACTTTTCTACACTAAGTTCACAATAAGTAGCATTTTAGTTTGACATGTTCAAAAATAGGTAGATTAGAAAAAATTTTATTTTACCGTAGCACTTTGTGTCCATGGTTCAGTTAAACTGTTTTTTTTCATTCCGAAATGTTGGTAACAACTTAAGCATAGGAATACAATGCCTACTAAAAGATATTGTCAAGGTTAAACGTTTTCCTCGACTATAAAACATTATCCTTGGGATCTAATGCAAGGTGTCATTATTGTTAAATTAGCAGGTTAGTTAAAGTGTTTTCAAAGAAAAAGTTACATAACTAGGAGTATTAGTATGTTTGTTGTTGGCCAACCGGAAAGCATAATATTTCTTAGGTTTCTAAAAATATTATTACTTGATGTTATTTCTTGCTGGATACAAAATTGCAAGTGGTGTGTAGTTACAGTTTTTTTTTTTTTTGTATATTTTAGTTTAAGTTTATATTTTGTAGTTGTTTATGCATTAAAAGTATGTATTTTGTCCATTCTGTAAATTATGTGGAAAACAAACATATTATTTCATCTATTCATTCAAACGTTGAAAATGATTCATAGGATGACAACAATACGCAACAACAATGAGACTTGCGTGAGGAAGTTAATTTAACGAAGTAGTTCTTTCCTTGTCAACTTATTGATTTGATGGGAGACTTTTTTGGTGAACAAATAAAAGAACAATTGGTACAGTGCCGTAGTTGAATAATTTAACAAGGAAATGCGTCAGAGACTTCAGTTTTATTGTTATCCTTTTTTTACTAATGTAACTAAAGGAAAAGAAATTGATAATCTCATAGGAAGGTATAGTGACAAGAATTACCTATTCATAAAGGTTTTATTCAAAGTGTGAATTTGTTTTGATCATTTGACGAGGCACAGTTGTTCTGAAAAGCTGGAAACAATATGAGATAAACAAGATGGTATTAATTAATTTTTCCAGACTAACTTATTTTGTGTTTTTTTTTATATTATTATTGGCCCAACTTTTTGAATATCTCCATAATTTGCACAGACTTTTGAACAAATTCTTAAAATGCAGAATAATAGAAAATTTTTAATTATAACTAAAAAGGACAAAATGATAATATTGTTACAGTACTTAAATCTGATGTCAAAGAAGCACTTATTAAAGGATTTTAAAACTCTAAAACACTCTATAAAATGTTTCATTCTGCACATTGAAAACACAAACACATCTCAACTAATTGAAAAAGAAAATTAACTAATTATTTACTACATAAAAAATATCACTTTGAACATAAAACTACATTGAAACTTACCTAATATTTTTCAGGTTATGTTATGTGTCATCAATTGCCTAAAACAAGACTGAAACTGTAAGTGAGAATGGACAAAGAGGTGGTTGGAATTAGGCCAACTGAAAGTTAGAACCAGCTGCTTCAGGGGTCAGCTGTTCCCCCCCCCCCTCTCTGTCACCAATCAGCTGATTATTAGCCATTCCTTTACCCCCCAACTCAAGTGTAATCCTCTTGATTAGATTAGAAGGTCACCATTTATGTGTAACCCCAATTAAATATAATTATGGATAATCACATTCAAATGTGTTTAATTGGGTTTGATGTAGCTTCAGCCTAATTCGTGGTGTTGGAGAAATTGTTTTCCACTATAAAAACATGTTTTGGCTGCTACAAAGTGCCAAACAAACAAGACAAAGTGCTTAAACATTGCTTTAAGTCAATTTAATATATTTCACCAGCAATGATGTGAATGCTTTTCAAATTAAATTAGGTTATGTAAGTTCCCTTTTGAAACACCATTAAACAAATTTTTTTGTAAATATTCTGAAATAGGAGACTGTGGAATTTTTGTTTTTAAAATCACACTAACTTAAATTCTTATTTTTACAAAAATTAATAGATTTCAAAATCACATTTATTTGTTCTATCATGAATAAGAAATTTGAGATGCTTCCAAATTACATTTACTGCTATACTGATTTATGCCACAAGTTGAAAAAAAAAACAGATCCAAAATTTTGTAATATATCAAAAGGGGGTGGCAAGTCAGTTTTAGTTTCTCCCCCTGTATTATTGTCATTATTAATAAATTAACATTAGTTTCAGAAATCTAGTGTAATGTTTTTGTTAGGTTTTTATTGTAAATAGTTGTTTGTGTAGTGTGTGAAGTGGCACTTTGCGCTCACGTTACAAATTATATTTTTCCTACAGTTACTATACTGCATATAAATAATTACTCTTTCAAACATTAAACAACACGTTTTAGGTTAGTCCAAGCGTTGAACAAAAATAGAATGTTAACACAAAACAACAGGTTAAGTCATAGTATCAATACTTAAAGGCTGTGAAACACTGCATTAGCTGATCATAGTAAAGTGAAAGTGTTACCAACTTATATTGAAGCCTAAACTTATTACGTGCCTTATAAAAGCACACTATTTTGTGTCGTTTGGTTGGAATACTGGAGTGCAGCAAAGTAAAATGAGAGAGACAAAAGTAAGTAAATGCAGCAATTAGCTACTTTGCGTGCTATAATCAGTGCATGAAGCCTGCTTTGTCAGGACTGTAGGAAAAAGTGATTCCAGTTTTTAAAAATAAGTAAAAGATCAAGTACATATTGTGTTTACTTTAATCAATAATAAAAATTGTCCTAAGTTATTAAACAACTAAATGTGTTGTCTAATAGAATCAAAATTTATCTTTTCATACATGTACTGTTTTATCTCGTTATGTTTTCAGCTTTTATAAATGGGGTCAGAATCATTGCACCAGCAGAGGGGGTTTGTTTGTTTGTTTGATTATACTTGTAGGATTCATTAAATATTTTGTCGACATGGTTTCATGATTAGATAACACACTATTTCACCATATGACTGGTTAAAGCTCAAATTGTGTATCTCCCTTGTTTTTGCTTTTCTGATACCTGATAATAATATGTGTAGAATTTACAGTATCAGCAAACTGATAAATATTTTCTCACATTAGCTTCTCAACAACCTTTATAATGTGTGAGCTGTGGGAGTAACTATTATATTTCAAGTAGAAAATCACAAAAATTATAATAATTTTTACTTTCTCCCCCTATACCATAGAATATGGAGAAAGTATTGTTTTTGTCAAAATTTTTGAGTTTGAGTTTTGAGTGGATATATTCGTTTTGGGTCCCCCTGGACCCAAAAAAGTGGTTTTCGAAGTGATGTCTGTGTGTGTGTGTGTGTGTGTGTGTGTCTGTGTGTCTGGATATGTACAGAGCTAGAGCCTACACCTGTGGTCCGATTTTGATGAAATTTGGTATGTAGGTTCTAATCCATGGTATCTCCAGGTGTTTTTTTCTTTTTTTTGAAATTTTTATTTTTAATGGGGATTTTTCCATAAAAACCCATGAAAAACCAGAAAAATCGGATTTTCTCAAAAAGGTCCGAACGATTTTGATAAAAATTTAGTAATTTGTAGCCCTTTAAATTCTGAACAAACTGGTACAGATCCCATTTCTGTAAAAATTACGGTTCAAAAGTTATTGTAAGTTATGTTATTTCCCCATAAAAACCCCATAAAATAACAAAAAATAGGATTTTAGTCAAAAATCCGGTTTTGATTTAACATAGTATGTTATGGTCCTTACAATCTTGATAGTTTTTTTTTTCATTTTTTAGAAATTTTTATTTTTAATGGGGATTTCCCCATAAAATAACGGGAAAATAGGATTTTCCCAAAAATGGCCAGAACGATTTTGATAAAAATTTAGTATGTTATAGTCCTTTATGTTCTGAACAAAATGGTACAAATCCCATTTCTGTAAAAATTACGGTTCAAAAGTTATTGTAAATTATGTTATTTTCCCTTTAAAACCCCATAAAATAACGGAAAATCAGATTTTCCCAAAAATGGCTCGAACGATTTTGATAAAGATTTAGTATGTTATAGTCCTTTAAATTATGAAGAAAATTGTACAAATCCCATTTCCGTATATTTACTCTCACCGCTTACACATGATAAAGGTTGTTGACAAACTTATGGGAGAAAGTATGTGTCAGAATGCTGATACCGTTTATTACTTTTCAGTCAGTAGTCAGCAGTGGTTGAGAGAGGTTGTCTTATCAGTTTCTGTGCTGTTTTCCTTATACTGTACAGTGTTCCTAGAAGGAATTTTCAAGTTTTTAAAGACTGTAAGTTGTTTTATATTTATTCAATTATATTTATATTTATTTAATTTAATTCTCTTTTCCACCATGGCTTGTGACCAATGTAAGGACCCTAATTTAGAGCCTAAAAAAACTATAAAATGTGTGGAGCCACAGTGTGAGCATACATTTCACCATCACTGTGCTGGTTTAAGAGAATCTGTTTTTAATAAAATGTCTGAGGATGCAAAACTGAAATGGTACTGCCTTAAATGTAAAGGATCGAAAACTGAAAAGAAAGCACAAGGTCCAAGTAATCAAGGGACCCCAGATGTAGAGAAGATTAAGGATGAAACTTTTCAAGGATATTCAACAGAGGACATTTTGAAGAGTGTAGATAAAAAAAAAAACTGGATCTCATTCGAGTTATCTCTGCGGATATGGATTCTCTTAAAGAAATTACTAATGATATTAAGGCTAGCCAAGAATTTTTATCAAATCAATATGATGAATTCAATGCAGCATTAAAGTGTTTACCAAAGCTGGAAAATGAATTGAAACAACTGAGAGAAACTATTGTTGAAAAGGACAAGCAGATTGTAGAACTTTCGATGCAAGTGAACCAACTTGAACAATATGGTAGAAATAAAAACTTGGAATTTAATGAGGTAATGGAAGTACAAAATGAAAATGTCGAATTTCTGGTGATGAAGATTGCTGAAAAGTAGGTGTGAGGTTGAGGGAGGAAGATATCGAAATTGCCCATCGCCTACCTAAAACCAAAACTGAGGGCCGACCAGCAACAATTATAGCACAATTTGTGAGTAGGAAAGTGCGGAATAAAGTTTTGGCAGCGAAGAAGACAGTTGTCACTAATGTGGAGGTCACCGGGGAGAATGGGGGAAGAATCTACATAAGTGAAAACCTCTCCTTTTTCTACCGTAACCTACTAAAAAAGGTGAAGAAGAAGGCAAAAGGACTGAATTATAAGTACACCTTGTTCAAAAATGGGATGGTCCGAGTGAGAAAGGAAGACGACAGCAGTGTTATCCATATTGAAAATGAAGCAGACTTAGAGAAGATAAAGTAGTGTTTTAAAAATGTAAGTTCTAGTAGATATTATATTTTTATTAATTTCTTTCCATGGTAGATTGTATTGTAGAGGAAGAAGAAATTAAATCTGTCTGTTGTCAGGATATATTAGAACTGACATCTCTTAGTAGGAACAGTAAGTTTGAAAATGGTGTTACTTTTTTACATTTAAATATAGCATCTTTAAAAAAGCACTGGAATGAATTTGTATTGCTATTTAATAACTACATTAAGTACCTGGATGTAATTGTTTACAGAAGTTAATATAAAACAAAGCCTCACTGATCTTTTCAATTTTGGATAATTTTGATGTTGTGTATAATTTAAGAGAACACAGTAAGGGTGGAGGCATTTGTGCTTTCATAAAACAAGAACACACCATTCAAAAAATGCCATATGTACAAAAGACAAGTTTCGAGCATATGTTATTTGAAATTATTTTGGGAGGATATATATGTCTATTTGCATGTTAGCTGTTTATAAACCATCTAAAACTAATGAGAAAGTTTTCATAAATGAATTAAAAGAAGTATTAATAGATATTAAAAGTAAAAATGTTTTTTCATCACTCCGTAACGAAAGTAATTACTTTCGATAATAGCTGACATCAATGAAAGTGGTCGTTTCCCAAGCTCTAATTTAGGGCGAGGGAAAATCGATCAGCTGATTTTCCCTCGCTCTCAATTAGTTCTCTATTTATTCACTACGCGTGCTAGTGTTTTGTTATGGTTTAATTTAATGATTTGAATCAGCTGTATGTATTGTTCGAAGTTGTTTTATTCTTTTATTTTGATTTTTAAACCAAATGTATTGAGAAATATACGTAGGTTTCCTTTTAGAAAATGTTATTTTATTTTGATGTTCAATCAAATTAATTGAGAAATAAAATAGTTGTAATATTACTGAGGTCTGCTATTCTGTGTTTGTGTATTTTTGCGTCGTGATGAAAAGTATCGTTCATAACTCGTACCGAAAGTTATTATCCGGCACTTGCTCCATTATTCCCGTCCTTGGCTTCGCCTCGTACGTGAAAATAGCTCTCACATACTCGGCTTCGCCTCGCACGTGAAATTGATGTTCCCTGTGTTCGGCTTCGCCTCACACAAAAACTTGAGCGCGCGACGGAAAATGCCACTTTCGGTCCTAGTAATGAAATATACTATTTCACTTGGAGATTTAAATATTAACTTAAAAGATAAACTTTGTAACAATG